TCGAATAAATAAGCTTCACAGCTTAATATCTCCATTTACGGCTGGACTCCCAAACTTCATTTTTCCCTTTCCTCAATTATTCATTGCATTCGATTTCTACGCTGACCTGGAATAGGAGACGAAGGGATTAAGTTAACCAAGATGACAACTGAACAAGATGTGAAGGACCTCAAGATCAAGAGGAGAACTGCAAAGGCTAAGCTAACCCGGATGTCCAACGCCTTGCAGCATTTGTTGGACAATGACAGGGACCTTGAGGAGGTCGACGAAGCTTTCCAAGGTTTGCAAGTTACATTTATAGATTTAGAGAAAAGGCATGAGGCCTTCTGTGAGACCATTGATGATGATGATGAATTCATTAAAGAGGAAGCCTGGTTGGAAAGCTGCCAGTCTACATTCATTGATATGCAGATGAGAATAAGGGACCATGCCAAGTCAAAGGCAATTGTAACTGTACCGGATGTGAGTGATGGTCCAATCGGAGCTACTGCTGCATCGTCTGTAGCCGCAGAGACAGCAGGGCAAGAGAATGAGACTGTGAGCAGAGAGGCAGAGGTTGACTCACGTGTTGTCACCTCCTGCAAAGTACAGATGGAACGCCCAAAACTTCCAAAGTTCGGCGGTGACGTAAGAGAGTTTGCTACGTTTCGATCGGACTTTCATCATCTAATCGATACTCGATATAGCAAGAGAGATGCGGTCACCATACTGCGTACCTGCCTCCAGGGAAAGCCCTTGGACATGATAAGAGGGGTAGGCAACGATTACGATGCTGCTTGGGCATACCTGAACTCTGTTTTCGGTGACCGGCGATTTATAGCAGATGCCATAATCTACGATGTGAATTCTTTTAGGGATTTGAGGGACGGAGAGGACTCCAGATTTTGCGATCTGGTGCACCTGTTGAGGCGAAGCTTCAATACACTGAAGGAAGTTGGCTGTCCACAAGACATTGATAACAGCCAAACGTTGGCTCTGATAGAGCGCAAGATGACCCTCGAAGACCGGAAGGTGTGGTTCAGACATGTAGAAAGTGCTGGCAAGGATGTCAGTTTGCAGCACTTACTGGACTGGATGGAGACGGAGATGATGACACGTATGCGGGCCACTGCACCGCTTAGAAGTGCAACTAGTAGCAGCAGACAGAAGAATGCAGTCCACCATGTAAGTGCTGACAACAAACAGAACAGTGAGAGTACCCAATTTACCCAGTACAGATGCTGGATCTGCGAATCTTCTGATCATTGGGTTGAACATTGCCAGAAGGTCCTCTCCAAGAGTCAGACAGAGAGGTTTCAGTTAATGAGAGACAATCATGCATGTTTTAGTTGTCTCAAGAAGGCAGGCAGAGAGCACAACATGAGAACCTGCAAGAGAAGGAAGAGGTGCTCTAAAGAGATAAATGGGGAGCAGTGCTCTTCATTTCATCATCCTCTGCTGCACAGGGAAGTTGAAACCAGAACTGAGATAGTCGCCAGTGTAGCTGGAAATTCCGCCCTACTGCCAGTGGTTACGGTTAAAGTGCTGGGTCCAGATCAGAAGAGTTCAACAGCTAACTGTCTAATAGACTCAGGATCCCAGATCAGTCTTGTGAAGCAGTCGATGGCAGACGACATGGGTTTGGTTGGGAAACCGATCACGATCAACATCACGAAAGTCGGAGGCCGTGTTGAAGCAGTGAAGACGAAACTGTATAGGATGAGACTACAGTCACTTGAAGGCAAGCAGGCTTACGGAGTGTTGGCACTTGGGTTGGAGTGCATCAACGATAATGTAGCAGAAGTTCGGGTTGATGAGCTTGCAAGGACATTCCACCTGAAGAAGGATCTTCTACACCGTGGTTTTGGATCCATCGATGTGTTAGTAGGAACCGACCATGCTAAGCTTCATAAAGGAGAAACCAGAGAGAGAGGGAATATGTTGGCAAGGCATTCACCTTTAGGATGGGTAGTGTTTGGAGCTACCTCAAAGCAACAGCCAACCAAGAGTACAGTTATGAATGTTATGCTTGCCAACTCAGTGGACTTCAATGATTTCTGGACGACAGAACCAATTGAAGTTTGTCATGATCCAGTGCAGTGCCATCCTAGTGGTATCAGCAGGCAAGAAGCAGAGGTGAATGTTGCAGATGATCTCACCCAAGATTTGAGTGAAGATGAGTTTGACGGCAGATGGCAGCACGGACCTGATTTTCTGTGCCAACCAAAGTCAGAGTGGCCAGAAGAACCAAAGCTAGAGGGAAAGGTGCCTGAAGTTGAATCAGAAAGAGGTAAAGAAGAACAATCAGTCTTGATAGTAACCAACAAAGAGGACGTCATTGACTGCAAGAGGTTCTTCAGCTGGAGAAAGTTGATCGGAGTGACATTATATGTGCTGAAGTTTGTAAGAAAGCTGAGATCGAAGTGCAGGAAGGAAATTGATGTTGGTGATAATGACAACATTGGCACTTTGACACCTGATGAGTTAGAGAAAGGAGAAGCAGTATTGCAGAGTGCCAAGAAGTCACTGAAAGGCAGAGACGATATGGGAGAACTGAAAGCCCTTAGTGCTCACACAGACGGTACGGGCATCATCCGAGTAGGAGACAGAGTAGATAGAGCTGAGATGTCGTTTGGAAGGGAACACCCAGACCTGTTTCCTTTCGAACACGACAAGTTCACACGACATGTCCACAACAGTAGTGGTCATACTAGAGTTGCAACCAGTACAGCAAAGGCTAGAAGGAGGTACCGGATTCTGAAGGGACAAAGACTAGTAAAGACTGTAAAGTTCAAATGTGCAGTGTGTGGAGCATTTGACCAGAAGGCAGAACCACATGAAATGACCGAGTTACCCAGAGAAAGACTAGCCCCACATACACCACCAGTTTTGTTCACATGTCTGCATTTAGAGTTTGCAACTGAATGTTCCGCAATGGAGTTTGTTCAAGTACTTCGTCAAATCTTTGCTTTGAGAGGGAAGCAATCACAGATTTGGAGTGATAACAGTACTCAGTTTGTAGGTGCTCAACGTGTGCTAAAGGATTTCTGTACTGAAAAGGAAACGAAATGGACGTTCATAGCCCCGCATCACAACGGCTGCGCCGAGTTATTGGTGAAGAGCTGCAAGTATGCTCTGAAGAGATCCATTGGAGAGCGAATCCTGACGCAGTTTGAACTGTATACATGCCTGATAGAGGTGGCCAATCCAGACAATCAACCGCCGATTGCCAGAATCCCGACTGATCCGGATGATGGGAACTACCTGAGTCCTAATGACATGCTGTTAGGACGTGCATCCAGTGATGTTGCACAAGAGCCGTTCCGAGAAACCAAGAACCCAAGGCATCGAGTAGAGCTCGTCCAAGGGATTGCAGATGCCTTCTGGCAGCGTTTGAGAAGAGACGTGCTCACGTTATTGACGCCAAGATGGAAGTGGAACATTGATCATCGCAATGTTTGTGTCAACGATATCGTTTTTGATGGCTGGCGCCAACGCGTTACGTGGAAAATGGACCATCGCTCGCGTTGTGGAAGTGTATTCAGTATACCCAGTTGAAGGCTACGAACAGTAATATAGCAAGTGTTAATTTAATGTTAATGTTTTTCATGAGGAAAGTTCCCTCATTGGGTGGGGAGGATGTTTCGCCGAGCGATGATTTTTGCTTGGTTTAGATTTTCTCTTTTTTTTGCTCTTATAAGCTACCATAGGTTAAGTTCGGCACTGTCGCCATGTTCTTCAGTCAACGCAGTGCACAGTCAGAAATGTAGTCAAGTTTGACTCATTTACTAGTTAACCCGTCAGTTGCCATAGAAGTATTCCCGACAAAGTTTTGTCCCGCCACAGAAGTGAGTGTTTAGATTAATATAAATTGGAATGTGAACTCTTAAAACGGAAAATAAGATAGATTCAAGTTGTACTGTAAAATGGATTCTAAAGAACTGTATTTAACTTATTAGCATAATGCACGTGTGGCATTAATTCCAAGATGGCTGCGCCTAAAATGGCCGCGCCCATAAGACGTACTTTTAGTCATGTGTTTTTTCCAGTTCAATAATAATTGTCAAAACAGAATTACAGTAATAGGCAAATATCGTTTTATGTCATTTATAGAGTAAACAGTGTATATATGTAGAAGTCCTAAAGATAAAGGATGTTTATATTTGTGCATGCTAGAATCTTGGATTTTATGCAGTTTGTTTGGGTCACAAAAGTTGGTCTGTGGAATTTCATTTAGCTTGCATAAAAGTTGCAAGACACTATTTATTGACTTGGTAAAAGGTTAACATTTGCACCTCTGACATGGTATTTAGAGTCAGAATTGAAAGAAACTGTTTATTCATTTTAAGAGTTAATAACGAAACTCGAAAGGATTGCTGTAATGTACTGCATGTGTAGATTACAGATGTAAATTACAGGTGTAAATTACAAGTTATGCCAGATAGTTTATTTTGTATTGAAGTGTAAATCTCTAGATTATTACTGGGAAGTTTTAGAGCAAGTCAGGTATTTCAGTTTAATTCAAACAGGGTTGAATTGTATGAAGACATTTTATGAGACAGTTTTTCTTAGGCGAGCATAAATATGCAAATTAGGTGCCTGTCAAAGTCAGTCGAAGGTCATATAGCACATTTAAAGTGACAATCTATTGTTGAGGTTTTTAGAAGGAATTTAAACTATGAAGATAGATGAGAATTATCAAGCTTGTGTATGGATGCAAGATAAAGATGTTTACAGTTATTTTGGTTCATGCAAATTGGCAGTGATCTGTTTAAAGGGAAGTCTGCCGGGTCGGTTTTAGAAACTCTGAAAGTATGAGTATTTGAAAGTAATGCATATTAGAAAATGCATAAGGTTTTGTAACCATTGGTTACTCTGGATTTTTGTTAGTTAAAGGACGAGGTCAAGATTGACAGTTTATAGAACAAAAGCAAATGTGTTTAAATGAATCTTTATAGATACAGTTACTTGGTTTGTTCAGATAATTTGGATTAGACTATATATTGCATTCTTGTAATTACCTTCCATTTGTACTGGTCTCTGGTTGATTGTTGTCGATGACTATAGAACTAACCCGCTGCTTGATTTTGAGAGGAAATGAGTAAGATTTCCGAACCTTGGCTAGTCTGGGTCTCAATACAGACCTTTCCACATTCAAAACAATCATGGCCCACTGAGAGAGAAAATGAAAGTAAACAAGATTGACTTTAATTCAGGTATTCATTAGTCCTATTCTAAATGATTATATAACACAACAGAAGAAGAAGGAGTTAGTACAACAAATAGACGACTAAGGAAAAGAAGAAGAAATGTTTAACAAGAAATTAGAATTTAAAAAAGGAAGTACAAATGTGAGGATATAAGAATGCTGTCATCAGACATGAATTAGGAATAACATGAAAGAGTGAAAAGACAGAAGAAGAAGCTGGAAAGGAAGATAAAATACATGGATTTATATACAGCTATACATGTAGAGATCTTACATACATGAATATAGAACATCATAACTGTAAATTCAGATTGCACATTTTTTACACGGATATAATAATATATGGACCTGTGCATCAAAGTACAACAAATGCCCCCCAAAAAGAATGACAATCAATAAACAGAGGAGGAAAATAACACTGAAAGATTACATATTCAAGAAAAGGGTTGATGGGAAGAAGCAAACAAAGAGAAGATGGGAAGGTGAAAGAGGTAAGAGAAAATGTATGCATATAAAGAGATTCTTTAACAACTTCTTCTATTTATTAAAAAAAAAGCAAAACAAAATTGAGAAATAAATTCATATGGGAAGTGTCTTTGATAATGTCAAGAACAGAACCTTTACACTGTTTAGTATAAGTGATAGACATATCTGGTTCCTGTAACATACAAATCGATTTTAAAGTCAATTTTCATATCAATTGTATACTTTTAAAATTAATTATATTTTCCTGTAACGTAAATTGCATCCAAATCAATTGTGTGTTACAGAACATATCAATCAAACAAGATACAAGTAACTTTTCTATTTGACAGAAGCATGATAGATTTAATAATAATAATAATACATATGATTTATAAGGCGCCAAATCCACTTGACAGTCAAATGCTCAAGGCTCAGCTTGTGCAAGAGATGAAATACATACAAGATTTGAAACATATAATTGATTGATGATGATACAATTGATTTTTGGGAGTTAAAATCCACAGGGACTCTCTGTGATTTAGGTTGGGCCAGATCTGACATATAAAGCTTCCTGTCACCAGCGTAGAGGGACGAAAATAGGAAATATCATAACAATATTTTCTTCTTTGTTTAACATAGTATACAAATAGTGAATGCTTATGAGTTCAATAGTGCAAATATTTTCATTCGTTGAAAGATTAATGTTCTATTCAACAAAGCTGTCAGCCTAGTTGAATAGGATTAACGTTAATTTTTCAAAGAATGAAAATATTCATTATTTGTTTTATACAACATAACAAGGGAAACGCTCTCGGCGGTCTCGCCTGCATAACGCAATTCAATATGATAAACCAGAATGTCAATGTGGAAGGGACATAATTTCATTTCATTTGCATGAAGTACCATAAATAATCAATGGAGCAAAATCTCACAATTCTGTGTAGAAGTTTATTGTTCCAAATTTAGCTCTACCAGATAAGGCAAAATCAGTCAAGAAATGAGGGAAAAGAAGCAATTTTTGTTATTTTTGGAATAAATTTGCATAAATTACCATAATTAATTAATGGAGAACAATTTCAAAATTCTGTGTAGAAGTTTAGTGTACCAAAGTTAGCTCTACGATATAAAGCAAACCAAATCAAAATCGGTCGAGAAATAAAGGAGAAGAAGCCTTTTTTGTGATTTCGAATAAATTTGCATAAATTAGCATAGATAATGAATTTCACGATTCTGTGTAGAAATTTTAAATCCCCTCCTAGCCCTATCATATGAAACAATCAGAATCAAAATCGGTTGAAAAATAACGAAGAAGAAGCATTTTGAAAATCTTAATGTCGATGCCACAACAAAGTCTAAATTTGTTGACCTTAAATGGCCTTTGACCTTAACTTAGTGACCTGAAATTCTACTCACATGATTGGGGAGACTTGATAACCCTATAGTCCAAATTTCATTGACTAAGAACTTATACTTTCAAAATTATATCAAAAATTCAAAAACTTAACCTTAGGTTAAGTTTTCGATGATGATGCTACAACATAGTCCAAGTCTGTTGACCTGAAATGACCTTTGACCTTGACTTTGTGATCTGAAATTCTACTCACATGATTGGGGATACTTGATTACCCTATAGTCAAAGTTTCATTGACTAAGAAATTATACTTTAAAAATTATACCAAAAATTCAAAAACTTAACCTTAGGTTAAGTTTTTGATGTTGACGCCGTCGCCGTCGCCGTCGCCGTCGCCGTCGCCGTCGCCGCCGCCGTCACCGGAAAAGCGGCGCCTATGTCTCGCTTTTTGCTACGCAGGCGAGACAAAAATTAGAACGTTAATCTTTCAACAAAGTATGCTTTGCTCCTTATATTAAAGATAACTTAAAGTTGGAGTCGGCCCTTCTTGATCACCTTCGCGCCAGATGCGCGCAGCTAAATAACAATGGGATACGCACAGGGCAGAGAGGTGTACGCAGTCTGCATATAACCAAAAATGCACGCTCGTTGAATAGTACTACGGCAAATAGTACCAAAAATGCACGCCCATGCAATAGTTTATCTATTGAATATCATGTGACCAACAATCCTCCAATCAAATGACAAGGATCTACTTAGGTGATGTATAAAACTAACTAATCTTAAGTGCTGAAATATGACTACTTACCTGTCTCTTCCACTCCATACGGGATCTCTCCTTGATGATATCAAAGGTACGCGCCATCATGGCGATGACCATGTTGAGCATAAGTACCGAGATGAACCACATGAAGATTATGAACAGGATGATGGCAAACCACGGCATACGACACTCATAAAGTTCACGCCACTGCAAGAGGTACAGAATAGAAGATACAAATCAAATTGCTGTGGTCATCCAAAAGGCTTTTCCCTCTTTTCAACGATTAATGTATGAACAATGTGATGTGATACGTATCAGAGTATATCAAACTACATACACAATGAATAATATTAATAGAAATAATAAACTATTAAAAAATATAAATATTCTATGTGTCTAAATAATATAAAACAACGTCAAGAGAATGCCCTTCTGTCGAATATATGTACCAGCATGTAAGCCTTACTGGACATTGATTGTAACATTCTCATGAAAGCTATGAAAAGTCAGCGCTTCAAAACAATTATGATGATTATGTAATCTTCATCAAAATAACCCTTGTCACTACAATATTGCTCTAAAACAGTAATTCAAAATCTGCGGTCATGACTTACGTTGAATTCTCCGTTTGTCATGATGAATGTTGAAATGAAGGTTTCTGAAATTGTCACAAATGATTTGGTATTTGCACCACTGTCCCTGAAGAGGAAGAAGAATGCTGGAAATAAAAAATAACAAATAGATATATTAGTTTTATTTCAAATAATTGACCCCCCCAAAATGTAATTCAACAAATAGGAGGCACATTCATGAACTTCTGATATTAAATACCGGTAGCCAAAGTGGACAGAGCCATAGGAAAGGTTTCTTGTTAACATTGAATATTTTAGGCATGAAGATCTTATCAAACTTATTTTTTTTTGGTAATTTATATCTAATTTCTTTCTTAAAGCTTATCTGCACTAGTTTGGCCAGGAGGGATTAGACCACATAGCGAGGTCACTGAAAGGTGGCTATCTCATCAACTCAGCTCACAAATAACATAAGGTATAAAGGATCATGGGAGACCAACAGGCAACGATGTGGGAAGTTTTCTATATAGAGGGAGCAAGTAGCTACAAGTAGGACAGTGGGGCTTAAAGTTAAGAAAAATCATGAACTTCGGGAAATAATCCCCTTACCTTGAGCAAATACTATAAGAAGAATGAAGTAGATGAGAGAGAATCGCAACAAATCTCCTTTCAACATCTTGAAGAAGACTACCACCAATGGACCAAGGCTAGGATGACCCCTGTGAATGAGAAATGAAGTTGTCAAGAATGAGTTACGAAGAAGTGAAAAACAAAAAACATGGTGATTATCTGGAAAAGTCTTATCATTCACAAATGGGAATCTGTCATTTTTATAGTTAGCAATGATCATCGCAGTTAGACGTCTACACGTACATGGATCCCACTCAAATATATTTAAGATTCTTTTATATAATTTTTTGAGATTCCGAAAGGAACACACAGGTACCTAGATCTATTGGTTTTTCTTTGATTTAATAATTTCCAAATTATGAGCATTATCTATTTCATGTATGAAATGGAAAGTGCATGAATCCTAATATTTTAAGACTTACAATTCAAATTGGGGCTCGTTTCTAAAGATTTTAGACATGAATCCTAATCATTTCACAGATCAATAGCTTAAAATTCTTTGAACAGACTATACAAGGCGTTATTTTTCACCCTTTTATCAAAATTCACACGTTAATACAGTCATGCGGATCAGCAGAACAAAAACAACATGGCATTTAAACAATCTACTTGCTTTCTTCTCATCATTATCAATTCATATTCATGTTAAGTTATATAGTAAAATCTCTAGGGGGAGAAAAAACCATGAAAGTACAAATTTCTCAGCATTCTTAGCAGGTTTAATATCTACAATCTTTTATTTATTTTTCTCCCAAAATTCATAATTTCTTTGCTTCATATTTTTTAATTTATTGATTTTCTCAGTATACTTTGTTCAAGATATCTTGTAAAACAGCATCTGAGGAACTAATAATTCAACAAGCTATGCTTTTAGTTAGTTCCTCTTTTCTCGTGCTATTACTATTATATTTGTTGTTTCATTGTATATTTGTTTGTAATATATTTATTCATTGTATTATGTTTTGCATGAGAGAAAAAAATCATTGGAATTTAACTTCAGATAACTGCATGGACTCACCTGAAGAAGAATAAGAGGTAGCTCCAGGAGAGAGGCACGATGAACATGATGAGGACGTTTTCATACCACTCTAGCCCCGTGAATCGGAGAGGGATACAGATGAAGAGCAGCAAGACTGCTATCATGAAGAGAGCTTTTGTTGGAAAATCAGCCTGCATAGGTTGCAAGAGAGATAAGAAAGGTTACAAAATGATATTGGTGTGCTCTTTTACAAGTTACTGAACAAGGGGTAGTAGCTACCATGCAGGCCTGAGAGTTTCTAGCTCTAGATAGGCTATTTATAAAGATATTACCGGTATGTTTGATTTTGTGGCCTATATAAAAATGTTGATATAAAAGAAAATAATGCTCAATGCCACTTGCGATATGAAGCTAAGTCAGTATCATCTTCCAAACAAAGACAGCTTGTAACTTATATAACAAATGCTTATTTGCTTTGAATAAAAATCACTTCAGAGTATCATAAATTTGGTACATAAATAAAAATATATACAGTAGGCTTGCGGGTGCACCATGTGAGAGAGAGGATTGAGGAGTCCTGATAAGGACTCTCGGTAATCTTTCTTGAGGGTGTGTAGTCCTGAAAAGGACTGTTGGTGTAGTCTTGAAAAAGACTGTTGGTTATCTTTCTTAGCTTATAGTTCTAAGGAGAACTATAGCGCTTGGAGAGGATGGGTGGCGGGAGTGGCTCGACGTTTCGAACAGGTTGACTATCCGTCGTCAGGAGTGGAGAATAGCTGGCGTCCGTGAGCTTAAGTCACTGTGGTGCGGACGTGGGGGAAATATACATTTCAACTTCTTTTGCAAATTGTTTTAAAATTCCATACGCAGCTCACCTTCTCTTTTGTGATATTCTCTTTATAGCAAAAACGAGACATGATTGCTTACCAAACTTTTTATGTAATCGGTGAATGATCCTCTTGCTCTAATCTCTGTTAGTTCCGTAAAAGTCTTTGCAAGACAGCCAACGATTACACACACTTCTGACACATAGCGGAACTATAGAGTTAAAAGGGAGGAAAAGCAAAGAATGTAGTTTTAAAGGTTGGTATAGAATGATACAATTACGATGCCCTCAAGCAAAGAGCACAAAATAAATCAATAAATTATTAAGTAGAACATAATGACCAAATTAAACTTTAAATATCCACAACTTTCTCCTTCACACACAAAAATTCTTATTGATTTGTCCATTTCATATTCAATCTTTCTCTGTCCCAAATAATAACCCCACACTGCCATCCCTGACACAAAGCAACAAACACCTGCCCTCACCAAGACATCTACATGTACCTCCACACACGATTACCACTGGACTACCCAGAGGGTAATTTTCTAATCGGGTAGTTTTCCATGGAGTATTAGTAGTAGCTGTCAGGAAGGAATTGTCATTAAGGATAATAAGCCAGAGAGTAGTTATCCAAATATTAATTGTCTAAGGGGTAGATGTCTTTGGGAGCTGTATCTGGGCGCCAGCTGTCTGGTATGTGGGTAATTGTTCAAAGGGATAGTAGCCACTAGTAGGTCTAGTATCCAATCAGCCATTGTTCTTGTGTAGAAATACTTCCTTGCTATCTTTTTTCTATTTGAAGCTTTAAAACATATATATAAATATAAATTGCTACTTGTAGATTAATAAAACCTTATAATTCTTACAAGCATGAGTGTGTTACAACCTTAAATTATAAAAATTATTTTACCTTATCGACAGGCCTGCTTCCACTAAGAAGACCTTGAGCTGGACGGAGCTGGACGGCGATGAAGAGCCACGTCAAATGGATACATGCCCAGAATAATTTGAAGGCAAATTGTTTCTGTAAGGAAATTAGATTGAACAATGTCTTTATCGGTGCACTACCACATTTCAATAAGATAAGGTATGAACATGAAGATCTCATTTGCTTTGGTTGATGATAGTCACAAATGCATGATCTTCGAAAGCACTACATAACAAGGAGGACATACAAATTGATAATTGTACTACAAAAATACCCCATAATACACAGAGCAGTATTACTATTTTGAGTGTACCACCTATTTGAGTGGAGTAATCACTCCCTGCATATATGCCTCCACCAATCATTACATTCACTAGGAGCATGATAAATGGACAAGGCCCAAGGTCTTTGTCCCAAAGATTGCCGACTATGAAAAATGGTTCCCATGGTGGTTGTATGAAGGTGCTAATTCTCTCTTAGATCTTGGATAGACCAGGGGTTGTTTCATAAAGCTGTTTGTAAAGTTACGCATGACTTTACGAATGACTTAAATATGAAAAGCCAAATGGGGTGCTCGATCATTATTCAACTGCATCAACTAAAGTTGAACTGTGCAGATGAAGATTGACATTCTTATTATAACAAACATTTTTAATGCAAAGTATATTTGTTTGCCATAATTTAATTGAGGTTATTGGAAATATAGTGACTCTTTGTAAAGATGTCAGGACAAACTTTGGGAATCCTATCTGGCATTTCATATACAAGTCGTTCGTAAAGTCAAGCGTAACTTTACGAACAGCTTTATGAAACACCCCCCCCCCCCCCAGATATCATAGAAATGCTACATGTCATGATAACTATGTTATTCTATATTTTGTAACATACGGGGCAGAAAAATCACAAAAAGATATACCAAGATATACCACTACTCACTGAACCAGCTACACCACCATGCATGCTCATGCAGTTATTGAGAGTAAATGAATTAAGCTGAAGCTGAACAAATAGTCTTCTAGATATATATATATATATATATATATATATATACACACATGTATAAAGATATAGTCTGTTTTGGGTGTGATGTAAGCTTTATACCTTGCAATACAAGTTCCACTTGACATGGAGTAGTTCATCGATCACCTGTCCTTCTAACATCTTGAGATGGTTGATGGTATCATACTGAACAATGACACTCAGTGCAGAAGAGCTATCTGTAGTGGTCATTCAAAATAAACAATTCGGTTTTTAAAAGAGTCAAGTTACAAAAGGATTAGCTCCTACTTATTTAACAGAATTACTTACCCTATATGTTCCAAACAGAACCCTCAGATCTTCCCAAAAGTCTCTCCTCACCATTCCACAAATAAATACTAAATTCTACGGGTTTCGTTCTTTTCAGGTTGCATCGGCCGAACTTTAGAATAAATTACCGGAAAATCTAAAAAACTGTGACACTGTTGACAACTTCAAGGCGCGTCTTTTCAAAAATACTTTCCACTGTTAACGAGATGAAGTATGTTGAGCATATCTCACTCTTCTTGTGTTACTCTATCCACGTTTCCTTTTAACTCTTTCTTACAGCGCATAGAGACATATTGTGATATGTGCTATATAAGTATGGTAGGCCTATATTATTATTATTAAAAGTTTTCAATGGCATCCCCTCACAATGAAGACCTACAGCATATACAACAAAATAAAGAATCCAAAATCAAAATTTTGCTTATGAAAATTCATTCAGAATAATTATTATCCTTGAGCACAGAAAGGCACATCAAGTTTTAAGAAGTTATTGTCAAAAAAGCCTTGGTATCAAATGCTACTTACTGACGCATCCTTCACTATCAATGGAATCCAGGATGGAGAGAGGATAGGCTACATACGCAATCTTGCCGTAGGTCCATTGTGTTTCACTGCTCAGTTCTAAGAGAGCCGAGAAGAGTTCATTCCGTCCTAACTGGAACGAGAGCTGAAGGGCCGTGAGACCAGCTTTATTGGCAATGGTATAGGATGCTGGCATCTTGTTATGATGGATGGCATGGTAAAACAAGAGCTAAGAGCAAAAGAAAAATATATGGTAGTTGTCATTAAAATACATCATCGATATGAGTGGAGATGAAGGTCCATATCTTTACTAAAGGAACTTTATAAAAAATGATTATCCTCTCTTCTCCAGTTACTTGTCACAAATATCAATTTTAATCACTAGCTTTATAGCCATTAATGTCATATTAAAGATAGACTTACATGTACATGTTCACCACAATACAATTCTTTTCCTAAACAGTGAAACTCATTACAATATAGTCAAACCTGCTTTAGTGACCACCTGTCTACAAAGACCAATTTTTGTGTTTCCCTTGGGTGGTCGCTATAGACAGGTTTGACTGTATTAGATTTGTTATCTCCATTTGATATATACCAGCTTGAATGTGACTTTGAAGTCTGGAAATTACTGACAACTTTCAAGTTAGACCTAAATATTATTCCAACTAAATTTGTTTACTAAAAGTGTTTATTGCAATGCCAAATATAGTATACATTATTGATGGGTGACTATACTGTTTAAAATTCTTGACCAATCCATTACACAAAGTTGACTGCATCAGAATCAGTGTATTTAATTACCGTTTGACTGTGAATGATAGCCATATGAACTACAGTATTCCCAAACGAGTCCTGAGCGTCCGGATGACACCTCCCTTCTCCTGGTTTCCGTCTCAGAGACTGATCGATGCAGTAATCATACATCTCCATGGCACCCGTACTGGCACAAAAAGCCAGTGGATACTCCCCCAGATAGGCAGTGCCCTCGTAGAAGGATTTATTTTGGCTGACGTGATCCTTTAAGTCGTGAGGGCGGAAGAAGCGTCCCGTTGCCCTCTCGTCCAGGCGAGCCTTGTATCGACCGACTAGGAGCTGGACCGACCTGAAATCCTTGTTCACAATGGCCATGTGCAATGCGCTCTCACCTGAGAGGTAATCAAATTGAAAATTTTACAATAAAAAAACAAACAAATGATTCAAAGAATTGAATGTATCTATATACAACTTCTGTATAGAGGGATAAACTTTTTTAGTTATAAGTATTAAAACAACAAATGAATTCCAATTCTTAAAAAAACTTTTGTTTGGGCATATAACTGACCAAAATGCATATGACAACAAAGTACATACATTTATAATCGTTTGGACATGAAGGTCTGCGCAAAAAATGCAAAATCAATCAAATACATACATAAACATCGTTCCTTTGAACAAAGTTATATTGCAGCCTTAATAGTTACATTTACCATGTATCAAATATAACATATGGAAATGACTTTTAGTCAAAGGATAGAGATGAAATACAATAATTTATATATAATATAATCTATATATTCACAAAATATTGCATATTTTCATTAACACCACATCACATGATGAGTAGGTTACAAATATACATGTCATGGTATATACTTATAAAATTACAATCTTGTATTAGAATATGAAATTACCAAAGAAGTCACTGCCTTCGTAGACATCAAGAGCAAGCTTAGGGTACACTGTTAGCAAGTGAGAAGCAATCTCACGATGCATTCGAGTGTCATTGAGGAAGCACATATGCAGGATAGTCTCTCCAATCGCTCCACGTTTATTAAGGTCAAAACAAGCGTCATGCTGTTCGAACTTGTTTATAGCTGACGACTGACCATCATCAAAGACTTTCAGGAGTTCATGGTCTGGTGTCTCGGCCTGTAATCATGAACATAAAGCAGAAAAGAATGAGGTTGATGCAAGGAAAACAAAAAAGACAGAGGTGTTATATATTACAGGTTTAAATCTAAAAGAGTTACAGTAAAAGTTTATAAAATGTTTTTAACATTTTGCACTCAATGTTTCATTTAGGAAATAATATGATCATGTATTATTGCACTCAATAAATCTGTCGGTAGACTGCCTTTACATTTTTACAAAATAATTCATTTAAGAGGCTCGTTCACATCTGTTGTTTATCATGTATGCCATATTTTTGTGCTTTCAAAATTAACAAGAAAGATGAAATTTGTAGTCATCTAAAAGTGAATGTGAAGAGCAAGCAATCTCTGCTTGTTATTTTAATTTGTCATATTATTATTCACAAGATTTTTAAATGACTGCACATCATAGCTCTCAAAGGAACTTCTTCAAAAAGGTAAAAGTAATGAACATACATTTTTACCATCCAGCGTTATGAGCTTGTATGTTGCATATTCCAATCGGGTGATTGTCTTTCCGTTGCCTTCATGGTATAGCATCTTGCCTACGTTCTCCCTGATGTAAGCCCTGAAATCCTCCAATTTTTTGTGGCCAGCTAGTACATGTCTGTACTCCTCTACCAGTTTGCCTTTAGAATTGAAATAGAGCAACTTGTACATCTCATTTTCATCCGCTGCCTCGTTCTGCTTCCGCCACTCTGCATCTGGATCTCCACTGGTTCCAAAGAACCTGCTCACCAGAGCATTCTTTACGCGACGCAGCATCTTGGTGGGCGGGGGATGTGCACGCCGTTTATTTCAGACCTACATATGAAAGTTTGAAAAATATGACTTATTGTTAGTTCAGTTTGATAATTTCAAAGGTTATCAAAGTCTGATTAAAAAATGAATAACTTGTCCTTTGATCGTTTTAACTTTAATCTATTTTATTATTATCTTCCAATTCTGGTAGAGGTGTAAATTGAAAATTAGTCAAAAATCAGTAAAAGATTGCCAAATCAGAGTGTTGCTGGTTTTGGGAATTAAAAATCAATTCAAATATAGTTATGTTGAAATGTACTCTACCGGTATATATTGCTGTAGAATGACACCGACATTAGTGGTGAAACACCCGCAGTAATCAATGCTCTCATTAAATATTAAAACTGGTTAATGGTTTTACAAGCCAGTGTAATGTAACAAAGTAATACCAGAATACATAGATCCTGATTACACTGAGGACTCACCTAACACACTTGCCAGCATACTTGGTGAGCTAGCTTCTGTCATGTTTCAGCCATGGTTTCAATCACAAGAGCTAGTGACTGAAGGTGAGTGTGAAAGGCATATGAACAAGCAGCTGGAATTCAGACGTTGATGAAATGATGACCAGGAAGAGTAGAACTGTACGTTGGCAGCAGGTGATTCGTAGCCCACATAGCAATGATCTGAGAAATCTGAAAAACATAACAAAGATACCCATAGAAAAGTGACTTATCGTAAACTACAATGCCTAAAAAAATATGACATATGAATAAATTTGGATTTAACAGTACATTGCAGATAGCATGAATTATAATTTTAAAAGTATATGAATCTAGTCATTGCATGTAAAGAGAATAATTTGCATTTTCTTGCAATTTACAATTTACATGTAAATATAGATTATATATTTTTCATGTACATTCCTAGCATCTTGATCATTTTGCAAAATGGATATGGCACTTTATGAATACTCTTTATAATTATCATTTAATATCATCATACTGATAATGTACCCTATGAGCTAAGGCTTCCAAAAGTTGTTACCCTCCGAACTTCATGTGCTAATTGCAACAATTCAAAACCATGTATTTATACATATTATCTTCATATCAATATACTCTATGCATCTTTAAATCTTTAACTGGTAGGTCTAACTTGCACATGGCTTTGAACACTTCTAGAAAAACTGCATAAATATTGGACACAGCTACTTTTTAGATACACATACACTTAAATGTAGGTGAGGTAAACAAAAACTGCAGGCCTGCAAACTTATCAAGATCGAAATTATTATTGACAGAGCTCCATTTATAATAAAAGGTACACATACAACTGAACAATGACCTAAAAAGCTCTCGCGCTGAGAAATCCAAATACTCAGCATAATAGAATTACTGAGCCAGAACAAAAAACAAATATATGCGATCGACTTGAACCCTTCAACCTTCAAACTATGTCATAGTTCTCCCATTATTGTTAGAAAAGGAAAGCAAATATAGTATTAGAAGCTTCCATAAGGCTAATATTGATACATGACTGTGCATGATGCCTTCATTATGATATGATATGACACAAATTTAACTTTCATTTCATATCATTTGTTACTATTTGTATAACCAGAAATGGAATGGTACTGAAAATTTGTTTAGGAATTAGATATTTTCTCATGATACTTTTTGATCATATGGCTATTAAAGTTAATATATAGTTAAGATACCAAGAGACACATGGGGGAGAGTCCCCAAACTCCTCACGGCGAGTTGGCCCCCTGAACATTTCAACATTTATCTACAACTTAAATCTATGTGGATGTAGAAGTGTAGTCATTCATTCATCGAAGCTTGGAGTTAAGACAATTACTTGGTATCAGGAAGAAAAGAACATTTCATATAAAAATAATCATCAAAATATCTTAAAACGGCAGACGGTTTGGTGGATTTCATGGCTTTTTAAGTTATATATGTCTGAATGATACATGTAGATATTATAGTGTTAGGTGTTACAAGTGCAATAGATTCCTCAATTATAAATATCTCTCAAATACCATTGTTTCTGAAATTACAATGCATATATATAGATACAAAAATAAAACAAATGGGAAAGTCTTGAACAAGAGCAGTGTATTCTAGCTGTTCAGGTAATGTACTCCTATCACTTCAAACTGACTGAAGAAGATTAGACTAACTTAGACTTACCAGATAGAATGTATTATATCCCACATACTAAGAATCTTGCAATCTGATTGGTCTAAACGAGGTCACATGATAAAAGATAGATAAATACTATCTACCTGAGATAGTACTTTTGTAAGGGAAATTTTTGCTGCTGCCCCACTTGTAATTGAATACGCGTAGCAAAGTAGGTTACGCGAAATGTCAATGTCAAATGAGCGCGCATCGACTTTGTTACATTGTATGCAATGTTGCGCTTAGTAAAATCTAGCTGAAGCTAAACTGTCTGCAGAATCAGTTCTTTTAATTATGTAAAATTCACTTTAAATAGACCTTATTGCCGATGTGGGAAATAAAACAAATATTAACCTCCTTTACTCGGTGATCTCGGGGCTACCATAATCCCTCGCCTTCGGCTTGGAATGATAGTAGCCCCTTGAGATCACCTTGGCGATGATAGTTTGTACCATTATCCTTGTAGTCGATTAATATTTGCTTAATGTACAAAGACATTTACATTTTCCTGAAATCTATGACCAAGTTTGATCACATCTTACATGCATAGTTACAACTAACATGGAGAAAAAATAATATATATCTCAGAACATCTATCTCAAAATGGTGTTTGTACAAACCACAGTTTATTGGCCATGTTCATTTCTTATTTGAATCGAAAATATTGTTTACTGCCATACAGGAGAAGGATATATACCTAGAGAGAAAGGAAAGAGATAAAGAGAGAGAGAGAGAGAGAGAGAGATAGACAGAGAGAGATACATTTGTAGACAGAGAGAGAGAGAGAGGAAGACACAGAGGAAAAATAGAATCGGCACACAGCTCTCAAAAATATCCTTGTATCAGCTCTATGCCAGCAACGAATACAGAGAGATATGAATGAATAAAGTGTGTACATATACCGGTAGACGTGGCTGCTATGGCAACCAAAATGGCTTTCCGAAGAGCAGCATGCATGATGCCTTCCTACCCACTGAGTACAGCTCTCTTAATTGCACAGTTCTTATCAACCATAATTAATTCCATTATAAGCTGCAAATTGCATATGTACTATGTATATTACTATACAGGAAGTGCTTCGGTCTATCAGCTTGAGTGTGTCTCTTCTTTCTAAAATGTGCTAGAGGGCATAGAATTTAACCTTTCAAGACAAACAGATTATTATATTTTTTAATTATCATGTTCTGACAGGTGGGGTTTAAACAGAGCTTACTATATTTTGATATCACAAAATATGTCACATAGTCACTTTTATTATTTAACATACAACTCAGTGAAAAAAATACACAGGGGCTCAGGGCGAATTTGCCCCCGAAATGCCCAAAAGAGCCCCCGAAAATCAGAAAAGAGCCTCCGTAAATTTGCATCAATAAAGTAAATCAATGCAAAACAAATTTTAGAGTGTTGTTTTTATGCAGGCAAGCTTGAAAAGTAGCCCCCGAAAAAATAAATATTAATTTTTTCCCTGATACAACTTTCATTCATTATGTATTTTATACAGTTTAAGTCACTAGGTTCTGAAAATACATTATATACATAATCATATATATTCTAAAAAGTCATGTAATTTGTGGAAAAAGTCGACTTAAGATAAATCAAATTCTACTGTAATAGTATAGGCACATTTCAAATATCCAATGAAAGTGAGGGCTAAAAAAACAGGTATGATTTTAAATAAAATGTCGATTCTATAATATTTGTCCAGGATGAAAGCTACTTTTGAACTTTTAAAACAGAAATACCATTAAGAAACTCAAATTTGATGCCCAAGAGAACATTTGGACAATTTAAAAGTATACCCAGTATAAACCTATAAAGAGAATATTTTGCATTTTCATTCCAAATCTGCAACAAAAAAAATCATGGAAAAAAAAGTATTACACACCTACTACAGGCTACATCAATACTAAATTCATTCCTTCTTCTTCCTGAAAAGTGCAGGCTTCATGAAATGAAGATTAAAAAACTGTTAAGATTTATATAAATAAAGCTAATAATACATGTGCATGGTGTCTTCATTATGATATGACACAAGACACAATTACTCAAATTATAATATAAATTACAATCAGTGAGACACAACATCTTCACCTTGTCTCTAGAGAAGTTTGCTATTTGTATGCAGTTATTAACAGATTTGCTTACCAATCTGAATTCCACAAGAAAACCAACAGAACTTGTCTTTATGAATACCAAAAACATATACGAATAATGTCTTACTGACACACCTTTCTAGCATTAATAATTAAACACTATTACTACCAGAATGCATCCTTCATGTAAATTAAAGTTATCTCCCTCTTCTTCACACAAATTATACTTTATCCAATTTAGCTCCTCAGCAAATCTTAACATCAGAGATACTGTACTCACAATCATTATCAAGGTGTCCAAAATCAACTATATACATAAAAAAAAAATATCAGGATCAGACATTAATTACAGCTTCATGTAGGAACAAGTACAACTGACCTCATTTGCTCACCTATCTGCCAGTATTTTAGCATTTACCAGTACAGTGAGTCTTGGGGCATAATCACTCCTCTATTTCCTTTGTCACTGTCCACATTCATAACATATCTTTCTTCTGACTAATGTGCATAAAGATCAGAGTTTCTCATTCCCTCAAAGGAAAAGGAAATATAAATACATGCACACGTACACATCATCAGATGAGATCAAGAGATCATTCAACATTATTTTGATAATTATTTTGGAAAACCACATCAAAAATTAGTAATAAAACTTGACTCAATATATAACTTGACATTAAAATTAAATATGCCTCTCTCAAACCAACATAAATATATTTTAAAGAAAAGTGGAGTGAAATGTAAAACTTAAGTCAATTATCAAAGATGTAGGGTTCAGAAATGCTAAATAAAATGCAAACGATAATTATTTTTGTATATCATTATATGATTAAAAAATAACACAAGAATTAAGAGCAATCATAGTCGCTGCACCGTCAATCAAACTTGATAAAAACCATAAATCACTCCTTCATATTTCATATTTAACAAGCGCATACTCTCTAAAAAAAATTGAGTGATCACGGACGTCACTCCTCTGGAGAGTGAAAATGTAGTGAAAATAGAGTGAACATTCACCCTTTTCTTCTTAGAGAGCACTCTAAAATCAATCGATTTTCACTCCTAAACAAGTGATCACGGACGTCACTCCCAAGAAAGTGAAAATAGAGTGAAAATTCACTCTCTTTTTTTAAGAGAGTACACTTGTGCTGTCCAATTATTCCTATAGTAGAACGTAGTAAGACGGCCGACGGCTCATAAACACCGCCTAACCTTTGGCGTAAAATCATTGCCCTAGGTCCATGGTAAAATGCAGTCGTGCCAATCAATAACCACGAAGACTTAATGGACTCGACGCTCCCATTAATATACCACCACACTCACACAGGCATTGCGACTGGTAGGACCACCACTTGTTGTTTCTTACTCTTAGTTTTACCAGATCGGTATTAATCGAAAATACACATACTTCAACAAACAGGCCAATACATAATGATACATTAAGCTCCTCAATGTTATATCAGTTTTGAGTATTACTTACATGTTAAATTAATGTCTCACAAGAGAAAGTTTTCCCGTCGTCGTAAGCGATCGCTACGGTTGCGAAGGTAAATATAGGCCTGCGAGTCTCTTGTGCCTGCAGCGAGAGTAAACGGTGGTCCGCTGACAATACAACTGTGGATTTTCGCTCTCACAATGGCGGACCAATAGAGTTATGTAATCAATTAAGCTGAAGTCAGGCGCGCCGGAAGCAGTTTGGGACTGGGGGGGCAAACATTCCAGGGGCTCACATTCGAGGGGCAGTGACGTAATGAGAAAAAAAGTTCGGAAGGGGGGGGGGGGGCACACGAAAAATCTGCATCACCACCAGTCTTACACGTTACATGCAGGTCCCGCGGAACGTTTTTCAAAGTGGAGTATTATCGATCAGGTAGAGCGTAAATTGGCGTGGGGTCCAGGGAATGAGCCTCGGCAGGGGGTCAAGGGGCTGAGCCCCCGGAAGCTCAGGGGTTTTAGGTATTTATTTACGGTTAGATGAGCATCCAGGGGCCCTCTGTAAGGCAATTGACGTGTTCCAAGGGGGGGGGGGGGGGGAGAGCCCAGAAATTCAGAGGTTTTGATATTTAACTACGGTCAGATGAGCATCCAGGGGCCGTCTTAGGGCCCTTGGTGTGGTTCAGGGGGCAGAGCCCCCGGAATCTCAGGGGTTTTAGGTATTTAATTACAGTCAGATGAGCATCCAGGGGCCCGCCTTAGGGCCCTTGGTGGGGTCCAGGGGGCAGAGCCCCCGGAAGCTCAGAGGTTTTAGGTATTTAATTAAGGTCAGATGAGCATCCAGGGGGCCGCCTTAGGGCCCTTGGTGGGGTCCAGGGGGCAGAGCCCCCGGAAGCTCAGGGGTTTTAGGTATTTAATTACGGTCAGATGAGCATCCAGGGGCCCGCCTTAGGGCCCATGGTGGGGTCCAGGGGGCAGAGCCCCCGGAAGCTCAGAGGTTTTAGGTATGTAATTAAGGTCAGATGAGCATCCAGGGGGCCGCCTTAGGGCCCTTGGTGGGGTCCAGGGGGCAGAGCCCCCGGAAGCTCAGGGGTTTTAGGTATTTAATTACGGTCAGATGAGCATCCAGGGGCACGCCTTAGGGCCCTTGGTGAGGTCCAGGGGGCAGAGCCCCCGGAAGCTCAGAGGTTTTAGGTATTTAATTAAGGTCAGATGAGCATCCAGGGGGGCCGCCTTAGGGCCCTTGGTGGGGTCCAGGGGTTTTTAGGTATTTAATTACGGTCAGATGAGCATCCAGGGGCCCGCCTAAGGTCCCTTGGTGGCGTCCGGGGGCAGAGCCCCCGTAAGCTCTGGGGTTTTAAGCATTTAATTACGGTCAGATGAGCATTTTTTATACCTTATTTGTGACATTGGCAGGTCACTTATTTTTTTCTCCGTCTTTCTTTCTTTTTTTCTTTAACATACTTTTTCAAAAAGGAGGGGGGGGGGGCTCGAGCCCAGCCACTTTGCAGACCATGACATAAAGGCTTCTAAATTAGCGTATTTCGCCTGACTGTAATTTGGGAATTTCTTATTTTCCAACAAACGCATAAAAAGGTATGACTTACAAAAGAAATGGAGAAAAAATGCCGGAAAATCATGTCACAACATCAACATTTGTAAATCAATTGTTTCGAATAAGAAATACATCATCCCCCCCCCCCCCCCATCAGTACGCCAGCGTTCAGGGGCTCATGTCTTCTCACCCCTATAACAAAAAAACGGGCACGCTTTCCCATTCTCGCACAATATGTCCACGATATGCGCGTATCGCTATTATAGAGACCTCCATTGATAAATACCGTATAGGTGGCATGCGCAATGTTTATGAAATTTAATTCCTGTGAACTTTCCGTTTCTTCGAATGGAATTGTATATGTGATTTAATTCAGGTTTTTATTATTGTTACGTTCTTTTGGATTAAAAATACAAGCCTTTACTGTTTTTGTTTTTGTTTTTTTTGGAGGGGGGGGCGTTTTGGGGGGGCAAAAATGCGTTTTGCCCCCCCACTTTTTTGACTGGGGGGGCAACTGCCCCCCCTGCCCCCCCACTTCCGGCGCCTATGGCTGAAGTCGTCTGATTACATAATAAGACATTCTACGAATTTAAGTATGATCGAGGACAGCAAGCGGCGGTACAAAACCAAGATAAAAAGCATGTATGCATGATTTGCCAAAACTCTCTACGGGTTCGATCGTAAATCCCAATTCCAATTTATGGAATGATATTTCCAGAAAATTTTAAATTGTGCAATTTTAAATTGTTGGCTTTTCAAAATAATGTGATATATTGAACATTGGCGTAGCGTACGTGGGCTCAGTAATGGGAGGGGGCACCAGTCTTTAGTCTATTTAGATCATTTTTTTTTTTTTTTTTAATTAGCAGTCATGCACGCACGGCAACCCTCAGGAGTTAAAAAGTTTCGCATCATGCACCAAGTATAAAAAATTAGTCAAAGAGGAGTTTCCACTATTCGTACACATACAAGCAAATTTTCGCGTGAGGGCCGCTTGCCCGAAAATATCTTATCCGGATCTCAAATATTGCGAGCGAGCGAAAACTCATTCAAATGGCAAAAAATGTTATTTAGTCATCAATATATACCCTAGATAAACTGTACATTTGGTCATCTCTTTGCTAGGAATCATGTTGTTTAATCAATTTTTTCGAGAAAGAAGCGAACAAGGGGGGAAAAGACACTTTGTTGTGGTATAAAACCCATATTACGACATAAAAGTTCAACAAAATATCCTAAATGTGCCATGCTGCCCGAACCAGACGATATTCATGGATTTCGCTGCCTGAAACTATTCCGTTTCTTAATTATCCAAGTGAGCGAGCAAAGGAAAAGAAATTTTACTATCTCTGAAATTTTATTTCCCCATCGAAATACCCAAAGTGATATATTTGGGCAACCTTTAATTTGTTATACTTTCTTTTCGTGACGTTGACGCCTTTTTTGTTCAAACTATATTATTATTTTTTAATATGACTGAAATTCTTTTTCGGCATAAGCCATATCTTATGAACAATTCTTTCTCGTTGAAAAACGCTGTACTAGATGGTTAACATTTGAGGGGCAGATGACAAGGCATGGAGGGGATATATTGCATTTAAAAGTGAAACGGACACATTACATACTCTCTCTCTGTCACTTTTCCCGTTTGTCTTTCTTTCGCTCATACTAATTTATGTCTATTTATTTTTCTTCTCTGCTTTACACTACATCAATGACGCAGATCGGATCATCCAAAAGAATTTTTCGATACTCGTTTATTGCACTTCTTTCAACATATTTCATTTAACATTTATTATGTTGTCCCCGCGTTACTGAATAGCATAACCTAATTTTCTGGCTATGGATATTCTAATAAAACAATAATTATACCATCAAACAACCATGGGCAAAAAACACAACAAAACTATCGCGCACTTCCAGTAATCCATCAATCAATCAAACAATTCATTCATTATTAATAATTCGCTCATGATCACAAAATTAACTGGTTCGTTCGTCGTTCGTTCGTGCAAAGAATATCAGGGAGTACATCATCTAGATAGGAAGATCCTTATTGAGCCAACAGATCGTCTCATCATCGAGCTCACGAAGTCCGGAAGCGCCGTGGGGGGATTTGTAGATCGGACAATCATCAATGACATGATCCATAGTTTGGATCTCTCCACAGGCGCAGTTTGGTGATGATTCAGCTCCAATTTTATGTAGGAAATATTGTGTGCGGCCAACTCCAGTTCTGACACGGTTTAGGTTGACCCAGGCTTTTCTTGGGAGGTCGCTGCCACTTGGTTTTGCACAGGGCTTTGGGATGAACTCCTTCAGGTTGGTAATGTACGAAAACAATCCACCAATGGATAAGTAATACATCAATCACTCACAAGTTTGTAATGTCAAAATAGTTTTTCTCTTTATGACGAATGGACGATGAAACAAGAGTAGACATGCCTGCATCATGATTCTGATAAGCAGTCAACAGATTTTTTTCCCCAACCACTTAATTTTCCCAATTATTTTACAATATTATAGCAAGTGTGCTTGCACGACAACCATTATTATACCTCATATCATATTAAACTGACAAGTATCGATTTAAACATTTCTCACTTTGCAGTTTTATAAGTTTCTTTAATTAATGTTTAAAGGGGTTGTAATGATGTTATGAATCAATTAAGAGGAGTGATTATAAAAAAATAACCTTCATTTTCACAATATCTACACTCATTCATGTATAATGAGAAAATAAAGGGTTGTAAATAATCATTATCATAAATTTAAAAATTTAAAAAAATCTAGTTTTAACACATGTGGAGGATGGGCCCTTTATTTTATTTTACCACTTTGCCAAGCAACTTCCAGCTGAAATCAGACAACCACCTCTTATTAACATTTTCAGGACTTCACAATAATGACTACACCAGCACTGGACTCCATTGAATAAGACAATGATATAATTGGTAGTACACATAATTTGCAAATAAGAAATTTGACCAATATGCAAGATTTTTATTATGAACATGGTTACTGAAATTCCCCTTTTGGAGCATTACTCCCTAGGTATTTGCACACAGGGGGAAGGCAATTTGGCAATCACGACAATACTAATAAGGCAGTCCATGATCACTACATTACCATTCTTTCCTGGGTGGAGAATGACAAAGGCATGTTGATGTTTTCCAAATGACATCACATTGGCTGCATTGTATGAGATTAATACTTAGAATCAGTGCTCCAAAGATATTTCTTCTGTTAGCATTGTAACTTTGTAAGGTAGTAGAAAGTGAGGTTATAATATACTCTTACTAGAGAGAACTAAAAGAAATTTGTCTTTTTTTACAGGAAAATGAATTGGAAATTTGGAATATCCTACATATTTTATCGTGAGAAACTTTGGAAGAACACATCTTTCCAAATACCTAAGTTTAATCACTTATGAAAGAAAACAAACATTTGGAACCTTTCTGCAACTCTTTTCACATACTCGTTGTTACTACAGAATTGCACAAAGTAGTCTGCAGTGCCGTACTGTAGTAAATACAATCAAATAACTTTACTAAACAATAATACCTTCATCTAACAAAAATCAGGAGCTGGAAGAATGAATTACAGTCAAACCTTCTTTAGTGACAACCTGTATAGAAAGACCAACTGTCTACAAAGACCACACTTTTAGTTTCCCTTGAAAATACTTTCTCATTGAAACATGTACTAAAGGCACCTGTTCATAAATACCACCTGCCTACATAGACCACTTTTCTTGACTCCCTTGGGTGGTCTTTATAGACAGGTTTCACTATATAACGGTATATATTCTTGTGAGTTTCATGCTAACAATTTCCCATTTTTCGGAAGACTTTTCCTTCTTAAAGTGAAGAAAAAACGGATATGTCCAAGCATGATATCATAATACATTTGTAGAAAGAAAGAAGTTACGCAGATCAGTCGTGTGATTGACAACAATACTATACAATAATACGTCCAGTTATTTGAAAATAATTTTTGCAGCAGAGGTTTTAAAATTATTATATAATTATAAACAATTACAAAATCATAAAAATTACGACAAGGTCCGATATAATATGAGATTACTCATTGATAACAAAAATGCTAGCTGCGATTTATCATAAGAATGCTAACCAAGACAAATCCTTATTCAATTCTTTTGAATTTTTAATCATGGACTGAAATTCATCGTATCACCTACGAAGAGAACATGGGGACATCTCTTACAAGACAGGCTATATTACACTAATTTGCAGGCACAAACCCTGGTCATTCGTAAAAGAGAGTCTGCACTACAAGACTACCATAGGCCATATACTATAGCTGCTCTTGACACATATTGACATAACCAGTAGGTAGCTGGGCTAGGCTTCTCTCAAGGCACAATGATTTTTTGATAAAGTGTCAAATTAGGGTCTGTGCTTGCAGACTAATATTATATTACATACGGAAAGTCGGCTGATGTAGGAATTACAGTGACTTGCAGAAGAGGGGGCTTCAGGACCCATAACATTTCAATTAAAAAATGAAATGTTTAACCAACATTAATGACATGTATGTATAAATGCTATGCAATTGTGGGCTTCACTCGCTTAAAGTAGATATTCATTGATTTTAAAAACTAACTTTATTTTCATTATTGCAAAGTTGAAACTTTGATTCGGCAAGATTATCAAAATTCAATGCTTGGAAACATTCAAAGTAACGATTTTTATAAATTACAAAACGCTTAAATACAGCCCCGGCATAGCACCTGAAGAGCTCTCCGAACGCTGCTGAGTTGTGTGAGATCACAGTATGGACATGATTTGCACAAGCAGACGATGTCCCATGACATCTCACACATTTTCAGTGCCTGTGTTTTCATCTTCTCTTGAGTTCTTTCTCTTACTTCACTACCGTCAGGCTAAATGTATAATCTATTGCCTCACTCTAAACCCCGCACATGGTTTTATTTTGATGACACATGCAGCAATACAAAATAAAGGAATATGTCGCTTGTAAACAAAATAAGACGCCATTGTATATTCAGCTGCACACACTGCGGTATGTTCAGCGTTTCAAGAGGGAACAAAATAATGCCGTCCTTAATATAATTCTGGGGGTTTTTCAATTTGAAAGTCTGGTTTCTTTGATTGTTAATTAACCCCTATCCTGTGTATTTACAAGCAAAAGATTTTAGTTATCAGAATCGGGTCATATCCCCTTTTGAATGGTTTGACATGACATTACATTTATATACACTAAACTCATCATAATTTGACAAATAATAGCTTTGCAATTATGTTCATTCTTTATTGGATGTCATCTGCTTGGGCAGTATTGGTCCATATAGTGACGTCATTAAAACATCGTTATTTTTCTGGCGAATCTCTCGTATATCCCAGCTGCTGTGGAGATGGTTGTACGGTATTTGTATTTTTATAAATTACCCGATATGTAGTTGACCTAAAACTTGTACGATGGCCATCTGTTAGCTTACCAGTTTCTAGTGATACATTAGTTGACATATTTGTGATTTTCTTTGAATTTCACCTTTAATAAAAATACACACTTCTAATGTTTACTTGTTCCTCAGCACCTCCTGTGTACTGGTAACCTAACATCAGTGTGATAGGCTAACTACTTCACAGTTGACCAGGAAAACACTTCATAAAGTCATACTAGTGTATAATGAATCTCCTCTACCATCTTAGGTCCACGCTTGCAACGAAACAGCTCCAAGACAGCAATAAAATTGAGTCCAGTTTAGAGACTTTGTTCCTGAATACAGTTCTCGGTGTCTTTCCTCAATTAAAGACATGCCTCAAACCAATAACACTTTTCCCTCTTTACTAGAAATTCTCAGATGCTCTCATTAACTTCATGAATCAATAACATTAGAATTGTGGATATAAGTCATTTCTCCTATGATTCCAAACTGGCATTGATGTTCTAATCTTTTGAAGATAATCAGGATCAATTTGTGCTACAGCCACTCCTTCTCCTTCACTGCACTGTGCAATGACGGCTCCCCAAGGATCAACAATCTGAGGTGAAAAAGAAGAAAATAAACAGATTTTGAAGAATTAAAAGAAAGTTATAAAATTTATCTCATTGTAGTAAGTTATTGAATCTAGTACTTGAATCAAATCAGCCATAACAAAACTGTGTAAACTTTGCATTATTGTGTTAAAAAGTTATCTTCATTTTACATGCATATTACAAAAGTCGTACTTGCTTTAGTGACCCCCTGCCTACAAAGACCACCTGTCTACAATAGCCACATTTTTTGTTCCCCTTGAAAATGGTTTCTCATTGAAATATGTACTAAAGGAACCTGTCTACAAAGACCACCTGTCTTCAAAGAACACCTTTTGTGTTTTCCTTGGGTGGTCGCTATAGACAAGTTTGACTGAATATTATTTACACTTGAAGCTTGGCCCTAAATTGATCTCTCCTTTCATGTACCTTTTCCTTCATGTTAATCATAGATGTAAAGATGGGGACAGCAAGCCAGTTCTATACAAACTTTACAGACATGACATAATCATTAATGGAGTCTTCCTTAGCTTACCATTGCATGGCCATAGCTTGCTCTCTTGTCGTTGTGTTTTCCGGTTTGTGCGGCAGCAATGACATAACACTGGTTCTCTATTGCTCTGCTCCGTAACAAAGGCTAGGTGTTAGAAAAGAAAATTTGCTAAGAAGATGAAATCATTTTAGAAAAAAACATTGCTTCAACCTCATTTAAATACCATATACAGGTTATATGTAGCCTATTATTACAGCAAATCTCAAGAGAATTACCGAGTTTGTAGAGGATGGTGAAAACTGGTCCTCAGAAGTTCAAAATTGACAAAAGAGCTTCATTTCTTTTATCATTAAGCCCAAACAAAGTTATCACCATCTGCAAGTTACAGACAATCCTAACAAAATGATGCTTAGCCTCTCCCGTCCCCGATCAAAACCCTACATTCTATCAAAGAAAAAGAAATCTTCCATACCTCCCAATGAGCCATTCCTGTTGGGATCGTGAAAGCTGAAGGAAAGGTCAAGATCTCTGCCCCTTGCTTGGTCAGTGTCATTGAAAACTCTGGAAACCGTAGGTCGTAGCACTTCAGTAAGGTCAAGGAATATACCATAATCACACAACCGAATAAATATTTTAACTAATTGTAGCGATATTTTTAGTTATAAACCTGTGTTTTTGTTTAACTCACTAAACCTCTCACATATGAATATGAAAGGCTACAAGAGAGGGAGAAACATTACCACACCAGCAACTTCATTATCACAATTGGCCCGGGAGTAATAAGAAATCAACTGAGCTGTTGCAGCCCCTTACTGCTCATTTAAAGATTCATTAAGACTGAAAAGAGGTATGAGTAATAGAAGAAGAAAACATTATTTAAAGCCCCACTGCACTACTTATAACTACTTGCGCCCTCTATATAGCAAACAATGCCTAATCGGTGTCTGTTGGTCCCCAATGATCCTCTGTTTCTTATGTTAATTGAGAGCTGATTTGATGAGATAACCACTTGTCAGTGACCCTGCAGGGTGGTCTAACCCCCCTGGCCAAACTAGTGCAGACAGCCTTTAAGACCATTAAAAGCAAATGCAAAACATCCTCTTAATACTAAACCACTTGTGCCATGAAGCTAGTACAAGGATACAATTCCTAGCCCCACTTTCCCAACAGGAGTGTTGACTGGAGGTACGATGGTCTTTCCTGGGCTGGTGCAGTCTCTTTCATCCAGCCTGACCTGACCCTTAATATCCACAGAGAATAGGTGAGTCTTGGAGTACTTGCTGATCACATCTCCATTCTCATCCAGTATCACATGAGTATTCAGCATTTTCAAGTCATTTTCAGGGTCCTGAAATGCATACCGGTATTAATAAATCTTGCTTATAGGTATAGTTATATCACATTTGAATTGCATACTAACATTAAAAATGTGTATTCTTCTAATCATGCACTGACTATTGATCTTGATAAACTTAACAAGATGTGAAGGTAAAATATATATTCTATGTGACTGATAGAAATCTTTCAATCACTTGTAATGGTAAGTATAAAACTGTATGAGTATGATCACTATATGGGTTTTTTGTTAAAGCTCATTCCTAATTTCTCTCCCATTTATCACAACAACAAACACTGTTTTTGTTTTCTTCTTTTCTTGTGGATGTTGTCAATTGAAAGGATTAATCTTTCACTGAATAAAGGTTCTAGCTTTTAAACTGACTTTCATCTTTGCTCCCTACTCTCTAGGCAGTAGCTAGTTGAAACTCATTATATTAAAGGTAATACAAAGTTTTGGTATTGGGTCACAAATTTTGTTCAACTGTGACACATTGGAAGCATATGCGATCCTACAATATTCAGTAATCGTTGTCGCGGTTGAAATCGAGTCCAAAGTTATGAAATTTTAAATAATACACTCTTCTCTTTCTGTTGTATAGCTCCCTCTCAAGGTCAAGATATTAAATAAGCTATAAAACAATGTTTCTTGACTAAAATTGACCCATTAGCTATTCCCGTTATATATATAAATTATATATCACAACTACATTTTCTGAGATTTTCATGGTCGCAGCTACCATTGTACGGCCGTAGGCGCTATTTGAAATTTATCAAAATTTACCTTTAAGATGGCCCTCTCATATGTAGTCAAAGAACTATGCTTCCAAAGGAGAAAATACTACAATTATTTTCACGCAGTTGGATCTGATGATAAGGTTAAGAAGTAATAGATGTAGCAAAACTGATACTCATTGACTCATTTTATGAATATTGTACCTTTTCATGGAAGCCTCCAATGGATAACCATACTTTATGATCCCTTGCAAGCTGTTTGAAAGCTGATATCGTTGGTCCATTGATGTCCTCGGCATATTCCACACTCTCAGCCGGTGATCTCTGGATATAATCACAGGCTTCAGGTAAGAATACCATCTGCAGACAGCAAGAATGTGTGAAATATAAAAGACATGCAACATCAAACAAAAATTTTAAAAGCCAATGTACAGGTATAATAGGTATTATTATAATAGGTATAATACTATTAATAGGTATTATTCTCATGCACTAAGCAGGTTGATTGAAGCAATACTTGTTACATCATTCTACAGTGAGGTGTCGATAAACTAGGCAGAGCTATTTCCTTTTTTAAAACATTTTTAATCTGACATTGTTACATAACCAGATTAACTAAATTTATGCTTGCTATTGAAAAATGTTATGCCGAAAATGTGAATTATAAAAGTTACAATGAACTAAAATACCTCGTAAAATCATCACCAACAGTACAAAAAAATCAGAGTTTGAAGACATAACTATTCTGAAACCAGGCCATTTGCATTGATTTCATTTTACTCACATCACTTCTTGGTAACCAGGTAACTTGTAATATATTTGTATTCCTAACACCGACTCATAGACACTAGACAGCATCTCAAAGTGGAAAATCGGCTAAATAAATTACAAATTACAACAATTATTATTTACAACATTTCTGGTTTCTTATGTTCAGCATATTCAACTATTCGTGTTTATCACTATCAGACATCATGATGTTTCATATTCATAAATTATCAAGGTTGAATATATGCATACCAAAACACTAATAAAATTAGCAATATTCCCACAGACAAACTACACAGAATGCAGATGCATGCAATTTAAAACTGTTTACATGAAATGTATACTTTTAAACAAATCAGTACAATATTATACGTATATGCTTCATTGCATTGTCAACCTTCACAAACCTTCAGCGGTATTTGAGCGAGCTCCACCGGAGGAGTTCGGGCGACCGAGTTTGCTATTGTAGTCTGACTCTGACGTGAGTAGTGAGTACATGGTATATTTTGATAATATGTAGGTTTTATGTAGGCCTACCTTTGCTCCCATCTTGCATGCTGTTTCTACAACTCTCCTACATGAGTCGTGTGTCTTCACTTTATCTTCGGTTGCTGTTATTTGACAAACTGCTACAACATTTATACCCGGTGATTTTGACTGCGCCATCTCTTGCAATTTCCCATTCATGCACGTACCGGTACTTTCCTGCAATACTAGTCTATATCTCTGAGGCAATGAAGCTGACAAACAAACCATTATAAATTCTACGGTAGACCTTGAGAAACGACATAGATAAGATGGGTGTATTGACTGCCAAATTCCATTATTTCAAACGTCGAACGAAATTAAATCTATCAGGACACGTACGTTCTTCTGCAGTGGACTGGATTGAAGAAAAAAACACTGTCGGCACAACGCCGCGCCCCGCCCATGACCACGCCCTAATTGCAATGGACCCCTCCTAGCTCCTCCTACCATTGACTATCCTCCGTCTGAAGACCGATATGATGCGTGGTAAAGGAAGGGGGGGGGGGGGGGTGTGGGGGTGGGGGCAGGGGCGGGGATGTTCAGCGGGTCGAGAAATTTAAGGAGGACAGATACGGGCAGATTAAAAGCAGTAGTAAAACTTACCTACTCTTTTGAGGGAGCGTGGATTTATTTATTAAAACAAAAAACTCTCGAGGTGGTCCTTAACATGACTCCTAAAAAAGCGGATGTTTCCATTTTCGGTCAGGCCTATATGTAAATTTTCTTAAATTTGCTCAATGTAAGTAAATCGTTAGAAACCTTTTACTTACCCATTTTCTTTAAAGTAAAACATTAATTCTGGTTCAAAATGTGTTATCATTAAAATATCAACTACACAATGTATATATAATAATTACATTAACAAAAAACGCGAAATTGGTCAAAGAATATTATTTTGTATATATTGGACATCTTTTTATTTACTGAAAACACTAACGCAATCACCCTAACCCTCTTGTTCTCGGTCTCTCTATACCCCCCCCCCCCTCTCTCTCTCTCTCTCTCTCTCTCTCTCTCTCTCTCTCTATACCCCCTCTCTCTCTCTCTCTCTCTCTCTCTCTCCCCCAGGTTGTCTCTCCCTCCCTCTCTCTCTCTCTTTCCACTCCGTTCCTGTTCTCAATGATCTCTGTATTTATACCCCGATCACTCGACACGTTGTCGCATAATTTTGTTGTCTTTATCATGAACAATTTTTGCTTAATATCAAAACAATAATTTGTCATTTTTTCAAATAGGCTTGTGTCTGCTATATATTCAAATCTTTGTGTTTGCAAAAATAGGCAAATATTGTCATAAATTAGTATCAAGGTATCACTTTTAAATATTTAGTGTACATGATATTTATAAAAAAAAATCACTTTGCATGACGATAATTTAGGTAAATGATAATGAATGGCTGAACTATATTATTTAAAAGGCCAGGAAATATGTGGTAATATGATATTCTTCTGTTACAAAAGTCTACTTACTAAAATGATACTCACAAATGCAAACTTACACAGACAATTATTATCAGCAAAAATTTGTTATTCTTATTCTTTGGCATAGAAAATATTCGAGAGCGTACATAAAAGTTCAAAGCAATATATTACCAAACAATATGCCTATATTATTTGCTTATATGAAATAAAAGTATTTTAGTCTTTCTTGACTATAAAATCGGTTTACAGTGCTATGGATCACAAGATGTCTAGGCCTATATGTATACACATCACGTGAACCAACTATTCCCCTATATACTCCATGCCACTCCACGTTTTCTACAAGAGCTTTCTATAATATAAACAGATTTTCTACTTTCGCTGTTGCTGCAAGCTTTCTTAAACATTTCAGATCATACTTATAAAAAAAAAACGTGTAAACTAAATAGGATATACTATTTTTAATGAATTTGAAACTTAAACACAAAAGTGAAATCATGCAAACAAATGACCCCCTATATATTTTTCAAATTCAAACTTCTACTTTCATTTTCATAATGGATAAACAAAAATACAATCGTTATTTTATACAGCTGGAAAAATCATTTTCAAACTTTGGATACTATTAGGTAATTGCAGGGGTAAACAAAATTGCAGAGTATTTTTTTTCTTCGGAGAGAAACGCACACTATAACATAATATTAGTGGTAAATCATTGTTCAGGTGATTTCGGTAAAATATTGAATTAAATCAATACCCGTCCCTATTATCATGTATATTGCACTCTTCATTGTATGTTTTATATCATTTCGAGTATATTTAATAAATTATCGATCATTAACTTATAATCGACAAGTCGTATTTTCACGATGCATCCAGACATATTTCCAGGATTTAATGTTTAAACAATCTATTGGAGAACATAATCCTTTTTAAAAGTATACAAAACTGGTTCTTTCAGACATGATTATATTTGCATAAAACTCCTCCGATAGAATATACTAATGCACACATTTTTTAGCATGCAGTCACACGATTTTTTAAGGAATAAAATCACAATATTCAACAATTTCAAACAAAAGAAATGTATTCATATTCACAGTAGTGACAAACCTATTAAAAATGTTTCATTATTGCAAACAATAATCAAATATAACGTATATTACCAATTTATTTATGCACTTTTTTAGCTTTGCCAATAAGACTTTAAATTGTAAAAATGTAAAAACTGTATAAACTGTAAACTTCATGTAATTAAAGAAGAAATCATTATCCATTATAATTAAAAACAATGATCTAGCCGTTGTGCGATACCTTATCAGATACCACAGGCAGCTCAACTGTGTCCTTAGCATTAATCGTATGACTTGGGTAATTGTTTTATTTGCCAGCTTTGACCAGCGACGCGAAGATGCTGTCTTCTTTTTCGAGGAGCGTGTTCGGGGAGTCGAACTCGACGACGCGACCGTCACTGAGAGTGAGGATGTTATCTGCGTCCAAGATCGTACCCACGCGATGCTGAAAGGTGAAGAGTAATAAAAAGACAATGTAAATACATTTCGGATTTATCAATACTCGGATGAAATGTTCTGATGTTGTGTACAGCAATAATTTTCAATATACCAATCGCAAGAGTCTATCAATTTTCAATATCAATCGCATACATTGTGTTGTAGGTTTGTCAAATTTATTTTTAAAAAGGATGAAGTAAACACGATAAAGCACATGGTAATTTAGAAATCCGCAAAAAATAACTGTATAACAATAAAAAGACGGTATACACTATAAATGTATCGACAACTGGAACTTATCTTTTCCCGTTTTTGATAAACGAAATATCTGATAACATTGTTAATCACATGAATTTGAATTATATATAATGCTATTTTCATGAATTTTATTTATATTTTTTGTCCTGCAAAGATGGATCATTTATTCTTAGACAGGAAATGCAATATTTTGTTATGAATTAAATTGTTCACGCTAGCATAAAAATACAAAGATCTGTTTTTACTTTTTCTAAATTTGTACTATATACTATAATATCTGTTTTTACCGCGATTGTGATGACTGTTCTATCTTGGAAGACATCAGCCACCACGTCTTGGAGGATGCGATCCTAGATGATGGTAAAGATAAAAATAGTGATATTAAAAGAATAGTGGTATTAACAATAATGATATCATAAAATAGTGATATAACAAAAATAGTGATTTAAAAAGATAGTGATATTAAAAAAGGGTGATGTCAGCCACATTAATGACTTCTTTTAAAACATAACTTTAAACAAACCCTGCCTATTTTCTAAGGTTATAAAAACATGTCTAACAAGGTTCCCCCTCTCTCTCCCTCCCTCTCTCTCTCTCTCTACCTTTCTATTATCTTTACTACTCCCCTTTCTCCTTATAATAGCCATATAACTTATATTCAGTTGAGCATTTTCAAAACACGAATGGATTTTTTTTTTGGAGGAGAATATCCAAGTTTTCACTCTCCACATTCTTTTTAAATCTAGAAAAGGTTTAACGGGATCCTTGGTTTTATACTGGGGCCAACTTACAGTTTCTTGATCGATGGAAGCAGTAGCTTCATCCATGACCAAGATAGTTGAGTTACGGAGGAAAGCCCGGGCCAGACAGAAGAGCTGTCGCTGACCAACGCTGAAATTCTCTCCTCCCTCCGTCACGATATAGTCTGATGAAAAAAGTATTAAAGACAAGAATTCAGAGACAGTGATAATGGATTGTTTCCAAACTTATCGAAAGTTTGGGTACGGTGGTTGTTCCATTTAGAATGAACACTTGCTCTATGAGTATGACATCATCAAAGAATATCCTTTGAGACAGTTGTCTCCAGAACAATTTCCAAGTAATAAGCTCTCAGTTTGCATGGGCACAGCCTTGAGGAGGCTCCTCTTGGGAAATGAAAATGATGAAACGACGAGCATATACAAATTCGATAAATCGCAAAGAGCAAGATGTGATTTTTTTTTAATTATTGAATTTCTATCATAATTTATGGTCAACTGTAAGATGAAGAGGGGGGTCACTTTTCATAGGAGAGCTATTCCAAAATCTAGTTGTGATCGTCACTGTCTCACAACGTCTGAACATTTAGTAGTGATTTCATGAAGTTTTCTTCAAACCTAATATGAGACCGGGGGGGGGGGGTGGAATGAATCGTTTTATGAATTCCACAATATTACACAATTATTAATATAAAACAGTTCAATATCACTAATATTAAAGTTGAGCAGTGAAGCAGCTTTATTGTTCTAACCATGTCACTCGTGCATACAGCCAGTGCTAAATACTTTTTTGACAAACCACTTACCCAATCCACCTTCTAATGGCGAAACGACTTCTTTGAGTTGAGCTATCTCTAAAGCCTTCCACAGTTCATCGTCTGTCTTTACACCCGCTGGATCAATGTTATGTCTTGAAAGTAAGATAATCAGACACATTATAGGTATATGAATTCATGTACTATTCATCAACTGATTTAACTTAAATGATATGGCAATCCTGGTTATAAGGTAGCGAAATTTCGAAGAAAACAAGCAAAAACTTCTTTAGAAATAACTGCAGCTAATTATACACTTTGACACCGTGTATATGAAGAAGAGAAGAAATTACTAAATGCTTGAAAACGTTCCTATGTGTTTCCTTTACTTTAAATCTATATTAAAGCATGAGACACAAGCCCAACATGTTCAGACTTTAATAATAAGATTTAAACACTGTCAATAGTGCTTAAATACTAATACTATATACAAACATGAATATGTACAAGATTTTAAAAATATCAAAAATATCATACTTTCTTTTGATTGATTGCGGTGTCATACGGGTGTCTTACACATTTGCATATTCACACTCACTAATCATGATTACGAGCTAACCATTATACCAATGCATACACATAGGTTCGAACCCTCAAACTCTCGACTGAAGGTCAATAGAATGAACCACTACACCATAGCGCTCGATCCTTTATAGTTACCTGATAGTTCCAGTGAAGAGAACGGCATCTTGTGGGATGATAGAGAGTCGTTGGCGGAGTGTGATAAGAGGAACTGATGAAATATCTACTCCGTCAATCAGAATTCGACCTTCGATAAAAAAAAAATTAAAAAATGACGATGTATGCTGTATATGCTTATACATGCATCTTTCACCTAGGTTTTCTAAAAATTTAGACTATAATAATGTAACAATTTATACATCGTATAGTTTCACAACTTGACAATGATTAGTTTCCTTGAAGGAATGGTTTAAAGGAAAAATAGGTTAAAAGCACCCTCAGGGCAAAACTTTTGTCATTCCCATGGGGTTTTCACTTAATGTTTGAGTTTGAGTTTGAGTTTGAGTTTGAGTTTGAGTTTGAGTTTGAGTTTATTAACAACAAAAATAATAACAAGTAAAACATAATGTATCAAGCATAATTACATAAAATATAACAATATAACACAAGATCGATAACATTACACATGAATAAAATAAATATTGTTTTACAAAGTATGTCGTATACAAATAGAATAATAATCTAATGCTGTTCAATTAGGTGTTATTTAGAATGGTGGATTATAAAGAAATAAACGTCTTAGAATAAAGGTTACCTTTGAAAGTATCGATGATACGGAAGAGAGAAAGTGTTAGCGATGATTTCCCGCTCCCGGTTCGACCACATATTCCCAACTATAATAAACATCGACAACAATAAACAAATCATTACATGTGAAATTCATATAAGTTCAGAATCTAAATGTGAGTTGTCACGCAAGTAATATACGTGACACTGCCTTAAAGTTGGTATCTCGTGTAGTAATCCTATGTTAACTAAGTTGCTGACATTAAATTTTGCTTTCATTCTTTTAAAGGTTTTCTACAAACATAACTCTTACTTTTCCTTTTGGACTCAAATAACTGTTTTTATACTATGTTTTTTTCTTTTCTTTTTGAATTAAAAAAAAAATACTTTCGCACTTCCTTTTCTAATCCCTTTCCCATTTCCTCTTTCCACCTTTACTTTAATTTCTTTCAATTTACAAATTTGTGCTGAAATTAGAGTAAATTACAACCTTTTGACCAGGAGGGATGGTGACAGAGACATCATGCAGTACAGGATCGAGCTCCAGGGCGTAACGTACGCTGATGTTATCAAGAATGATTTCACCTTTCTGGGGCCACTCGGGTGGAGGTTCCAGACCTGCAAGAGAAATCGGAATAGAAAAGTGTTGTATCATCTCTTCAGTTGACACAGAGACTCATTTATTAATTCATTCATTCTCTCATTCATTAATTCACCTACTCATTAAATTCATTAATTTATTAGCCCATTCATTAATATTATTCACCTATCCATTCATTCATTCATTCATTCATTCATTCATTCGCTCATTCATTCACTCAACCATTCATTCTTTCTTTCATTCATTTATTCATTAATTCCAACCGTCAGATGATATTCTACAATATAACCATTCAGTTGAGCTTTAGTACCTTATACTATACCGGCATCTATACCAAACTAACGTACACGTACATTGTATTTCCATTTTAAATGACACTATTCTTATCCTACTCTGATACTTTAGGTGGTCCCAGAGTGTATTAGGATATCAGAATCGACCGACAGCGCACGGGACCGACAACGTCGATCTCATGAACCCTAAGAAAGGTGGACAGAAGGTCTGCGAGACCGACATGTCGTTCTCTTGGGCTGTAGCCATTCTGTATCAAACTGTATCATTTCCTTACCGTCGTATTCCTCATTCTCTACTTCAGTGTAGTATCGAATTCTCTCCATGGCGTTCATCTGAAGCTCCAAGTCTGCACAACCTCGCACCACCATGTTCATATAGATGGAGATCTAAGTAAGATACAAAATTAAAAGAGTATGGAAACGCAAATTATGTTATCTCTTTCATTGCCGTGGTCGTAACACTAAAGCTTTTCGAAGTAAATACTACTGAGAATAGTAAAAAGTTGGTTGTATCATGAGCTCTTCATACAATCGGCTTAAAAAATAAAACAATGAATTTTTTTTTTTTTTTATATGAGAGAACATTACTTATATGATCCCAACAATGGCCAACCACTAAAATGTCTTTGAATCATAATCAAACCGCCGAAACAAAGCAAGATCAGGGCATAGGCATGGTGATGATGGTGCCCACAGATGCTCCACAATAATTTACTGACAAGCAACATGATGAGAGAGCTTTAAACAAAATTCTAGTCGAAGATGGACAAATAAATATTTGCACATGTCACTCCACGCGGCCTCCTGGATCCGCCACTGAAATATGCCCTGACAACAACAACATCAACAATATTAAGAAGAACAACAGCAGTAACAACAACAACAACAGCTACTACTCCGTAAGTAATTGTTCATGTTGTGCCAAAGCCACTGCAACATTAGTCGGATATTAAAGTGTCTGTGTTTAAGTGGCAAGATAATAATGAAATTAGTGCTCACCTCTAATGAATAGCTGATGGCAAGCCCAACCAAACTAGCATCTACACCGAGATAGAGCGCCCCCAAGAGTGCCGACAGACTGGCAATGAGCACAACCACTGCTCCCAGATAATCCTGCAAACAAAATCAAAAACTCTTCTACTAGACAATGTCATGTACGTGCGTCAAAAGAGGAAAGAGGAATTTGTCATGTTTGTTGGGCTCGTTATAAATCTTTTAAGTGAATTCTTGAGCTTTTTTCCCGTTCTAGTCAACATATTTTGCTTCAAGGTTGGCAAACTTTTTGGTAAACTTTGTCCTGCACCCACCTCAATTCAAATTTTCTAATATCAGTGGCGGATCCAGGGGGGGGGCCGAAACGGCCGCGGCCCCCCCTATTGGCGGCGCAAAAAAAGGAAAAAAGAGGAAGAAAAGAAGAGAAAAAAAGAAAGGAGAAGAGAAGAAAAAAAGGAGAAGAGAAAAGAAAGGAGAAGAGAAGAAAAAAAGGGGAAGAGAAAAGAAAGGAGAAGAGAAAAGAAAAGAGAAGAGAAAAGAAAGAAGAGAAAAGAAACAGAGAGAGAGAAAAAGATAAAACGAGAAGAAAAAGGGTTACTTTTCACGCAACAAAGTCCGGCCCGTAATACACAAAATAACGACGAATAAGGGAAAAACTATAATCGGGAGATTTTGAATCATTCCAGGATAGGCTTGGCAAAAGTCATTGATTAGAGGCAGCCGGGCCGGCCGCATAAAATCTCGAGCCGCGGATTCAAAGTTAAACGTTAAAAACAGCCCCTGCGCTACAAAGGTCACCACTCTTTAGTGAGAAATTTGAAAAGGGCACAATGTTTTGGATGTCTTTTAAATAGTCAAATTTTAAAATAACGGTAGGGAGGCTTCACAACTTTTATTTTGCCCTTCAGCTCATACCAACTCGCTTGTGCTTGTGTTTGAATTCATGTTGGTAAAACCATGGATTTATCCATGGTTGGTGTAATAGATCTTTCATTTCTACTAACCTACTTGTGTGCTATCACAATCATGATTGTTTCATTTTCCTTTTAAAGCAGGCGCGTAGCCAGGGGCGGAAGGGGCAGTAAGAGGATATAGGACGAAAAAGGAGCAGACAGGGAAATATTTTTGAAATTCTGACAAGTCGGGAACGGTACAACGAATCGTCTTTTTAATGTCAAAGCTTCCGCGCTTAGCTAGGGAGGGCCGGAATTGAATTCAAACAATGATTGGGAGTCACGAATGGTACAACGAATCATCATCTTTCTCTAATAATTTAATGGAACGTCAAAGCTTCCGCGCTACGCGCGAACGGGGAACAACTAAATTCAGACAAGGATTTAGAGTCGAGAATCGAACAACGAATCATCTTCTTTCTCTAATAATGTAATGAAAGGTCAAATCTTCCGCGCTTCGCGCGGGAGGGGGGAAACTGAATTCAAACAAGGATTAAGAGACGAGAATGGTACAACGAATCGTCTTCTTTCTCTAATAATTTAATGAAGCGTCAAAACTTCCGCACTTCGCGCGGGAGGGGGAGGGGAACTGAATTCAGACAAGGAATAAGAGTCGTGAATGGTACAAAGAATCGTCTTCTTTCTCTAGCTTTAATGAAACGTCAAAGTTTCCGCGCTTCGCGCGGGAGGGGGAGGGGACTGAATTCAGACAAGGAATAAGAGTCGTGAATGCTACAACGAATCGTCTTCTTTCTCTAGCTTTAATGAAACGTGAAAGCTTCCGTGCTTCGCGCGGAAGGGGGAGGGGAACTGAATTCAGACAAGGAATAAGAGTCGTGAATGGTACAACGAATCGTCTTCTTTCTCTAATAATTTAATGAAACATCAAAGCTTCCGCGCTACGCGCGAGCGGGGAACAACTAAATTCAGACAAGGATTTAGAGTCGAGAATGGTACAATGAATCATCTTCTTTCTCTAATAATGTAATGAAAGGTCAAAGCTTCCGCGCTTCGTGCGGGAGGGGGGGGGGAACTTAATTCAGACAAGGATTAAGAGTCCAGAATGGTACAACAAATCGTCTTCTTTCTCTAATAATTTAATGAAACGTCAAAGCTTCCGCGCTTCGCGCGGGAGGGGGGGGGGGGGACTGAATTCAGACAAGGATTAAGAGTCCAGAATGGTACAACGAATCGTCTTCTTTCTCTAATAATTTAATGAAACATCAAAGCTTCCGCGCTTTGCGCGGGAGGGGGAAACTGAATTCAAACAAAGATTAAGAGACGAGAATGGTACAACGAATCGTCTTCTTTCTCTAATAATTTAATGAAGCGTCAAAACTTACGCGCTTCGCGCGGGAGGGGGGGGGGACTTAATTCAGACAAGGATTAAGACTCCAGAATGGTACAACAAATCGTCTTCTTTCTCTAATAATTTAATGAAACGTCAAAGCTTCCGCGCTTCGCGCGGGAGGGGGAGGGTAACTGAATTCAGACAAGGAATAAGAGTCGAGAATGGTACAACGAATCGTCTTCTTTCTCTAATAATTTAATGAAACTTCAAAGCTTCCGCGCTTTGCGCGGGAGGGGGGGGGGGACTGAATTCAGACAAGGATTAAGATTCCAGAATGGTACAACAAATCGTCTTCTTTCTCTAATAATTTAATGAAACGTCAAAGCTTCCGCGCTTCGCGCGGAAGGGGGAAACTGAATTCAAACAAGGATTAAGAGACGAGAATGGTACAACGAATCGTCTTCTTTCTCTAATAATTTAATGAAGCGTCAAAACTTACGCGCTTCGTGCGGGAGGGGGGGGGGGGAACTTAATTCAGACAAGGATTAACAGTCCAGAATGGTACAACAAATCGTCTTCTTTCTCTAATAATTTAATGAAACGTCAAAGATTCCGCGCTTCGCGCGGGAGGGGGGGGGGCTGAATTCAGACAAGGATTAAGAGTCCAGAATGGTACAACAAATCGTCTTCTTTCTCTAATAATTTAATGTAACGACAAAGCTTCCGCGCTTCGCGCGGGAGGGGGAGGGTAACTGAATTCAGACAAGGAATAAGAGTCGAGAATGGTACAACGAATCGTCTTCTTTCTCTAATAATTTAATGAAACGTCAAAGCTTCTGCGCTTCGCACGTAATAGGGGGGGGGGACACCGAGCTGCCTGAATATGAATTTTTGATATCTTTTCTCGTTTATTTTCGTGATAAATAACACTTTTACAATATACATATTATGCTCAAATTTTTGCTCGATCTCTTCGTTGACTAGCCGAATTTTTTTTTCGTGCAAGAGGCTATAGCCCCCCCCCCCCCGATGGAAATGTCAAAAATTGTACCGTTATGGTGCTATGACCTTGTAAGTATTGATATGTTGAGTTTAAAAAAGGGTCTGCGCAATTTTCAAATTTCCGGCCCCCCCTATTGGAAAATCCTGGATCCGCGCCTGAATATAATATCACCATTTTAATGTTTTGGTTCAAACTGAATGTAATATAAATCCAGACACTTTTTCTCGATGGAGAAAGTTGGATACAAATCGTTCAGCCAGAATGTAAAAGTGCTTGTTTATACTACTTCTTCTTCTTTGAAAGATATTTTAATCGGAAACTTGCTAAATTTTTATCGAGTTTAAAAAATTAAAAAAAAGAAAAAAATAATGAACAAAAACTCACCAATCGAATCGCTAACCATCTGTTGGCTGTGTACAAATACACCAAAGCTGTATTGTTTTTGTCGATTTTCCCCAGTACGTTTTTGAAAAACCGCTTTTCATCCCTAACAGAGAGATATAAAAATGGAAGAACGGGACAGGTTGTATTCTTCGTATTAACCATCGGCATTTTCCTGGTAATATCACTACATCAGCTACATTAATTTTTTTATATGAACAAGTGACGGTGTATAAAGTCCAAAATATAATACTGGTAGTACATATACAATTTCGATGATGAATAAAATGTACAAAATTGAAAACCCATCCAATTGGGGGTCTTACTTATATGCTCTGATGATGGGCAGACCGCCAAGCGTTTCAGAGAAATGAGCGAACACAGGAGATCTTGTGACGCTCTCCAAACGCTGCAACATTCTGAAGGGGAAAAAACAAGAACATTTCTCAATATCATAATTTAGTGTAAATAATTTCATTAGATTTAAAAGGCTTTAACATTAATTTCAATTTAGTTGTCTCAAATCTTTTCTATTCGGGACTACTTTAATTAACAGCCATCATAATGAATAGGTCGTGTATCAATTGGTAAACTTCATGAAGCAGCAGACAAAATTCTGAACCCACCGGTAAAAGTACCGCGCTCAATAATATTCTTCGTTTAAAAAATGATATTAACCTTGTTACAACCCATTTCTGCTTAATTTCTTTTTCTTTTTTAGTCCCATACTTTGGATATTATTATTTCATTCTTTACTTATGCTACTTGATTTCCCTACGTGTCTACTTTCTTATCCTCTCCCTTATCACCGTTTTACTCTTTTTTGTTTCTTTCCTATCTCATTTCAACTTTTTATGCCAAAATATTTCGATGACTTATGCATACCTGGATGTTGCGACGAAGTAGACCAGAATGCACATGAAGATGATGCCGATAGGGATGAGGAAGATGATGAAGTAGCTATTGACGATGGCGTTGACGATGAAGGAGGCGATGACGGCGACTAACGTATTGAGAAGCATGTTGAAGGAGTGAATCAAACGCTGTGGAAAAAAGACAATCGACATCGTATTATCAACTTGTAACATCTTTTTAAAATGTACATTGAATAGTGATAAGGTTTTGTAGCAATCATGACATGGCAATTCTGATCAAATGGTGTTCAAGTTTTTAATTCATTTGCTTATTTCTCCCCAATGTACAAGTTTTTAATTCATTTGCTTATTTCTCCCCAATGTACGAAAGTCGGGAAGGAGCTTACTTGTTTTGTTGTTTTTATTTTTTTGAAATACCCGACACTCCTTGACACGAGAGGTCCAAGGATGAGCGAGCAGACCGTTAGCTAGTGTATGGGAGTGTGAATGGGAGTGTGTATAAGAGTGTAGATGTGAGTGTTTATGAGAGTGTCCAAGGTACAGGAGTGAGTATAGGAGCGTGTATAGGAATGAGAGCGTGTAAGAGCAAAGGGCCTGCTTGCTCATCCTTTGACCTACTCTTGTGTCACCTCACAAAATATATTTTAAACGTGAATTAATTTGCCTGTTATTGCCTTAGTCATATTAGTTATGAACTTTGTTATGAATTTTGTTATATACTGTATATTATACTTTGTGACAATGTCAACCACATTTGTATGTATTATAATTCATTACCAATGTAAATTGTTCATAATTCAGCCATCTGGCTGCGAAGTGCAATCAATAAAACCTTTTCAATCTCAAAAATCAATCTCAATCTCATGTACAATAGTTATACAAAACGGTAATTAATATAAAACACGATTGTCACTACGTCCGTCCGTTGTAAGACATGTTTTGAACACGTGCGAACATTGCGATGACATATTATGTAATCCGGACATGATTTCTGTTGGATGTTATATACAGTAGGGTATTACACTTGCCCTTCCGTTGATTTCTCGAAAGACTTTGCAATCGTGTTGTAAACGATTATGAGTATGATACAGTACAAGTAAAAGTAAAAGTGAAAATCTTGGAACTGCGAATCAAGATTGGAAGTTGATGTACTTAAAGATAAATTTTAGTACTGGTAATGCAATGCATTGTGAAAGAAAAGGTGTGGAAAGGATCAGAAACATGCAGTTGATCATGTAGCATGTAAGTATTGGTGTGCACTGCAAGGTTCTGGAGTCATCAAAATCATAATAAATTTGACCGAGTCTTGGCAAAGTAACAAGCACTGTACACAGAAAGCTATATATGGGACAACACACATGGTGTCGGGGCTGTCCTACCTTGCTTTTCTTGTCTTTCTATGCTCATTACTCAGCCAGTATACATTTTCTTCCAAAATTGTTTGGCACATGTCATTTATTTGTAATCTTGAACATTCGATGTAAGTTTCGTTTAATTCTGTGAGAATTAATTTTCTTTTTTTTTTTACCAGAACTGGAGTTTATCTTTAAAGTGACTACACGGGGGAGGGGGATTCATGCAGGGCCATCATTTTGTTGTTTGATAATGGAGAGAGCTTCAGATTCCATATTGTTGGCCCTCCTTGTTGATCTTTGACCTTGATAGCATCATTCTCCTGAAGACAATCAGAGGATACTGATCAGAAAGTCAAGAACTAAAAGCTCTTATAGCGGAGCTCACCAACCTTTACATTCGATCTTATTCCTTTGAAATAATTACGGGTAGCCTTGAAAAATTTACCTACAAATCAATACTCCGCTCGTGTTCCATCTAAATCATTATTTTATAGTTTACCTGATCGATCCATTGTGTGTCACTGGAGAGTCGGTTGAGAATTCGTCCAACTGGGGTGGTGTCAAAGAATCTTTAAAAAGTCAAAAATAGTATAAATGTAAAATTTCTTTCATCATAGAAAGTGAATTTTGACATTAAAAACATGATCATGATCACCTACGTACCCTACTATTATGGTATCGGTAAACAAGACGATGAAGAAAGAAGAGAGTGGCACATTAAAAGTGGTACGATATGAAAATAGGAATGAATATACATATTTGATACGAGGCAACATAATCATAATACTAATTAAAAACATTGCTAACGGTAAATTGACCCGTTTAGATTTGATATCATCCATGATTTCTTTTAGCATCATAACAATCTCATTCCAAGTATGCTTTGATGATGACTATCAGAATATTCTCTTCATGACGATATCGTATATAAATGTTACATACCTCATTGGTATTCCGATGATATTTTGTAGAAGGGCAAAGTGTATCGCTCTTGCCGCTAGCAAGGCACCGATACAGCTGAAGACATTCGATAAAACGGATCCAAAAACAGTAGACACAGAGAAACCCGCATAACCTCTCAAATAATAACTCGTTGGTTGGGCGTCCTGTGCATGATAATAAGAAACATTAAATAATATATTAGTGATGGTTTATTCCTAAATAACTTGTTAAAACGAAGAAAACCAATATTGTTAAGTCATACAATTTTCACCCTGCGTGTATTTGTATTAAAGATGTAAACATAACCTTCCTGAAATGCTTTGAATAACCTCAATCATGTTATTTCCCCAAAATGTCAAGAGGTTGACACACAGTACAAAATATCTACACCATGAATTTAAAATGAACCACGAGTTGATAAGATTAAAATGACAAGAAACAAAGAGATTTGAAAAATAAACGAAATGAAATGTTAGACGAAAGCAAATGAATAAAACAATCATAAAAGATAAAGAAATAATGAGAGATAGAGAAAGAAACCTGGAGAGGGGTGAGGAAAGACAATGCAGGAGAGAGAGAGAGAGAGAGAGAGAGAGGCAGAGAGAAAAAGGCAGAGAGAAAGAGGTGGAGAGAGAGAGGCAGAGAGAAAGAGGTGGAGAGAGAGAGGCAGAGAGAAAGAGGTGGAGAGAGAGAGAGGCACAGAGAGAGAGAGAGAGGCAGAGAGAAAGAGGTGGAGAGAGAGAGATAAGGGTGGTAGTTAGAAATGAAGAGAGGCGAGAATAGTAAAGCAAAGAATGACGAGCCAATTAAAATAAGATTCAAAATGACATACCCCGGTTAAATTGAGACCCGCCTCGGACCAGTCTGAGAGCCAGAAGTTTGTAGCTACCTGAAGACCGGCTCGCATGGCTACACAACCGATCATGAGACATGCAAGCCAATAGCCCATGGCTCGGAAGTAGTACATATACATCTGGTAAGACACAGAACCTTTCTCCTTCTCCTCCTCTTCAATCAAGCGTCCTGCTTTCTCGTCTAAAATATACCAGAAAGTACACCGAAGTGGTTAACATTCATGATTACCGAGAATAACTGCATTAATGATTCAATTCGTAATCTACTAACATGATTGCAGTAGGACGTTCCGTGATACCAATATTCGAACAGGAACTTCAGATTGAGGCAACTATATACAAAATCGCTAAAATTGACTTGATCTGAAGCGAATAAGCAAACTGACATTGAAGCTTTTTATTGGCATTACACAATGAATATCCATCTGAAAAGATGTCCATTCTTGACCAATCAAAAGTCGAGAATAAGATATCGGTTTTTTGCCTTCATTATTCTGAAAGTACACACACAGTACCTGATTTATCAGCAGCGCCGTCCTTCAACACAGACATCTGTGTTGAGATTTGTCTCTTGAGCGCCCTTCTCTCATTCATCAGAGACTCAGACTCTGCCCCAGACCCTTCGGCTTCGGATTCGGTCACTTCCTTGATAGCTCTCTCAGACTCAGTCATGATCGAAGGGTCAGCCTCGGCTACCTCCTCGGGAGTACCCTGGCAAGTGATGCGGCCATCCTTCACCACAATGATCTAACCAACGAAATGATCATGAGAAGGGATTGATCAGAACGTACAGCCGAATATGGCTGCACGGTAGTGGAATTCATCGCTTATTTGAGGGTTGGAAAAAAAACTCTTAAGATTATATAGCTTTTAATGGTATATTGAAAGCTCATACAGTATGTCCGTAACCCAACGATGTGTTTAATCTTTTGTTCGAAATCAAGTTTAACAATTTAAAGAAAGTTAGCCCGGGGTCTAAGTTTATTCATTTGCTAAATGAAATCTTAATTTAAGGGTCAGGTTTAACAAACTTAGTAGAATACGAAGCTCACGGTTTTTTCCATGGAAGCTATTCATTAAACCAGTTCAGTTGTATTCGAATTATTTGGATATCTCTATAAATGCACTTGACTCCCAGAAAGATTACCCGACATAGCAATAACCAATTATGAATGGTAGCCTGTCATCACGTGTAGCAAATAAATATTCACCGTTATATGGGTGCTGGGAGAAAACATCGAAAGCTGAATGCACTTGTAAACTTGGTTTTTAGGCTCGTGTTCTAAAAAACATGCTAAATTTAAAACCCAATGCTAAGGTTTATGGTCGAGTCTAACGAAGGAAAGTTACAACCGAGGTCTCAATTTTCCCTTCCTCCAGTATGATTTCTGCATGGCGTAGGATTCAATTGGAGTATAATAGAATATAAAATTCTTACTTTGTCGGCTTCAGGCAGATACTGGAGCTGATGGGTAACCAGTATGACTGTCTTCTTTTGTTTCATCAAGATACCCTGGAATCCTTTCTCGAACAGATGCGTGCCAACGTGCATGTCCAGAGCAGAGAGAGGGTCGTCCTGTTAAAAAAAAAACGATATCGGTTGGGATGGAATATGTTACAACGATCATATCAAAAGATAAAGAAAACAACATCGAAGCAAAAATAGGTTTGAATAAGAAATAACTCTAAATGAGGAGCCAAAGTAGAATCATACATTCCTTTTATCGTACATTTCCAAAAGAAGACCCTTTTCTCCTTAATTAGTCTATATATTTCAGCAATTATTAATCATTTTTGCGATCAACACATGAGGAAATAGATTTGAAGAATGATGGAACAATATTAAATCTTGTGCTCTACTTGGAACATTGTGCAATGTCACTAACTGAAAGATGCTCATTCATTGAATAAATCTACATCGTTTGATCACTGGATCTACAAGCAATTACCAAGATGCATAAACTATAAATTACCAAGATGCACATGGTTTACTTACCAAGATGCATACGATTTACTTACCAAGATGCATAAGGTTTACTTACCAAGACGCATAAGGTTTACTTACCAAGATACATACGGTTTACTTACCGAGATGCATACGGTTCACTTACCAAGATGCATACGGTTTACTTACCAAGATACATACGGTTTATTTACCAAGATGCATGTTTACTAACCAAGATGCATAAGGTTTACTTACCAAGATGCATGTTTACTTACCAAGATGCATAAGGTTTACTTACCAAGATGCATGTTTACTTACCAAGATGCATAAGGTTTACTTACCAAGAAGCATAAGGTTTACTTACCGAGATACATAAGGTTTACTTACCAAGATGCACACGGTTTACTTATCAAGATGCATAAGGTTTACTTACCGAGATGCATACGGTTTACTTACCAAGATACATAAGGTTTACTTACCAAGATGATGATGTCCCTGTCGGAGTAGAGACATCGGCTTACACTGACGCGTTGCTTCTGCCCTCCGCTCAGGTTGATCCCTTTCTCGCCAATCTCTGTCATGTCTTTACCAGGTAACATGTCTATGTCGGGCTGCAGAGCGCATGCTTGGATCACTTTGCGATATCTAGAAGAGTGGAGTTTGATCATCAGTAGGCCTTTAGACATTATATACCGTGAGGGAACAATATGTATAATGGGATTGGATTTAGGTCTACGGTCATTGCTTTTTGGACCGTCTTTCAGTAGAGTTATGTTTGTAATGAATCACATAAAAAGCTTCTCCTATACTTACTTGCTGTTAACCATCTCTTCGCCAAATAATATGTTGTCTTTGAGCGTAGCATTGACCAACCATGCTTTCTGTGGGGCGTATGCAATGGATTTCGTGTTTCTGAAAAAAAGAATAACATTTTGAGGAACTTTATAATACTTTATTAAGAGGTCAGTTTATATCCAATGATAAACAGTGTACTCCAGAGCTGTATACAGTGGCAAAATTGTAAGAGCTATAGCATCATCCAGAATAAATCGGTAGGATAAATAGCTCAGACCTACACATGTTATAGACCTACCTGTTGTGCTTAACGGTGCCGGAGAGTGTTGTCATTTCATTCAACATGGCACTGAGAAGGGATGATTTTCCGCATCCAACCGCCCCAATCACGACTGTTAGCTTACCTAAGGATGATCAGAAATACACTTTTTTAACCATTGAGCTGATAATGGCGAGAATGACGAGGTATCTTTTCTTAATTGTAAATTTATTCACTTTGAATACAATTTTATTTCTAAAAATATTCTTTCTTCGGAACGCCAAACAGATTATCTGAATTTGCTTTTTCTCGGAGGTGGTAAATATTTTACGTGCTTCTCTCAAACTAGATGAGTTAAATTGGCCATATGTCTTTCAAACGAAAGATAGTCAAGTGGGTTCGAGACAAGTTTGGATAGATGCTCTGCGTATAATATGTACACATGCCCCTACTCTGTCCCTTGGATAGGGCATTAAATATCTAAGTCATGTTGCAGTAATTCCATGTACAGTTAACCAACTAATGATGCGCTCTCTTACCTCTTGGTATCTCTACGTTGATGTCGGACAGTATAGATACATTGGAATCGGGATCCCAAGTAAAGTTACCATTGGAGATCTGTAACCACAAAATTACATCAGTACACTATCAATAATTTTGTTAAACACTTTTCGGTGAAAGATCATGGCCTTATTGGGAAGGGGGGCTGTCGGCTGCAGCCCATTCCGAGTATATTTGAAATGGTCAACATCTTATGCGAGCAGCGAGGGAGATAGTCAGTCCCGCTTCCACGGGAAAATGCACATTCGGACAAGAGATGATAACCATTCCCTGGATAAATTATTATGCCCATACGCCTAGTGCAAAAAACGTAGCCGAGGTTTATTAATATCGCTATTCGTACAGATACACTTCAAGTTATTCTCGTTCTTGTTCGCTCTACGTTTGTTCTCTTAATATGGGATGTAACAGCGAATAATTTTTAAACAATATAAAAGTAAATTCATCATTCTATAGCATTGTTTATACAATGTGTGATTACTACTCTGATACAAGTGTTCAATATGGTTCTTTTGGCTATACTATACGTAAAGTGTAACTTTATTAAGTATGTCAAAAATAGTAATCTAGTTCAAACATTCAAGATGTTGTTGCTTTTAACCATGGAGATATATATCCATGCTTATAACCGTGATCATATTTAATTAGCTGATTGGTCAAACCTTTATGGCGACGTCATCGGGAACATCCCCGCTGCCACTGAATGACGTATCTCCATGTTTGATGGGATTGGTAGATCCGTAAGAGAGAGATCCACGTGGCGATCCGTCACCACTCAACAATGGTGTCTTATCAGGGAGTTGATGAGCATCGTCTCTCTGTTTGCTATGACTACGGTTCTTCCTGTGTCGGGGATGCTTGATGGTCACTGAAAGATCCTTGAAGAGACAACGAGAATGAAAGTGGTTGTAAATAATGCTACGAAAAAATATTCTGTCCAAATTCGAATGTAGGACAACATTAAGACCATTTAGGGTTTGATACATGTATTACCCACTTCGAAGCCACGTTGCTTGGATTCACATCAAGGACAATCAATAGGGGGAGGGTCAATTGGGATAAGTCCAATTATTATGGGACTGAAATTATGTCTTGCATGCTTATGATAGGAATCCTCTTTAGGATGGCGCATCCGGTCAAGTCGGTGTTCTGTTTGAAACCTCAGAAGGAAGCAAAAATCCTTGAGGAATATCTTACGGCAGACAGGGCTCCCCTTACGTAGGTGATACGCCACTTCTCTCTCCATCCTAAATACGAATCGACACCCCCAGTAAGGTATGTTTAACAAAGCCGTGGTTTTATTTTAGTACAGCAAAAATATTACATGAAGATTAAAGGACATATGTATCTGGACAGGATAACCATGGGAACTGAAAATTAACATGTTTAACTTTATTTCGAATCGGGTCCTATAGGTTTGAATCTTTATATTACGTAACAGATCACACGTGAACACCTATTTACTTACGTCATCATGTGAATTTCCCACGCTCTCGGCACTGTCCGTTACATCGACATCCTCATCAATCTCCTTCAGTAGATCGCTGATCACTCCATCGGCGCCTTCAACCTCGGGTGCAAGGAGATACGTCTTAAGACGTCCTGTACTCACTATCCAGTTGACAAAGAGATTGATGACGAAAGGAAACATGAAGAGAGGACCAGCCATTTGATTGAAGAGCGAGAGTGTTGTGAATGCCACGTCAGGTGTGAGGACCTTCCCCGTGATGGGTGTGTATGTCCCGAAAGACTGGAAGGAATCAAAACATTTGTAACATTTTTACACTTTCTAATTGCTTTTATAAAAGTATCGAAGATCATATTGAAACTTGCACATGACCATGTTCTGTTATGGTTGTAGATTCATAAACATGCTGCAATGTCGAGTTTGATTATAAAGACGAATTTCCTAAATTCTCATTGATTATTTCATTTCATTAAAGTATCAAACGGAAAGTAATTTAATGATTTCCCTATCAGAAGTTGGGTTCGATAACTTTAATAAATATAAGATAAGTTGCTTAAAACTCAGAGAAGAATTGATTGAAGGGAGGATATAAAAGATGCAATTTAGTTCTCATATCCGAATATTTTGTGGATGAATGCTGACGTGATTATTGGCAACATCAACCAAAGAATCATAGTTTCATAAGAGTGTACAAAGAGAAATTTGAAACTCACCACAAGGGTGACGACGATTGGAGTTGCAGCATTGATGATAACTGAAAGTTCAAAAGTAAAATATGAGGTGAAAATAGACCAAATTCGGAAAATGAATCGGGATGACGAAAGGAAGAGTTCAACAGCAACAGTACGTATAATCATCGTAATAATAAATTGATATGTATTTACAATAATAATAACTTTATATGCGTTTACAAATAAGCGATATTCACCATTCAACGAAACGTTTCGAACGATTAAAGGATCTCAGAGCGGAATTTATAAATAAGCCTATATATCTTACCCCCAATTTTTCTTTTCAGTCAATGATAAAGACAGCACTCAATATTAATACATTACTTTTCATTACTGCCACGACTACCGGCATATTCTATTTGTAATGGTCACTCGAATCGGTAATGCTGGTCTTTTCTGATATCTCGTGTCGCTAGGCTGCAGCTGATGGAATTTGGAAATAATCTCAACAAGAAGATAATGATTTGTACAAAGTACACAAACATCGAGCAAAAATGATGAAAACCGAGCGAAATTGGAAAAGTAGATGCACAATACTACCCAAACCGGAATGCAAAAAAAAATTGTCGGAAACTTACACGTTACAGCGAAGAATGTGTAGACCTTCAGAAGAGCATAAAGTTCCTTGATTCTCGCCTTCTTGATTGCTTCATAGTATATCCTCTCCCATCCATAAAGCTTCAAGAGTTTGATTCCCTGTAGCATCTCGTTTGACATCTTCAGACGGTAGTCCGCCGTACCCTGAGACAATTAGATGGACAAGGAAGACATTTTCGCATACAGGTGTTGTGGACTAATGGATAAGTCACCCGACTGCAGATCACAAGGTACGGGGTTCAAGTCCCGCCGCGGCACTAATGTCCTTTGGCAAGACGTTAATCTACATTTGCCACTATCCACCCAGGGGTAGATGGGTACCTGATATGCTTGAGCGCTAGTTACGCTGGCAGCTCAGCTACGACCAGGGTAATATAAAGAGATTCATTAACAGTATGTCCTCCGTAATATGTGTAAAGCGCCATGAGCGTCAGAACCTGACGGATACCGGCGCTATACAAATAACCATATTATTATGCCAACGTTACAAAGATCAATTTTCAAACCTGGAAATGTTAACATTTTAAAATGTGTTTCGACATGACATCATTTTGTCTCTATATAAATCTCTAAAAGATGTAGTGCTTTGCGAATGTAATGAGTATAACCTCACCCAGTATCTTTTATTTCTCACAAAACTGACGCCTATCATGAGTGATGCTAAGATCTTTCGAACTGATATTTGAACATGCTAGCAATTGACTTACCAGAACAGCCTTGATGAATTTTCCCATAGCGACGGCAGCCGCTAATTGGAAAGGGATCACAACTAGAAAGACACTGGCACCGATCAATGCAGGTGTACCGAGCTCCAGGTATAGCAGTACCAAGGAAAATATGATCTGAAATCAATGCAATCAAATTGTTATAATGATATTATTGATAGCGCTGTCTCCAAGTTAAAGTTTGGAAGACGTAATTATTAAGAACAAGTGCCATATGCGCTCTTCAGTATCGAATACTGGTGATATCATCATTTATCATCATTATCATGCTGATTATCATCATCATTATCATCACCATCATCCCCACCACATCATCATACTCATTATCATCATCATCGCCATAATCCTCATCATCACCACCCCCACCCCCAATCATCATCATCACTATAGTCGTCATTATCATAATCATCATTTTTTATTAATTAAATATTTGATATTTATTAGTAGGGAAAAAAAGAAGCCTCCAAGTATTGAAGAAATAAGAGAGAAAATATTCAAAAGTAAACAGGAAGAAAGAAAGAGTGCTACTGAACGAAATACGTTGACGCTCCACTATAAAAAATGGGAACATCTCAAGGTAAACATGGATAATATGCAAGAAAATGCAAGGGATGAGGAAAGGGGGGCCTGCCCGGTTCACAGCTGTGTGTGATTGACCGGTCTCGACTGCCATAGACTGCCCACGTCTTCTTGTATCGTTTTTTTTTTTTTTTTTTTTTTTTTGGTTTTTTTTTTTTTTTTTGGTTTTTTTTGTTTTGTTTTCTGTTTTTTGTTTGTTGTTTGTTGTTGTTGGTTTTGTTTTTAACGGGGGTAGGGGATATAACAAACTTTATTCATTCGATATAACTAAGTTGATTGTAGTCTGTACTTTGTTCCAATATGTTATAAATTATAATATGTAATAGGGATACTAGTACTACAGAACAAAATATAGAGGGGGGGGGGGGGGGTTATAACAATATTAATTCATTCAATATAATTGAGATTAGTGTATTTTGTACTCTTTAATTGGTTTCAATATGTTATATATTACAATTTGTATGAATTAATATTATTTATTGAGTGAATACAATAAAGAATATTACAAAACAAAAAAATCATCATCATCATCACCATCATCTTCACCCTTCTCTTCCTCCAAAACATTATCATCATTATTATCATTATCATTCTGATTATCATCATCATTATCATCACCATCATCACCACCACATCATCATACTCATTATCATCATCATCGCCATAAGCCTCATCATCATTACCACCATCCAGTATCATTCTTCCGTTAATCATTATCCCATTAATAGCAAAATGCTAATCGATGTTAGATATAGGGTCAACCACCGGGGTCAATGAGGTTTAATATAATATCAAGAAAGCTGCCTTATTGAAATGACTCCAAAACGGTACACCTGACATTAGCATTTACACATTTAATTTTCGTCTTGGGCTATCGATTTAATTGATTTTATACCGTGTATACAAAAATTTCTACTTGCACATTTTCTTCTTTTAGTGGAACATACCTTGAAGGGAGTTGCCCAGACTTCGTTAGCAAACATGAAGAACATCATGATATTGTTGGCATCTACTGACATGTGATTGGTGATCTGTCCCATGGTCATCGCCCCTCCAGTCATGGCGTATGTAGACAGTCGTAAGGATTTCTCGTAGATCGTACTCTGTTTTGAGAAGTTTAACATTTATGTATAGTTACTAGTTTGGGGGGAAGGCGACGTATGGGATTTCAGGAAACAAGCATGGCTATATCCAAAGGAGGGGAAAGTTATTACCATCGGTGTTATTCACTAATGAACATAATTATGTCAAAGCAATTGATAGGATGAAGTACAAACATTCATTGCATTTCTATTCGTTGCAGTTTTTTGCTCTCACGGATAACCATTTGAATTTACCTTTTTATTCAAAATCATGTGTATGCCACTGTTTTCTCTATTCACTTCTTGATATAAACTGACGATGAGAAATAAAGCTTTACTATAGATACTTAATTCACAGTAATGATAGAAGGACTTTACAGCTATTACACGGGATCAAGCGCCAATATCTCGGCGGGCATATCACATTTTGTAAGATTATGGAATGCTGCCGAAAAGCGAGTTTTTCATAAATGTTTTTGTACATTAAATGATACCTTACCTGAAGGGCCGACCTAGCATGGATGCCTTCTATGGATGTGATAAACTGATATGTTTGGTCACACATGTGTCTTATAAGAGCAGTGACGAATATACAACCGATCAGAACGTAACCATCTGCGAAGAACTCTTTTACGCTCACCGGGTGGGGTGGTACGTCCTGCAAATAAGAAACCAGTCAATACTTAGCTGGAATCAGGTTTTAATTTTTCACCCCGAGGCTTAACATTTCAAATCGAACGGTAATACGCTTATAATCTGATTCATTATGAATATGAGATACAGATACTATTAGATGTTTGATGTATATGGTATAACATAGACACATTCGGGGGACATTAAAGCCCATCTATACTAGTTTGACCAGGAGGGATTAGACCACCCAGGGTGGTCACTGACAGGAGGCTATCTCATCAACTCAGGTCTCAATTAACATAAGAAAAAGAGGATCATGGGGGACCAATGGTCACCGATTATGCATTGTTTTCTATATAGAGGGAGCTATACACTGTAATTTGGTATCGGCACGACTCAGGACGTAAGTAAATTATGAAGTTCTTGGCACATGTATATGGATATAGATAAAGGTGATAAGTTATAATACTATATTTTGTTTTAAAAAGCGCCTTTTCATTAAATACAAATTGCATAAACAAGAAATACTTATAAACAAACAAAAAGAGAGAACATTATCATAAGAAGCTCAAATCAATTACAAACAGAGGGGAATATTACAACACATTAGAAAAGATGTGTTTTCAGACACCTCTTGAAAACTGGGAGAGTATGGCAATTCGTTAGTAAAGAGGGAAGGAGGTCTAGGTTTTGAGGGCATTAACCGTAAAATCCCTATCACCTATCTGTATCTGATCGAGGGACGGTAATTGTATTACTTGTGGCTGAATTGATATATTGATACTCTATGTATTGATAACGTCATAATACCAGTTAGTGTACTATAATATGGCGACCGATGGGTACTATCAAGATTTTTATTCTACATAGCAATATAGGTTCCAGTAGTCAGGGCAGTAACATCAAACACAGCGTTCATAAAATGTCTATATAACACGCATTAAAGCTTGAACTAAGCATTATAAAGACATCCACAAAACTAATAGTTTGTAGTAAAATTGTGTTCGATAATTGACGTGTGTGCGATGCTTCTGCATATTTTCCGTTCACATCATTAAGATCATTTTTATAGGCCTGTATGGCTAAAGTCGAACATTTTCATCTCAAGTAGTGCCATAAAATAATGCTGTATTAAAGCTCGTCGGAGTTCAAAAACCCTGTTATTTTGATGTAGGTCTATATGAAAATGCAATCGACATTAAGTGTTATGATATTGATCTGTAAAATTTGTTGTGATTGTAGGGATCATTCTTTCCACTCCCCCCACACCCCCCCCCCCCGCTCTCTCTCTTCACTTTTTGACATGGGGTCCATGCCCCCTCCATACCTACATGTACATACACACCTACTTATTGGAGGGTATATATATAGCCTGGTCACCGGGCTAAGGGAGTTTTTCTCCCTTTCAATGATTAATACAGGAATGATGTTTTGTCCATGGATAATAATTATGTTGGGATGCCCCTGGACTTGTCTAAATTGAGAGAAAGAAAGATCTTGCCAGAGTATTTAGATGGAGAGTTCTAATTATTATGTATACTTGATTTAAATTTTATATTGTACCAAGACAGGTGTCAGTCTTTGGTTCTTGGTTTTTGATGTGATTTTCTTTGATTTCAATAAATCCTTTATATATAACTAAGACCTGTCTTACTTCATGTTCCCCGTAGACAGCATCGGTGACATAAAGGGTGATGCCTCCAATGGCCAACGGACCCACATAGGCTCCCATGTCTGTGATGAACTTGAGGATAGCACCGGCCAGCATTCGGACCCAGTAGGTGGCAAAATACACCTTGAACAGACTCGGTTCCCGCTCTTCTTCCTTTGCCCGCTCCTGCAAGTTAAAATGAATAACACGTGTTTGTGGTTGGCATTGAATAGCGATCGTAACGGTGTCGAATATGCTTATTAAACAAAATAAACACACAAAGAGCAAAGTCAATAACAGAGCCTAGAAAATGGTTTAAGAATTGTCACACTAAGGACATCTTTTTGGTTGCCGCCATTTCCACACTAAAAATACAAGGGAATTAAAATCCACTCTTTTGGGGTACTTAAACACTTAAAAGTACTTAAATGTCGTCATTTTGGATTTGAATGCGCTCAGTAGACTGAAATTTACTCGAAATTGGTTTTAACAACAGTTCTTTTGAGCGGCTTCTACTTCATGTATTTATCTAAGGTTTCCATTACCAAAAAAGAAATTCCGAAATTATCTGTCTTGTCTTGTCCATACTGCACCGAACACCCCTTCCGGACTAAAAATGCGCAGTCCATCATGCATGCAGTTGTAATTATATAGAATTTAACTTTTGACAAGAGTGACTTGTATATATGATTTGCTATCGGGGGGGGGGGGGGGGGCAGATTTTATACCAATGAGAGGGTGCTCCAAATCAGTTTTGTTCTGTCAAAGAGTGATTAGTGGTAGCAATCTTCGTTGGTCTGGATGGTGTTGAAGTTCAAGGGTTTGGTTTGTCTGGTTGCCCAAAGATTAGAGCGTCTAAAATTAGATTTGGAGCGCGACTCACTATCTCTCTCTTGAAGTTGTTCTTGAACCGTCTATGATTGTACTCGGCGCTGTGGACCTCCGGTATGCTTCCCAGATCATCCATCTCGAGTGGCCTCTTGAAACCGAGAACGAAGAGCCAGTTCATCCACCAATGGACAAGCTGAGAGAAGATGTCGACGTAGCGCTCCATGTAGTACATGCGTTCATCCTTTAAGTCTCGAGGCACTTCATCCACGCCGGGACTCCAACCAAACCACTAAAATAATAAATAAATAAATGAAATAATAAGATGAAAAGAGAGAGAATCGATTTCAATATCTTAAAATTGCTTATTCAATGGAAGGGGTGATAGGGAACAACATAAAGAGGTAAACTGAGAGAGGAGGGGAAGGGGGGGGGGGGGAGGTGGAATACAAAAGTCATAACAAAGGAAATTATATTGGAGAGAAATATAGAATTAGAAAAAGACAATTACAAGTACTAAGTAGACAAGATATATAGAAACAGAGAAAAGGAGAAACGGAGAGAGAGAGAGAGAGAGAGATGTGCATGTATATCATTTTACTTATGCCAGCGTTTGTTTCACAAAACATAAGTAAACATATCAATATGAAAACATCGTGAGTGAGGGGATGGGGGTGGGGCGTAGACGAAAGTAAAAGGCAGTGTTATCAAAATACTCGAAATAACGAGACTAACTGAAAGGTGTAACATGGTTACGTTTCTTCGCTTCCTTTTCTGCATTGTCACCCGATTTGTATATTTTAGGCACCTGTGTATGAAGCATAACAATAATGCTTTCTATAGACCTAGGTGGACTTTGTCCTGCATACAAATAACAAAATGGTTCTAGTCAATTTATCATGCGTATGACTTTGAATACAACCAAAGTGTAAACTTTTGAACTTGTTTATTTTCTTTCGATTCCTCTCACCAGTTGATCTTTAAGGGAGAGATAGTCCAATCTTTCACATTCTTTTTGGTTACCCTCCCCCTTTTTTTTTCTCGACATACGACGGGTGGGGTCGTGCTCATCGTTCCCCGTAGCTAAGCTACTGTATAGCAAACTGATTTAATATATCTATTCATAGATGATACTTTGTTCAAATGATGAAGACAAGCAGATACGAGAGGAAGAAGAAGAAGAGGGAGAAGAAAAAGAGAAAGAAGCAGAAGAAGAAGAAGGAGAAGAAGAAGGGGGAAGAAGAAGAAATCTTTAAACGCGTCGAAAGAAACAAGTGAGGATTAAAGTGCCAATAGACGTTTATATAAATATAATATTCGCATCAATGGAAGAAACAACAACAACTCTACAAAAGCAAAACAAAATACATGTAGGCCTATCAACATTTATCCCGAGAAAAAAGAGAAGAAAAGAGAATCTGCTTACGTTGTCTACGAGGAAATACAGCTCGAGGAGTAAGAAGAAGCTGTATACTGCAATCATGATGATATTGATGTCGAAGGCTGTCACATGAACATCGTTGTATCCCTGGTGGATGAGGGACTCAATCTGGATGCTTACAGTTGCCAAGGAAGCCACCCAGTAGACGAGGAGGAGGAGAGACATCTTCCAAACACGCCATCTCTCGAGACGACCAAAGTAGAGCAGGGATACAACTCCACTTAACGCAGATGATATGCCTTGGGATGAACAATTGTATAACTTTGATTGCATCATAACGGGTAGTTGTGGTTTCAGATGTACACCTCAGTCATACCATTGAGACCGAAATCAAACCGCCGACAGACCGCCGAAAATATTATATACGAAGACTGACTTATAATCGGTCGGTTTGGAGTCGGTGTGACTGAGTCTGAGGTATTACAAGGATGGAGGACACCATCATTGGTTATTATTGTACATTCAAGACGAGATGTTATGGAATTTCTAAGAGGACCCTTTTTTTTTTTTTTGGTCTCGAAATTTGAAAAATTGACGTTTTGTTCCCTTGGGGGGGGGGGGGTAAGGTCAGCTTTTTTAGGTCAGCCATGGGAATTTTTTATTTAAAAAAAAAAATTTTAATAAATAAAAAAATTAAAACAATTAAAAAATCCAACCCCCCCCCCCCCCCCCCCTGTGTACGCGCCTGGGCCTATATGACCAGGGCTCAAATTAATTTTTTTTGTCCACGGGATCTCTTCCCCCGAAAAAAGAGCCCCCGTGAGCCTTCTCACGGGGGCTCTTTTATTACTGACGGGGGCTCTTTTTTATACAAATATCCATTGAATTGGTACCTATGATACTCCTCAATTATTTGCTATTTCATCATTATCATTTCAATCAGCATTTTCCCTCTTACAAATTTACAAGCTACATAGCTGTTACTGGCCTGTGTATATAATATATACGCATACAACACTGATCTTTATGATGTCTTTAACGTGACATATCTTCTTCTCCCCTTGCAAACGAAAAAGAAAACATGGTCATTAAAAGGGATTAAGCGACAAATAATGATTGTGGTTCAAATTGATGCGAATATTTGTTTGAATAAGCACTGCTATTCATCCGAATCTTCTTTGTAAAAACAACTTTTACAAATCTCAGCCATGCTTACTAAGTTGAGACGTTCCATTCAATTTAAAATACCCATTACATAATACACTTCTCCTAATCTCAAAGTGATCTTACAGCACAGTAGCAGAATTGCATGGCTGAGATTTGTAAAAGTCGTTTTTACAAAGAAGATTCTGGTGAAAAGCATTGCTTATTCAAAAAAATCCTTGCATCAATTTGAATCACAATGATTATTTGTCGCATGGTCCTTTTATTAAATAACCTTGTTTTCTGTTTTGTTTGCAGAGGGAGAAGAAGCTATGTCACGTTAAGAAATCATAAAGATCAGTTGTATTATGCGTATATACATATGATACCAGAACAAATGTTGATTATCAGAATGTCATTTTGGAATACCTCTATACAAATACCACATTGTCTTTAGCCCGTATCAGTATTAGTATGATCCAATATAAAGCTATTATTCTTTATTTAATTCAGTATAATGCTTTTCCTCAAAAATAGTTTTGCTATTTTTTTTAGGGTTGAGACACTAAGAAATGGTTTTAATTTACACGAACCCTGAACCATTGCAAAATGATGGTGGTTCTCTCTCTCTCTCTCTCTCTCTTTATTTTAATCATGCATTATCAACTACATATAAAGCAGCAACCAAAAACTTAGGGTTATCTGAGATAGGTGAAAGTAAGAGTTAAAAAGAAAGTCATGCTAAAACGGCGCTTCACTTCCCCCGCCCCCTGAAAAAAAAAATAGATTAGTAGTCCTCCTCTCCAGAATCCCCCTCCCCCCGCTTTAATATAACATTTTCACTTGGCAGCCCAAGGGGACCGGGGGTGGGAGGAGGGGGTTAAACCCCCTACCCCCCCCCCCGTAGATCTACCCATGTTACCATATCATTCCACGACATTTTGGTCTTCCTCTTCTCCTCAAAAGGGACTTTTAGATTTGCGTGGACGTGGACGTGGACGTGTTACGTCCTTTTAAGGCACTGGCAATCACATGTAACGTCCTTTTAAGCACTGGCAGTGCCTTAAAATGAGGTCACACGTTGCAGTCCACGTTCTCATCGTGCAAATCTAAAAGTCCCTAATATTGATTTACTGGTCGAGGTTCATTATTTGCTGACAACGAAAAACTTCTCCAGGCCATGTTTCTGCCCTTGCCCGATCGCCTCCAGCTCCAGCAGACATGGTGCGGCAGCGTGCACAAGCACCGCTACTAACGGCGCAGTAGGTCTATAACCACTTCTGACGGCGGCACTGCTCTGCGAGCTGAATCGGTAATAATAGGCCTACTCATAAAACGAGAAACCTTGCATGCTAATCTTAGTTCCATTTCATTGGTTTAAGGTTTGAAAATTGAAACTCAATATTGTGTTAAAGTTATAACAGAAAAGATTATCTTTATTTCATAATTCCACCGGGGCGATTTTTAATTTTGCAATCGCCCCCGTGAGCAACCTGACGGGGGCGATTTTGTAGCTCACGGGGGCGAATCGCCCACCGCCCCCGTGTATGACCTTATGGACTGAATTGAAAGAGAAGAAGGATCAATTTTTTTTGAAAATCAGTAGAATAGATGACTCACCTGTAATGTAGAGATGTGGTTGTGTAGGTTGGTTGGTATATGTGCTATCAGTCAGGATACCTTCCGCAACAGATGCCACTGACATCACGACCAGAACAAAGGTACCAAGATATCTAGGACTATGTGTTACGTAACGGAGCAGGAACCGATGTGGTACATCACTTGAGGATTAAGAAAAAAAGATTATGAAAACATATTTGTATAATCAATACGGCCGACAAACAGATTTTATTATTCACGTTCGGGGACCGATTTCAACGTCATCATCTAAAAGATGCGATTAGTTTCGAATTGGAGCTCGTTAGAGTCGATTTATAAGAGGGGAGAGAGAGAGAACTAAACACTAAACCAACATCTGTCTGTTATTACCTGATTTTATAATTCTGATCAATACAATAATATTATTTTGTGGAAAGGAACAAGTCTATACCGATGTATACTAAAAATATATGTACATGTTTATCCGAATCAAATAGTAGAAACACAATTAATGGTAAATAAATAATTGATATGGTCAGAATATTATTTTATACTGTATAGATTTACTTGAATATTAGAATTTACTCATTAACATTATCACACCTTCTTATATAATGTCTATTTACATCAATTCATGGTATCAGTACATTTCATAATTTAAAAGTCAGAGAAATACATAATGTCATTTTAAGAAGAAAATAATTTAAGAGTGTTTTAAGGAGTCATAATGTTAATCAAGATAATACCTGCGTGAGGTGCAGCATGCGGTGAGAAAGAGAACTAGAAGAGCTAGGACGAAGAACCCTATCTGAGTCCCGGCGATGAAAGCATCCACCAAACACTCATTACTCAACACATCCTCATAGTTCCAAGACTGGTTATCAAAGTCTGGCAGGTCACTGCTGTTTGTACCACAGAACCACTCCCAATCATCTGATCCCATTCTGGTGACGATTGTTACTCAGATTAAAGAGAAAGAGGTCCAGATGAAGAGCGTTTTCAGACCAGATCTGTTGGTATAGAATAATGAATTTTGTTAACGCCGTCCTAAGCAAAGGTACACAAAATTTTATTAAACAATCATTGCTGTCATCACGGAGATACTGTAATGTTATTCCATGTATAAGTGTGAATACAATTACAAGAGAGATAAGATACGTTACTATCAATAGGCAACGTATGATCTTATTTTAGCCTTGATCTTCTCGAAACAAACATGGCGTGCAGAAAGGGCAAGGCGAACCACATGATGTTTACACGTATACCTTATCAACTCGGTCAAGTCCTTGGTCGTTCCAAAGTCCGATGTTACATTGTTTCAAGAACCGAGATCGATCAAGCTTTGATACAAAGATAAAAGGCGGTTTTGGTTTCATTTAATTTATTTGATTATATATTACTATTTCAGAACGAACCGGTATGATTAAGCACATGTACAAAGTATACATGCTGATTCAATAATTGACATAAAACATTATGATAAGATTATATAAAGTTCAAACTAGAAATATTGACGATAATATAATGATAACGGAACATTTGACCTAATTTTAAAAGGAAGGGGCACACTGAAGAAGCAATGCTGGTTTGGCGCAAACCCTTAAAACTTAGTTAGATAATGATAGAGATTTGTGTTCAAAGAATATAGTATATAACGATATAATAAAAAGGCGAAAGTTACGAACAAAATATTAACGGTATGCCTTAGTAAATTTACAATAAGAGAGAGAGAGGAAAAAAGAGAAAGAGGTAGAGAGAAAAAGAGTGAGAGGGAGAGAGAGAAAGAGTGAGAGAGAAATAGAGAGAGAAAGAAAATGAAAGAAAGAGAATTGTAGAATGGATGACAGGAACGCGAAGATCGGGGACAGGCGCGAATACGGAGTCGTTAGGCACGTGTTCAAAATAAAAGATTGAATTCCTCTCAGTCTATATTATTTCTTACGGTTGACTTGAAAATGAAATTCGGGCAGCTCTTATCACTGTAATTGAGCTGAGAGGAGGTTAATTTTCTCTAGACGTCAGAAACCCCGTGCTGTTATATGATATATAGATCCACGCAGGCGCGTACACAGGGGGGGGGGTTGAACCCCCCCCCTTTGGTATTTTTTTTGTGTAAACCCCCCCCCCTCCCTTTTGGTTTTTTTTTGGGTTTTTTTTTTATTAAAATTTTTTTTTTTTTAAATCCCATGGCTGACCTCAAAAAGATGGCCTTACCCCCCCCCCCAGCGGAGCAAAATGTCAAATTTTCAAATTTCGATACCAAAAAAAAAAGAAAAAAAAAGTGTCCTCTTACCCCCCCCCCCCCCCCCCCCCCCCCCCCCCGCTTTTTCAGCGGCTGGCTGAGTCGTAGTCGAATTTTTCGAATTTTCGAATGAGTCGAATTTTTCGGCCCGATTTATAAATGTTAAACCCCCCCCCCCCTTGAAAAAATCCTGCGTACGCGCCTGGATCCACGAGTTGACAGTGCCCCCTATCGATTCTTTGATTCATCAAGGGCTGCTCTTGTACTCAATTAAAATATGCATTTGCAACAATTCATTATCATACGCGGGTTCTATTATATTCTCTTTTCTGTAAAGGGAATCAATAAGCATATGTCATCCATCAATATCCACGCATAAATATATATGTTGTTTTTGTTTTAAATAATGATTTAAATATGATTATTTAGCGTGATTATGCAATGGAATACGTAGGTCGATGGAATGAACTTAGAGCACATGGTGTTATAAAATTGACCCTCAAGTCCGTCAATATTGTTCAGTGATATTCAAGGTATTAGCGTGTCCGGTACGCGATTATTTTTTCCGATTTTTTTTTTCTTTTAGGGGAGGGGGGGGGGGGTTAATACGCTGTCATTAGAATTTGGTAGTGATATGCTAACCTACAGTAGAGTAAATGACTACTGTTGTATAAATTCAAAATCGTTCTTGATGTAGTTCATAATGAGATTATAAAGTTCATTCTATAAAGGGGAAGGTTGCTTATTCGATACAAGTTATTCAATTAATGTGTAACAATAATTTCAATGTAAGTTACAATGGAATGGATTGACAAAATAATATTCTTTCGCAAGTCTGAAACCTTTTGCCTTTGTTTTTCATTTATAGTGCACCATTGATCTATAAGCAGTTGACAGGGTTCAATGAAATACGTCGTGTCTCTCTGGTGAAATATCACTTTTGCCCTTAAATCTCCGTCAGGCAAAAACAAGGTAGTAGCGTGTCTATAAATTATCATATTAAGGGGGGGGGGGTGGAGGAATCCTTCTCTCAACAGATCTCACTATGAACATGACGGACAATGAAAGAGGACAAAATATACAGTTCCTCAGGTAGACAAAGGAACATCCCTTCACTGCTATTATGTAAAAATGTGTAGAACAGGTGTCACATACATAATCACCTGTTCTACACATTTTTACATAATAACAGTGAAGGGATGTTCCTTTGTCTACCGGAGGAACTGTATATTTTGTCCGCTTTCATTGTCCGTCATGATCATAGTGTCTGCGTGTTAGAGGCCAAATGCAGCAAAACAAAAAATCCGGGCCACCCCTCCACCGATTGGAAAAGATCAAATGCTCTTGATAACTTTGGAACAAAAACTTGATTAGAAATTATCGTAAAAGAAGAGAAAAGAAAAGAAAAGAAAGGGTAACATACAAAATGACAGTGTGTCTCCGCATGGGGCCAGATGTTCTATTCGAATGCTATTTAGCTGATGAAACTTGCTGATGAAATTGATCGAAATGTTTGCTCATCTTCGCATGGTTTTATCAAACAACATAACATATGCGCTATAGACACGAGGAGCTGCAATACGAATACATAAGGGCGTAAGAGCCCTTTACTCTATATGGTGTGTACGTATGTATGCAAGGGGGAGGGGGGGGGGGTGTACGTTGAAGCGAAACAAAAATCGCCATTAACAAAAGTTAATAGCGTATCAATAAGTACGAATTGCTAAACTAAAGCACGAATTGCTAAACTAAAGTGAACCTCATACACATACAACGATTAAATCCAATGCCAGCATCTATCGCAAATGTCACATACAAAGATACTGAGGTATATCAATTTTAAAATCGGTCCGGATTTACAGATTTATTTGGGACAGTATATACTATAAGTAAGTTACTCTATTTCAATCTAGCCCTGATACATTATAGCTTCCTCTCCATTATTATCTATAAATAAAGAAACAAATTAGACTTTGTCTATAATGTATCAAGGGCATATGCTATGGTACAATCATTTCCGAGTTGGACTATATAGAGAGCGACTAAACTTCGAAAACTTACCTATAAAAAGCCTCCTTCAACTGTGTAATATCGCAATGCAAGAGGTATTATCCACACCGCTGTCAACAGCGCTATAAAACGGTCATCTGAGGTAGACAATGTATGGAGTCAAACTAACCGTCATGGTATAGTTTGATAATGGTCACAATCATTCATGCATACTCAGTCAACAGAACCATGATCAAAGAGCAACTGAATAAATTATTTGTCAAACAAAAAAAGTGTGTCTACCCACCCCTAAACTTTCGTAAATACAATAAACATCATAAGCGTTTTGCAATTAATTCCGCTACTGAAAAAAAAAAAGCTTAATAGTTTGCCGGAAACGTAGTCTATGCTCACTGTCGCTTACATGTACCTAGTAATAACCAGCAAAACTTGCTTGCAGTCCCGCATGCGCATATTTTTTTTTACACAACTGTTTAGCCACTTCAGTCAAATATAATGTGCAAACGACCAGAGACAGAGTCTAGCATTACCCCTAGCAGTTTTGTTGGATTGCTGGTGCTGCATGTATACATGCATGTGTACATACTCGTTATTTGTTTTGGGTTAAATCTATCCTCTCTTCTCTTTCATTATGTATTTCTGTGTTCTCCTTCAATCTATCCTCTTCTCTTTTGTCATGTATTTCTTTTCCCCCCTTCAATCTGTCCCTTTTCTCCTTCGCCTCGTTATAATTCTTTGTTTCATCCTTCAATCTATAGGCGGCAAAAGAAATACAAAACGAAGGAGAACTGGGGGCCCCAGTTCTCCTTCGTTTTTTATTTCTTTTGTTCTCCTTTATTCTAACATCTTCTCTTTTGTTTTATGTATATCTTTGTTTCTCCTTCAATCTATCCTTTTCTCCTTCGTCATCTATTTCTTTGTTTTAATCTGATAGATTAATTCCCTCGATCTTCTCCTTCGTTGTACATTTCCCTGTTTTTCCTAACTCTAGATCTATGATCCTCTTAGCTCTTCAATTATATATTTATATGTTCTTCCTTTGACTTATCCTCTTCTCTTTCCTTGTGTATTTCCTTGTTTTTCCTTCTCCATATCCTCTCCACTATCCTTGTTTTCCCCTTTCTATCATCTTCCCTTCCCTGGGTGTACGTGCTTGCACAGAGTGCGCTGACGACTTAGACTCTTTTACCAGAGCACTTCTTGGAGTTTTTTTTCTCGCGAAAATGGCTTAACAGTTGTGTAAAAAAAATATGCGCGTCCCGTATACAATTAGGTTGTCTGTAGTTAAGGCTCGGTAAAAAGACTATTTTCAACTAGTGATTTCAACGTCCGTAGTCCATGACCTTAAGGTCACATTTTCAGATATCGGTAAATATTGCACATTTTATGTAGCGGATTCAGGATTATCTGACGGATAAGGGGGGGGGGTTCTTTTTGGAAATGCCGATAATCAAGCAAACTAAAAAATGAAAAAGAAAGACTGAAAGAAAAGGATTGTCGAAATTGGCGGGGGGGGGGGGGGGTTCACACCATTTATACCCCTAGTGAATAATACGGGCATGAAGGTACATGTATATACCGTATTTGGTTTAGACGGGGTGGGAACATGTGCCCCCTTTACGTTAATTTTACTTTTTTTTTGGAGATGGTTCCCCCCCCCCCCCCCCCCCCTTGGCGCTCAAGAGAGGGGGGGTGCGATTTTTCAAATTTTCGAAAAAAAAAATCAAAAAAATTAGTTCACGATTTTCAAATTTCAGCGCACTAAATTTCAAATTGATATCAAATTTGGGCTCCCCCCGCCTGGTGCCACTACCTACGCCCGATTTCCGTGCGTCATTTTTGTTTGTCTTGCATGCTCAAAATGTATGTGCCATCAATTGATTGTGTACACTACGTGTGTTCGTACGTGTTATCAAAGATGGAAACAGCAAATATTTACTTTTAATTCTTACAAATTTATCATAGTTATTGTGTAATATTATTATTGAGAAATAATTTCTTTATTTTTCAGTTCTTGTCTGAACATAGAAGTCTGAACTGTTGAACTTCAAACGAAAATTCTTTACTGTCGGTGTAGGCATTCACTAGCTCATCGCTAAATACACTGTAAGAAATTTGCTGATGCAATATTTTGTAGAATCTTTTCCTCTCTATTTATTGCATAGTTTCGTGAATAAATCTTGACAGTCCTGCATGATGACCCGAATGTGATTGTGTTTAATACATTCTGTGTCAGCCAAAAAATTCTCAGCCAAAAATCGTGATGTTTTTGCCTGTAAGATATTTGAAAACATATTCGAGCCCCCGTCCCACCCCTTTCAAAGAGCTGTACATTCACCAATCATACCAATATAATTATAGATTAAAATATAAGCAGTGTTTCTCTCTTATCACATTCTCTTTCATCAACTCTCTATTTCCTAAGCATAGGATTAAATAATACAGACACAGACGATTGGTATGCATGTTAGATACATGTTTCCCCTTTTTTATTCATCGCTTTTAGTTTCAAATGAGTGATTGAAGTGCTGTATATTTGTTTCATAGCTTCAGTCATTTGATTCGACTACAGTTGCAAGGAAGAACTGAAATTATATGAAAGAGAAATTCATCAACGAGTTTATAAAGTTCATATGAACACAATAACTGAAAAGAGGGGGGGGGGGGTCTTATGTACAGTACTTATGGAAGCCCTTTGCAGGGACAAGGATGGGGCTACGTAAAACCTGAAGATTTGTAAACTTCAAATCATGAATGTTTCTTTTAAATTTCTGCTTATTCATCTTGCCTTATTTACCTCAATGAAGAAATAATTTACAGTGAAATTATGATAACAATCAATGGCTGATCAACGGCAGTCTCAATCGAAAATTTACAACAATTTTTAAACACTGAATCCGCTTGCTTGATAAATATTATAGGCTATTGGAACATCACACGCTGTCTATGTAGTGTGGCGTTAAAGATCATTGTTTGAAGATGCATTTGAAATGTGAATGGTGTAAACTAAGGAGCATGATTAAATAAGGTGTTGAATAATAATATTCATACAAAATCATTACAAATTATCGTAGAAGTCAACTTTCTTTCTTCGTCAAAAAAAAAAGAATTAAGCTAAACTTGTTTCTATAATATTACTTCTACTCTCCCTACATTCAGACTGTACATATATAACAACTTATATCTGTGCATTTACTTCGCGTTACTCCATACAATGAAATTGACACAAACATAAAAAAGTAAATTAATTCAAAGTGATGCAAAAATCTCACGCCTTATTGTAGTTAAGCGATACAATTGACCACTTCGATCGATTTGCCAGCACAAAAGTTATCTAAAATTTTCAAAAGGTTCGCAATGAAAATCTGTACGTAACGTATGACAAGTCCTAACTATACAAACATATCAATAGGCAAAGTATGTAAGATGATTATTCAATACGAATTTACATAAATGTAATGAGAAATAGACAGATAGAAATACAGATATATACAAATTGTAAAACTATAAGTAGCTAAATGAATACAAACACATCTTGTTATCATATCCATGGATCCGATAGTAAAGAAATATGATATGCATAGACCTTGATATTTAGAAGACAAATGATACATGTTCATTTAGAATCTACGATTTCAAACTTCAAACTTCAAACTTCACAATAAAGACTAAACGTACGGGGCTTGTTATTTACAAGACAAACGATTTGCGTACATTTAGATATTTTAGTCCCTACATTGTTGAACAAAGACTAAAATACGGTATGAGTTATAATTCTTAGTCCATCCTAGATGGTAGAATAAAGACTAGTACGTCGGAAGTTGGTATACTGCAGTCCGTTTAGATTGTTTGACAGCATGTCACCGCCGAGGGCGTCACAGACTTCGCTTGAACCGGAAAGACCATTATTTCGCCACGTAAGGGTTACGCTGACGGCTCGGCTACGTGACAAAGAAAGGCCACATCCACTAGAAGATGTCGAGAAAAGCTGCGAGTTGGGCTGGTCTAGAATCAAACTGGCACGTTGGAACCGCCCTGATGAGAGATGACAAAAGAAGAATAAGAGTGGCGTGAACAAAGATTTTCATCTTAAAGATCATTTACCATTTCTTGTTGTGATTGTTATCTTTCTTTGTTACAATTTTGCGTCTCCCCCTAATTATATAGGGAAAGAGTAGGCTATGAATATTATAAAAGAGCTTCTTTTATTTAGATTTTAATTCTGTAATTTTGTTTACATTTTCTACTCTTTTAAACGTGATTGTTTGTTGCGTGTCAACTCTGTTCCATAAATTGGTGACCAAGGCCTTGCAACTATGTCAAGCTCTGATATGTATGGATATGGTGATTTGTTATTACTACATATTTACTAGTTAGCCAAAAGAAGGAATGCATTTCACACTCCGATCGCCTTCTGTTTCTCTTTGAACTACATCATTTACATTTGAGATCACCATTTTGTTGAGATCATCTACCTTCCTTCCTTTCCAACTTACCTATGATACCATCGACAGCAGACGTAAGGCCAGAATTATCGAGCACGTTAAACGTGAACGCATCCGGTCGCTGCCTGTCAGTGTTGGAATCCAGTCGTTTGCTCTCTATCTCAAATCTTGCACCATTCGCGAGCGACACCACCACCTTCATTCCACTGATCTCCAGAGTGTGCGATCCAAAGCTATAGGCAGACGTGATGCCCCAACGCAAGGGACGACTGGAGTCGACGGCTATACCTCCAGGGTTGAACTTGAGACGATGTCGAGAGGGTTGAGGTGCGTTGAGGACGATGGCGATCTCGCCGATGAAGGTACGCTCTTTGTCTCCGAGTCGACCAGGAACAGTATCCCCAACGATCCGCCCATTCACAAAGACACCTGAAATAGAGACATGGTTTTGTTTAAGTTGACAGAATGTCAAAACAAATAACATCAGTCCATTAAGATTTGAACAAAGTAGGATTCACGAATGTTCTCTCCGTCGCTGCCGATTAAATCAAATGTAAAATACCCAGCTTGTTATTACTGGCTTTATTTCCCTTTGTTTTGTTTTTTAAATCTAACAAAAACACTGCACTTAAACCTGTTTAAAGAGACATAAGCTCAAAGGAGACACAAAAGTTGGCCTTTCAGTTGGTCTTCTATTAACGCTTTCCTTAATACTGATTTCTAAGAGAAACACTGTTGCGGGGAAATGATAGAAAGCTGTCGCTTTGTAGACAGGCAGTCTGTATACCTTACAAAACATTATGTGAACATATACCCATCTTCCTCGGCGAATAAAAAAAACAATTGATAGACATTCTTACCCTGCAAGGGATCTTCCAAGAGAACGATGACGTCACTATCTACTGGATCCTCGTCTAAGCACACAGTGATTTCCACCTTAGGTACGGCTATGGTGAATCCTAAAACACCAGAGAAGAAAGCCATGATCAATTCATTAAACAATATGGTTATTTATTTAATTTTCTACATAAAAAATGTAACGAATATTCTGTAAATCATTGTGTTTTCTGACCAATAAAACTTATCAAGATAAAAATAAATAAATCATTAATCATGTTTCAAAATCTCACCATTAAACTTCCCCTAGTGTAATCTCAATATGATGTGAGGAGGGTGCAAATCGTTACATAAACACACACAAATAGCATATTTAGTGTGAAACATTGTACGCTCCAGAAGAAATTTTACGTTTCGCATACTTTCGCAAATGTCATATTATGTAGAATTCTTGCCATAACAAAAAGCGAATGAGTGCAACTCCAAAAGTCAAACGCCTTTTCTTCGGTACATAAAAATGAAATTCAGTTTGATCAATGCGTTCATATATAATTGCAACTTTTCATGCAAGAGGACAAAATATACACAAGTAGGAATAGAAGTGAAACCAATGTAACATATAAACTGAAACCAATGGCTCATGGCCTGTGTACTTTGTCCTGATATGATAAAGAAAAGAGTTATTACCTGCCGAAAGGGGTTCTGGTGCAGGGATGGGAGCCGGTGGAATGACTGTGTAGTTCCTGGAGAGTGTCTTTCTAGCTGTACGAGGTAGTGGTGAATTGATGACTCTCATACCGAATGGATTCACCCGACTAGACCCTCCATCATCTCGACGAATCAACAACGCAGTAGATGGATTGAAGAATCTGATTGAAGTCGTTTAATATGAAAAATAAAAATCATATTCCATTTCTTTTGTTATGTATCCGCAAATGATTAACGCGAGCCAGGTACTCTCATTTTACATAAATTAGAACATAACCCCCTGCAATTAACATTAGAAATCAATCGATTGCGACGGAGACAGTTCCATCAAAGGGCCTGCTACCGAGGTAGTCACCGATGTCGTATAATACCACCTCTTTACCATACTCCATCTATCTCAAAGCTTTACAACAACACAAAAAGAATTGAATAAGCTATAAAGTAAAACATGCCAGAAGTAATCATTTGATAGATCAAACGATCAGCACCAGAAATTATGTTCACGTAATACTACTTTACTTAATATAGTGTCAAAAGTTGAACTCGTGTAAGATAAACAAATACATAAAAGGTTTTCGAGCGTAACGATTGGAAGGAGAAACTGCACCTGTACTGAACAGACTTGTCTTTGATCTCACTGTCTCCTATCATGCTGTAGTCGGGTGTTTCTTCGGCTAGAGCTTGTTCATTCTTGAGACTCTGGATGATATGATAAGCCCAGATCCTCTCGATGATATCCTCTGGTACATCATCATCAAGGAGGGAAAGAGACGGCACCTGAACAGATTCGAGGAAAACATAATAAATAAATCTCGAAGGTCATCAGCGCTTGTTATGTAGTTAATCGTTTTTATCAAAAATTTAAATTTATAATCGAAAAAGGGCCTGTTAAGATATAGCTGGAGATTATTATCAAAAAAATTATTCTCAGCACCGAAAGTCGTCATCAATAGAATGAGTTATTAATTTACCAGCATAAAGAATAACGATAACGGAACTAATAATTTAATTTGAAGGGTTCTGCCAATACTCATGGTCTACGACGTCACCTTGATATGTATTTAAGTAGTAGCATATAGTTTATTCAGGTTCATTAGATGAAAACTTGCTTAACTTTTGTGATTTGATTTACATTAAAAAAAAAAAACTATTACAGTAACACTGTATGGGGATATAAGATTCATTAAATACAATATGTCGTATTAAACTCCGGTTTCTTTTACCTGAATGTCACCATGACCTCTTAGTGTGACCGGATCGTTTGTGGTCCTGCCGTACACGTACGAGTTGAGTGCATCGTAAGGCAAGTTGGGCAGGAGTTTGCCCACCACCGTCAATTCAGAACCGTTGAAGTAGTTCGAGAAGGTACGGTCACTGAGCGAGTTAGGTTCGATGCCTCGTGAGTAGCGAAACTCGATGTCCCGGAGCAGGGGCGTGGCCACCTCGTAGTAGAAATTCTCGAGATGCTCTCCAGCGTCAGCGCGTTCAGGGATACGACGTGCAACCCCGTGGTTCTAAGCGAAAGATCAAAGTAAGGAAGCGTATTTTGTAGCAGCATTTGGTTTTCTTGACAATATGGAAAAACATTCTAGTTTAATTTGTTTTTAATAAGGATTCATGTTTGAGTACATCAACATGACAAATATGGCGTTTGGTCTGATTAAGAAATATAGATATTGTAAATATTAATGACATTTATACGTATCTGAATTCCACACTATTCATCATTTTAATGATGGATAATCAGACCCAATTTAAGTTGTGAATACCTACTTTGTCATCACATTCGTCTGTTTGTACGTTGAACATTATTCAAGTTCTAATGTCAATATCAGGAGGAGTTACCATCAAACTTTGCACTTGAATGATATACCTACAAATTTTTTTAAATTACCTGCAACGACAATCGTCTTAAGAAAGGATAATCAGCATCAGCACCAAATCCAATACAGAAGAGCGAGAAATCGCCATTGATCGCCTCGTGGACATTTCGCTCAATAATAGTTTTATCGATCTCGCCGTGGTTTGGGTTTCCGTCGGTAAGGACGATGAGCATGGAGACGATCTCCTCTTCTTGCGGATCTTGCTCGCTCTCGGCACGTAACATGTTTACCCCGGAGATGATGGCCTTGTGCAGATTAGTGTCTGAGTGGGAAAAGATTCAATATGGCGCGCAGCTTCAAATTATACACCGACTTAAAAGTGGTTAATCGTAATTCGAATCACCTTCCATTTTATTTGGTAGGCCTATACAATAAACATAATTTCTCCAATTTGAATTCATACTTATATATTGCTTTGTAATTAGGGCTATACATTACCCGTCAGCTCTCTGTGTAACCCATTGCTTTATTAATGACTGATATAGAGAACTAAACTAAGCTAAAGTCGCAAATGATCTTCCAAGCGCGCTTTTTTGCTCAGTAAAGCTACGAATCGTGTCATGAAATATGGTATTAGCCTCTTCTTCTTAAAAAAAAAACACTGATCAAGACTGTTTCGTGGAATAAATGAAGGTTTTTATATGTGTTTCTTAACGCTGACGATACAGTGATTATTCACTAAATTATTTGATGTATCGTGAGAAAACCTGCATTGACTTACTATCCATCTCCTGGAGTCCCATGACAAAGCGTTTTGCTCTGCGGACATTCTCTTTGGTGGAGTAGAGCATCCCAGTACTCTCCAAGAAGTGCACATCATCTGAGAACGGAAGGATATTGAACTTGTCCGTCTCTGACATGTCATCCAAGATGGTCGACAAGGCATCTTTGACCTGGGCCAGCTTGGTGCCCGACATCGAGCCGCTGATATCGATCACGAAGATGATGTTCTTGCGCAGGACCGAGAGGCCGGACGGTGAGAAATATTGGACGAAGTAGTCGTTGAGGACCTGTGGCGTTTGAAAACAGGAGTAGTCAGGAAAGTGTCATTTCATTTCATAACTACTTAGAAATAGTCAAATAGTGACACTGAACAGTGAAATGTAATACTACGACTCAAACAAAAGCGGCCAGAGTAAAAAAAATAGTAATTCATCAAATTCTCAGCGTTACGGTGAAAATGTTATCATCTGTATGGAAGAAGGCGAATGATTAAAACATTTGTATATTTGTCACGGAGTATGAGTAGTCAGTGTTTAGAGGTCCTGTTAACATTAGCATGAAGACCTACCTGAATATCACCGGCATCGTTGCCATGCACGACGTCATACCGCACCGTATAATCAGCCATGATACCCATGGGGGACACTCCCAGTTGTTCTCGAGCCCTGGGCGAGTAGTGGACCTCCCATCGATTGTCGCTTCGTCTCTGGACTCTATGGGCCAGTGAGATGGGATTGGATGGGTCAGACTGGTCTAGCAGGAAACTATCCAAGCGAGACAGCCCTTGAGGCTCGATGATGACGGTGTCAAGGTTCATCACTTCAACCACCTTCAAGATATAAAGAGCTAGACATTGTCATTTCATCGAATAATAACAATTTGTTTGTATTTGTCTTTATGATTAATTAATTTTAGTAATCGAGTAATATAATCTAATGAAGATTATTAACGACATGGTTTGACAGTTTCTTTAATCCTTTCGTCTGAAAGAAAAACAGTGTTACTGAGGAATAAGAGATGTGTGACTATATTGGCTTGCGTAAATGAGTATCCGATTGTTTTCCTCCAAATTAATACAAATTAGAATATCAATATCATTCTTTTGTATGGTTTTAATGCTAAGTAAATTCTGAGATTATGATATGACTTCTTAGAAACTCCTATCGTCACCTGTTCCGGGAAGATTCCAATCTTCTGTTCGTACATTCCGAGACGCCTTGGTAGCTTCCTTTCATAGGTCAGGCGGAAGTACGCCCTCTCACCTGGTTCAACGGGAACCGCTATCACCAGCAGATTGTTCTCAAGATCACCTCTGTAGTGAGACAGACAGAAAGAGAGAGAGAGAGAGAGAGAGAGAGAAGAGAAAAAGAAAAAGAGAGCGAGGGGGGTATTGTATTTTACTTCAAACACATACCTGGAAAACATTGCAGGTTTCATGTATTTGAATTTGTTTTCCGTCGTTGCGCATGGCTATGATAAGGTAATCATCAGTGACAAATCATGAAATTGTTTTTTTAAACGACAACGAATCAATACTAGAGTGTAAAAAGAAACATAGCCTGATATAATATTATCTTTAAAATTATTATATAATGTATGAATCGTCAGCTGGAATAGAAGATTAGAAAGTACTTACAATGGCGAAAGAATACCCCCACTGCGCCCGATCTCTAGGTTACCCAGTCCTAGACCTGCGGTGTCCTGGGGGTCCGTTACCTCACTCGTGTACACCTCTCCATTTACAGTTCTAGTTAAGGAGAAATGTAAAGAAGACATCAAAATAACGTGAAAGGCATTGGAACAAATTAACCATATCTCTTTAAAGTATTGGTTTACGATTAAAACCATACATTGTCGTTGTGTTACTACAATTAATTTATGTGTAGGCTTCTGGAATTGCTTATTCCATTTGAATTATTGAATTTAAAGTAAAGAGGATAACTATGACTTTAAATAAACTGTAACGCCGTGCTATTTAGACAGGCTGCAAAGGGTTCTCGAAACACCATTAATATGACCATGACACAAACACGCATGGATGTTGATAGAATTGATATAACCAATATGAATTTAACGTTTACCCATAATTAGTAACCACCATTGCACATGAGTATTTATAGAATTGTAATGTTATTTAATCCACTTGATGTCAATATTTTGAGCTAAAGATTCGATGTAAAAAGCAATTTACATAGTCAGGTTCGAGATGAAGGCATCCTCGGGTAGTTTGTGTTTGAAGACGGCATGTCCTAGTTGTCTTCCTTCGTTCTGCATCTCAACCTCAACTGTAGTCATAGCGTAACGCAGGATGATCAAAGACATCACATTAAACAGCACGGTATTGACATTTTCCTGTAAAAAGGAAGAAAGAAAAAAAAACATGGGGAAATCCTTGAACAAATCTTTCCTAAGACGTCTATTTCGTATCCACAATAAAGATGTATCCGTTTATTGTTGGAGAACGTTACTATGATCCAGAACATTTTACACTCTAACTAAATAGTTCCTCTCCGACCTTTGTATGAGAATCTATAACAAAAAAAAAGGAAAAAAAAGAAGAAAGGTAAAAAGGTAGATCCACTATTAAAACGATCATGTTATTTAATTGTGGATTATCGTTGATGTCATCTGCCAATAGAGGAAAAGGTGATTTTAAAGCTTTAAGTTTTGAAAGACTATATAATGAAGATGGGTCGATATACTTACATCATTTTCCATTGCCAGCGGGGCATCTTGCAGCTTGACCGGAGCTGTAGTAGGTCCACTGTTACCTTTAAAGAAGGAAATTTAAAACGTCACAGTTGTGAAAACATAAAGTATATAGCTACTTGCTCCTGTCGAATTATGAAAGATCGTTACCCGTAAATCAGGAATATTACTTGTTAAATTTGAGACAAAAATAATTATTATTACAAAAGTTATTGACTTGTCCTCTGTGAATTTCTTTACTCTTTATCTTATTGGTGAATTCAACTCTGGTCTATTCTATTGCAACAGGGGCCTTGGCCTTCTGCATGTATTCAGCCATTCGATCAGCCACATTACGACATGTGCAGTAAGGTATTAAATACTAGTATGTGGAACAAGGACACTATAATCTTACCTATTGCTTTTTTCAACAGATCTCTGGCACTATTGGCCATACTGTAACCCGGAAGGGGAATAGCACTATTACTTCCGTCAATCACGTCTCCCGTTCTTGGATGTCTCAAAGCCAATGGAGTGAGCGGGGTAACCAGGTTGTATCTCTTGGCGAGTGTGATGATACGATCTGCAATCTCATTACGTTGGACAGGATCCGTGCTCCTGGCGTATTGACGGATGAGATCCTCGAGGCGTTTCAACACCCAGATGCGCTCAACCACATCGGGTACTGTGCGCTGATATGACAATTCTGGTGAAGTTGTCTGTATTTTTTAAGAAAATAATTATATAGATTTAAGAGTCGATTATTTTATGGCTATTTGACAAGTCTAGAGCAGATTCCGTGAAGATGAAGATATGGTAAAAAATGGATTAGTGTCAATAAAAAAAAAAAAATGTACAAATTTGCTTTAACTCCGCATCTTCAAATCTGATCTAAAAGGAGAACTTCCGTGTCAAATATAGTTTACAAACACAAGACACGTTTCGTATTACGACATAAAACTTACAACGAAAGCTTCATATTTTTAGGTAAATAGCGTATATGTGATCATTAGGGATATAACAGTTGCTCTTGGAAGAGAAATGTTGAGGGCTTAATCCAAATATGTTCGCAATTCCCAGTCATTCATGACTTTTGCCATAAACATCAATCGACATCATGAAACCAAGCAAACACATTTTTCTTCCAGATTGAAAAACTCTACAAGGTATGAAATTCGTGGTCCACATTGCCGATGCCCCCAACATACCCTAATATCAGTAGTCAATCTGTTCTGCCCGGGTCCGTCTGTTGATGTCGATTCGATCACACCTCTGAGATTGTTGGACGGTGGATCGTCGTAGAGCTTTCCAGCTACAACCAGCTCTGATCCGTCGAAGTATACAGGGAAACGCCTCTCCGACAGGGTTTCTGCGTCTGCCACATCGCCAGGGTATCTAGCGTGTAATTAAAAGACGATAAAGGAATGAATGATTTATACCAATTCCATGCGAGGCGTCATTTCCGTATCCGGACACCTACCCCCTGGACATCCACCCCGGATAACCACCCTCAGTCAACTACTTCCTAGGACAACTACCCCCTAGGACAACTACCCCCTAGGACAACTACCCCCGGGCAACTACCCCCTAGGATAGTTGTCCAGGGGTAAGTTGTCCTATATGATGGTTGTCGTAGGGGGTAATTGTCTGGGGAGTAGTTGTCCGGGTGGTAGTTGTCCGGGAGTAATTGTCCTGGGGTTATTGTCCTATGGGTTAGTTTACTGGGGGTGGTTATCCGGGGGTGGATGTCCAGGGGGTAGGTGTCTCAGAACCGTCATTTCGTTTGCGCTATTACCTACGCTGATTAAGTCCATGACGACAATAGTGAATTCAACGCAATCTTTACTCTGTTCATTTTACAATCACCTTTCTTACGATGGCACTCTCATACGGTGCGTCAAGAAAGAGTCAGTCCCTGTCGCGATAGTGTTTCAGCAAGAGACAGTTCATGTGAAACCTGCACTAGTATCATTATATCTTTCTGAAAACGATGTTTAATGGCCGGAATGATGATACATCTCGCCATCACATGATTGATTGTCAGTTCCTAGATTATGAGTTTCCTATATCCACTTTCTATAAATTACCAAAAGATCACTGTCATTTCTTAAGGGCTCATTTTAAAGAACGATAGTCTTGGAAAACATAATAAATTACTGTCCCCTATTTGATAGAGCATGTTGTGGTCGATTGGATACGTCACCGGACTGTCGATCACAAGGTCCGCGGTTCGAGTCCCACCGCGGCACTAATGTCCTTTGGCAAGACATTGATCTACAATTGCCACACTCAACCCAGGTGAGGTAAATGGGTACCTGGTAGGATTATTCCTTGAAATGCACTGTGCGCTGATAAGGCTGCCGGAGCTAAAGCTAGGGTAATAAAATCCAAAGCTCTTTGGAAGCGCATAGAGATGTTATTTCATAACGTATTATGCGCTATACAAGAACTGCACTATTATTATTATTATTGTTTACTTTCCAAAACGATTAAACAAATTCGCTCGCATCCAATCAAATGTTATAATTTCAGTAGGCCTTTTTTATTTCAATTATTGTCACTTCCCACATTATCAGTGCGCTACTGCACTCGGTATAAGGTATTCCTCTTTGGTTTCATATGTGATAGACATTTCAGCTGCATGTTCCCTAGATCTTACCTTTAAGCATCTACATCTTTAGCACTCAGGCAATGTAACATAATTATGTTTAATCATTTTTAATCAAAATAAAGATAACTCCTTACTCAATAGACACGTCAAATAAGAGTGGACGATACAACTCTAGGTAGAAATCTCGCAGCTGTTCGGCGGCGCTCGCGTCCTCGTATATCATCCTGGCGATGCCGTCATTCTCGTAAGCCAGCTTGACGAGGAGATCGAAGTCGGCTAGTCGACCGAACCCAAGCGTGTAGAGGGAATGCTCACCGGCGATAGCTTCGCGGGCGTTGTCGAGGATTTCTTGGGGGTCGGTGACACCGACTGAAGGGATACCGTCGGTCAGAACAATAATCATACTGAGGTACTCGTCACCCGGCCGGTTGTATACGGTTTCGCTGTCTAGCAGCTCATCCGCTCGTAAAATAGCCTCATTTAGATTGGTTTCTAGAAGAGAAAATAGGTACATGGACAAATTTAGCTCCAGAAATCCCTAATCTATATGTGTGGAGAATGGAAAAGAATACGGACAATTAAAGTAAATACATCAACCTGATTACAGTAATTGTGTCGGTAGATGTTTATACATTTTGGAAAAAGGTACTATGATAACTATTAGAGAAGATCGACAAGAAAGAGTAAACAATTGGAAGGGCCAGTTAGATAATAAAGAAACCTACAGATTGAAGATTTCCTACAAGTCCTGCGAAATATGACCCGTGACGACAGTTTCTCCGCTGTCATTTCCTTCACTGACATGATTCAAGCCCCGGACCAAACATTATACGTAACCATAACCCTAAACCTTAAACCCCAAAGGTTTATAGCACGGAGCAAGGGCCCGTTTCATAAAACTTGTTATCAATAACAACTGCTAATTTCTATGATATATTTGCTCTCAGCCAATCAGATGCGATGATTTCAGTAGCTTGTAACAGTAGCTTGTAACTTGCAATTGATATCAAGTTTGATGAACCAGGGCCCTGATGTCGCCGGAGCATATGTGAAGTCACCTACCCGAGTCATCCCTTAGGCCATCGACGTATGCTTTGGCCTCTTCGATATAACGTGGATGGGCTGGTGCCAGTCTGCTACTTCCCTTCCAGTACCTAACCCCATCAGAGAAAGTGATGATACTGAAGTAGTCTCTGGGGTTGAGACGGTCCAGCATGGTTTTAAGAGCTTCTTTGGTCTGACTGAGTTTGTTCCCGTACATTGAAGCACTGACGTCGATGACGAACACCACTTGCTTGTTAAGGGCGTTCAGTTCGGACGGAGAGAAGAAGTGCACGAAGTGGTTGTCTTGGACCTGCAGTCATGGATTAAAACCCAACATTATACTCGACATTAATATCGAAACTTTAGTTGTTCTTTTGAAAAGCAGTTATGAATATCACATTTTGTCTCTGCAGAAAAAAGGAAAAGGGAATTATCAGATATACACATGACAAGTGAAGAACATGGAAAAGGGGTTGTGACGCTTGGTAACTAGTTTTGTTATTTGGTGGAGATGCTATTTAATTAGTCAATAGACACATCAACGTTATTAAAGTGCAAATTCGGGATTTTTTTGTAAATGGGAGGGGGGTGACAAACGCGAAAGTCCACGATGTCTGGGTAGCGCAACGTATTGCGGCTACGTCTTATAGGAGGCGCGATAGCTCAACCGGCAGAGCAGTGGTCTCGTAATCCGACGACCCGAGCTCGAAACCAAGACGATGCGCTAGTGCCCGTTGGTAAAGCATTAATCCTCATTACCAGGTCCCTCGGATAGGACCTAAAGCCGTCGGCCGTCTGGCTGCTTACCATTAAGCATCTATGCTTTCTTAGCAGTCAGGTAAAAGAACCACCACCACCACAACATATACGTTCATTTCTGTTTCAAGGGAAACAAGGTGGGGTTTACCCCTATTGAATCCGTCTATAATCAAATCATAATTAACAATATGAAGGTCATCGTAAAATATGTTTAACAAAATTATAAAGACAACGAAAGGATATAAGATGAAGGCGGCAATATTATAGTCACCTGTATATGACTACCGTCAGGAGTATGCTCAACATCGTACTTGATGACGATGTCCCCATCGAGACCTTTATCGTTGTAGTACGACTGGTCATAGACCGTCGGGTAGAACCTGAAACGAGCCCGCGTGTCACTCTCCTGTGTTATCCCGGTGCCTAGGTTGATGGTATGCCTTCCAGTCCGGGTGTCCCCGACGTACTCCGTGGTCATCTCGCGCATCCTCTGAGGCTCCGTGACCTGCACGTCGATGCCGAAATCTTCTACGAGCTGGGGGAGTAAATGAGAGGGTAAAAACTATTCGAGGTCCAGCAGGTGGGAATTAAGAAATATAGTATAAACATAAAAATACTAGAATCAAGAGAAAGAGAAATGGGGAGAGGGAGAAGGAGAGAAGTGGAGAGAGAGAGAGAGAGAGAGAGGAAGAAAAAAAGAGAGAGAGAGAGAGAGAGAAAGAGGTAGAAAGAGGGGAATGGTTCGAAAAAGAAAAGCCATGAGTGCATGGACAGCGTAAGCGGTAAAAGGTGGATAGAGAATGGAGAGGGCAGAGAATGAGAGATGGAAAGAGATAATGATAGATGCAAGTTTGTTGGTCAGGCATGGGAAGTCCACCAACGGTACGAACCTGTTGAGGTGCAACGTTGATTCTTTGCTCATATTGTCCTCGGACTCGTTTCAACAGTTCATCGTAGGTCAAGACAAAGGTCACACGGCCGTTGGATCTGACATCAGGCACCTGCATCACGAACGCATCCTTTGTCGGGTCCCTGATCGACAGAAAAGAGATACGAAGAATACAAAGATGTCATGGCATCTTAGAGTACGTTGGAAAGAGGTGTGCGTGTGAAAGGAACATAGATTTAACCAAAGTGAAAATGGTAACATCTATCTTGCCCAGCAAGTCTGTTTACACCAACTCTCCATTAACATGACTGTTATTAGAATACGCATTACAAATTTAGCAAAATTCGTTCAAAAAATAAAATCACCTTTATTCTTATGACATTTAACTTTGATGATATTAATGCTTTGACATAAATTGTTTACATTCGTTGGTGCTGTGTACTTTGTCATTATAGAATTACGAATTTTACGATGTATAATTTAAAGAGTTCAGTTCATGTAACTTAAGCTATCCCTAGGAGAAAACTTTAGTTTCCCTTCTTCCAATGTTTAGTTTGAAGAGCAAACCACACCCTAATAATCTCAATTCTAAATAAGTACCTTCTGGCCAGCACGGCTAGGACTTGTCCACTGCTACTGGTAGCAAACACGTTACGCCAATCGTCATCACGAATATTCTGAACAACACCACGGTATCGCTCTCCATCGATATCCCTGGAGGGAAAAAAACCCAACAAATTAAAACCAATTTGCCTGTAACGAACCAACAGGGCGTTAAATCTTTGGAATCTGATAAATGTTACGGGCCCTTCTAGCTCTCAACAGACTATAATTATCATCTTATTCTCATCGTAAATTGCTTAAAGAGCGCCCGATGTTTTCGGACGACATTTTCCTTCACAAGAACTCGATAGCCACGACTCACTTTGTACTTACCATTGACATGTTTTGACTGAAGATAACGGTCTATGCTAAAGAAAAACAATATGAATACTTATGATACAATCATTTATTATACAGTAGGCTTGCGGATGCACCATGTGAGAGAGAGAGGGAGGATTGAGGAGTCCTGAAAAGGACTCTCGGTAATCTTTCTTGAGGGTGTGTAGTCGTGAAAAGGACTGTTGGTGTAGTCTTGAAAAAGACTGTTGGTTATCTTTCTTAGCTTATAGGTCTAAGGAGAAATAAAGTTTAATTTATTATCATACAATGATTAGTATTAAACAGAAAACTCATCGAAATGGATAACAGTTTTGAAAGTAATGTCAATCAAAATGTCGTGATGTCGTGATAACATTTCATGACCAGCTACTCACACAAAGAAGTCAGAGACATAAGCGCCACTTGGTATCTGTTGGCTAAACTCGATGGGATGGACTTCGTAATCAACATTCTCATACTCGGCTTCGACTCTGGTTCGAGCATATCGTTCCGTTGTGTCCGACTCCACGTTGTATCTTCTCAAAACTATCGGGTTTTCCTGAAATGACGCACGATTTCGTTCATTTTCTGTCTTGTTAAGATAACATTGATTATTAATCGGTTACCTGTACATAACAACCCAACATAGGTTTGTGATCCTTTAAAATCTTATAGGTCGTATCAGTAGTTCTATCTTTCAAAAACAGAAAATAAATGTGGACAAGACTGTACATTATCTGTAACAATACAAAACTAAGGCAAGTGATTAAACGACAAACAACGCCTATTTACAATCGATATTTTATGGCATATTTCTCAAGCCTTACTTTAGATATCGAGTCGACTTACGATTTGGCGGACTGCGGGCTCTCTAGTCCTTGGCGGTGGCCTTGTTCTTGGTGCTTGAGTTGTGGTCGGGGCGGGCCTCGGAGGCCATGTCCTTGGAGGGGGCCTTGTCCTCGGGGCTTGAGTTGTGGTTGGTACCGTCCTTGGAGGCCAGGTCCTTGGAGGCCAGGTCCTTGGAGGGGGCCTTGTCCTTGGGGCTTGAGTTGTGGTTGGTGCGGTCCTCGGAGGCCAGGTCTCTGGAGCCCACGACCTCGGTGACCATGTCCTTGGGGCTCGAGTCGTGGTCGGGGCGGGCCTCGGAGGCCAGGTCCTTGGAGGGGGCCTAGTCCTCGGGGCTTGAGTTGTGGTGGGTGCGGGCCTTGGAGGCCAGGTCCTTGGACGGGGTCTAGTCCTTGGGGCTTGAGTCGTGGTCGACGCTGGCCTTGGAGGCCACGTCCTCGGTGGCCAAGTCCTTGGTGGCTCAGTTCGTGGTGGTTCTGGGGTCCGTGGTGGTGGCCTAGTTGGTGGTCTGGTTGGTGGTCTCGGCGGAGGCTCTACGGGACGTGGGGCGCAATCCGCCCCACCTATGCCAGCTGCCCTCTCTCCAATCCTCCCGATGGACGGCCCAACCATGGACCACTCAAATCCGCTCGGTCTCGACTCGGTTATCCTCGTCACCGACACCCCATCGCTGTCCACTTCACCAGCTTCCGACACGCGTGAAAGAACCATGTTCATCAGCGGCGTCAGGAGGTTATAACGACGGGATAGAACACGGGCACGCTCAGCAATGGCGCGTCGTTCCATCGCGTCATCTGCTAGTCGATATCGATCGAACAACTCTCGCATGGTCATGAACGCATATGTCCGCTCAACGAAGTTCGAAGGGATGGTATTGTCGTTAAGTGCACTGGGATTCTAAAAAGAAATCAGTGTACTATTTAGAGAAAATATGTTAATTTATGATAGTGACAGGTTATAACCAGATCTATTATTATTATAAGAAAGCCGTATATCGAATAGATTATGCAATATACCATTCTACTTCACCAAAGATATGTATATTTTATACCTGCTAACCCCAAGCAAAAGAAACCATCTGTTCTCTTTGAGGATTCAAAAACATCAATGATACTACCATAATTGTGGACAAAATAATTCATATTTCCATTTAATTGAATATACGTCATTAGAAGTTGCACCAAATTAAATTGTTATAAAACAAAACTAGAAAATATACGACGAAAATCCCCCAAGCATACACAAATTGAAAATGACGCTGCCTTAATAGTTAAGATCAAGTCTGTTTCATGTACCAAGACAGTGTATTGCAAAATAATAGTAATAAATAGCTTTATAACTCATTCACATTGACACTGAGCTCATATCGTTTGAACACTTACCTCCATCAGTGCAAGTCTTGCATTCTTTAAGAAAGACAAAGAAGATAACATTGCAAAACATTAATAATGATTGTGGTTAATCTAAATTAAATGAATAAATTACTTAGGACTATTGAATAGTTATGAGCTACCTAACAAAAATGATATATTCCGTTAGAATATTAAAGCGCTTATTACATTTGTCTGTAAGCGCTTCCAAAGTGGACCAAGTTTTTTAATTATTTTATGGATTTATGTTATAAGTACTGCAGTGGAGAAATGAATAAATAGAACAATGTTACGTGATTTCAAAAAAATCATTAAAAGACAATAATTACAAGAGATTGGAAACTACATTATATTGGTATATGTATATCAATCACAATAATTAAAAACATATAATGAATAAAAACATGTGTGTGTGCATGCGTGGGTGTGTGTGTGTGCGTGTGTTTTCTTAGCGTACCCTCAAATTGACATCCTCCTGAAAAGTCGTGACGCCATCGGCTCCAACAGCAGTGATCTTGATCGGCAAATATCGGAGATCACCGGAACTGAGCACTCCTGAGACGGCAAGTTCGGAACCGTTGAAATAGTTGGGGAAGGTGGTGGATGAGGTGCTTCCAGGTCTCACAGCATTGTTGAGATATTCAACAACAATGTTGAAGAGAAGCGGCGTGGCAACCTCGCTGTAAACTCCTGCAGAAAGATTTTGTTTACGATTTGAATATCATACTTGAAAACACACTTTTTAGGAATCGACACTTTAGGTCAGTCTATCGGAAATTCAACGACTCACTGAGAAAAAAACTTGGAATGAAATATTAGGCAAACATATTACGGAGACAAAAATGGGATTTATGCATGTATTATGGGAAGTTTTTATACAAAATCGAGAAAAAAGACTTTTCATATAACCCACTGCCCGATAATGTCCGTCATTAATTTACGTAATGGACTTGGCAGGCTTGTACTATACGCTCGGGGAGAGATATTCTTCACTAGTAATTCCTTCACTTATTGTTATGACAGATACAAAATTAAAAGTATAAAGCGTACCACGTAATTGACCAGCAGCAGACGAGTCTTCATAGATCTTCCTAGCCATGCCACGATTCTGAAGGGCAAGACGAACCAAGAAGTTATAGTTAACAAGCCTGCCGAACCCCAGGGTGACGATAGAGCACCGCTGGTTATTGGCGTTACGAACGTTACGTTCGATTTCAGAGAGACTGGTCACACCCTCGGAAGGTTTGCCGTCGGTCAGCACGAAGAGGATGCACACCATAGGGTTGGAGCTGGTTGAGTTCATGGAGCCGGTGGATTCGAGGAGACTGAGACCACCTAACAGGGCATCGTTCAGGTTGGTTCCTATGGGAGGCAATATGAGAGAAGGTGATAGGATGCAATCTTGTCATAAAATAATGTGGCAGTGACCTCTATTCACGGTCTTCACTCACTTGTCTTTACGTTATTGTAATCAATACAGCTTTGATGCGATACTTTCTTCCGAGTATGATCATTTCATAAGGTTTTTACCTTTTGTGATAAAAAAAAAAATCTTTTAAAACTTTTATTTATCAATAATCATAAAAATCACTACACAATAATTACAAAATGTGATATTACACTTAATATTCAATTCTGTTTAGACAGGTTTCTAAAAAAAGCACAATATAGAAACAAATTATTGTAGATTACAGGTGTCCATGTAAAATACACTTTTACCATTCCATTCCAAAAATGGAATGTTAATGCTTGTGAATTTTCGACGGCATCAACCAATTAGTGAGTTGACTGTTAGTTTCTTATATTTGTAATCTATTCAGTTACCTACCTCTTTGAATGTCTAACTGGCGAATGAAATCCTTGGCATCTCTGATGTTGTACGGATTCACATCCACCATTTGACCACTATTCCAACCACTATAGACGTAATCAGAAAAGGGTAGCACATTGAAACGGTCGCTGTCATTCATCTCGTCAAGAATGGTGTACATCGCTTCTTTGGTCTGTTTGATCTTATTCCCGTACATGGAAGCACTGAAATCGAGGACGAAGACCACTCTCTTCTTTACGGCGCCAAAGTTGGCGGGTGCGAAACGATGGATGAAGTTCGTTCCAGAGGTCTGCAATTCATAAGGATTCGAATCTCGATCACCACGACCTTATCACGTAAACCACAATTTTGTTTAAGTCGGGAGGCAAATTTGGTAAATTATTTCCAGGTACAGAAGTTAAAAAATATTTTAAAAAATAAATAAATTTATAAGAATCAGCAACAACTTGTATATCTTGTCTTTGGCAACAATGAACATCCACAGTGTTTTGTCAAAACAAATAAACGTAGTGATTATTTGCTAATTCGCCGATTTCATCATATTTTACTGGTCTATTTTGGAAACAATAATTCCACTAGCCTTTAATCAATGTATGTGGTGTTCAACATTGCATATAAAGTACACAGGCAGTAAAAGAAAAATTAAATGAAATTGTTGTGAGATACATGTTCCGTCGACAATTGCTCCTTTATCTAACGGAACTTTTAACTTAAACCTGGACTTTAATAACAATATCGCTAAATCTAACCATAACCCTTACCTTATAATAACCCTCCATCTTTAACGAAATATATAACCCGGAGCAATTGTCGCCGGAGAAAATGATGGAGAATCGGCAGATTTTGAACACTTACCTGTACTTCTCCCACACCCGGAGGATGAGCGACGTCGTATCGGATTATGAAGTCACCATTGATACCAGGAGTATTGTAAAGGTTAACGTATTCATCCTGCTGTCGTTGGGTTGGTCGGTAGTCGATCTGAACTTTCGTTGTCCCAGTCGTCCCCAATGTTCGTGTGTTTCTGAGGTGATTGCCGAGGTCGTACACTTGACCTCTGCTATCTCCAGCAGCTTCAATGAGAGATAAAGACATTCAAGTATAAGCATTTTCAAAACGTGTATCGATGTGACTTTGATGTTTGATCGAAATGTATATCAATCCTAATTTACTTCCAAATCTACCTAATCAGTCAATAACATTCATTTAAAGTTTCAGAAACTGTACTACTTGATTTGTAACGTTAATATTACAAATCTATCGGATCGACAAATGGTGTAAGTTTCGACATACAAAATAATCACAATAAATATCACTCTATCGAAAAAAGATTTTTGTTTTCCTCATGTATAGTATTGCTTTAAAAAGACAAGCAGACCTAAGACACGTATTTCGTCCTTACTAGATTGAGCGAGTCCTGCCATACTGCCGGTGAGAAGAGAGGAAACCGATTCGGTGTAAGATCTCGTATCTATACCAGTCTCCGATCGTATTATACCCTGTGGCTCGGTCACCGTAGAGTATATACGGAAGTCATACACACTCTAGAATGGAGAGAGAATTTATGACTGGAGTATACTGTAGCATAAAATGAATGTATACATCGGTTAAAATGGATGTAAAATTAACTAAAAAGAATAGGCCTACATGATGTCGTAACAAATATATGAACAGCCATTAGAAGAATAGTAGCTCAGGCTGCTCAGCTATTGTTTGAAAAGTCTGATAATTTTTGAGAATATATTTGTGTGACTGTATCTGAGTGAGTTCATAACATTTGGATACATTGTAGATAATTAATTTACATTATATTATGTAAACGAGAGCATATGCCAGTTCGTATGGCAAAGGTTCAGAAGACCTGGGCCCCGTCTTACAAAGAGTTAATATCAATCGTAACTTATTTGCGATTGATATCAATCGTAACTATGTACGTTAAGAGATAGGAGATTGTAAACTTGCGATTGATTGGAGGACTTACGATTGATTTGGATCGATCGTAACTCTTTGTAAGACGGGGCCCTGGTCCAAGAGAGACCGACAAATCTGTATGTATGTGTTGTGACGTCAAAAAGACCGTATATTTCGGTCTCGCGAACCATCGGTCGACTGGGAAGTCTCCATGGGCGTACTCAACACAGCCCCCTTGCTTCATAGAATTCGGGGCTTTCTTCTCTGTATTATATCACTCTGCTTTTGTATTATACTCGTGATACATGTACAAAATACCCATAACATGGCGTGTGTCAGTGACGTATCCAGACCTTGATCTTGAGTGGGGGGGGGGGGGGGCAAACATCCCGACTCAAGTGCATCTTACCTGACTCGGTCTAACGCTGATCCTCTGTGTGTACCAGCCATTTTGGCGTTCTAGAAGTTCCTGGTACTGAATCATAATCTGGACGTTACCTCTAGGGACAGTATCTACCGTCACAGTGAACAAGTTTCTGGTCTGCTCTCCTCTGTATTCATTTACAAAAGATCAAGTTTTAATATTGCATCAATTGTTTTTACAAAATGACCTATACTTAGATAGGTTTAGTTCCATACGACGCCAGTTTCTCCCTTCATAAGGTCTTCAATGAATGCGAATCTTTCATTATAGAATGGAATAAAAATCGAACGAAATCTCTCTATTGCTTTCATTTTTTTCTTCAGCTGTGTGAGTACATTAGATATATGGACGCCATGCAGGAATGAGACGACGAAGGCGATGTTTGTGTCAATGTTGTCATATTTTAATACAGTTTACAGTCTTGATCTAATTTTGATAACATTGAAAATATATCTTGAAAAACATGGAGACGTCGAGAGTTCGGAAACTGTAAACACTTCCTTCGATCGAACGTCTGTATCCTGGCGCTATTATAGACATGAATCAATTACATCAATCAATCATGTATGATCAATAGTAGTGATAAAAAACAATGTATGATTCTTACCCAGTCGTATACTCCATTTTCTCAAGACTAGATATAGATACATCTGAGGGGTGTGATAGATCACTGACTAAGCATCTATCCACGGCATAACCCTGGTATCGCACACCATCAACATTCCTGAGAGAGAAAAATAATAACATGGAAGCGTTCATAAATCAAGAAATACAATGGGCCACAAAACGGAATATGTTTTAAAGAAATATCATCATATCGATCAATAATTAAAGAAATTAAACTAAAAACTATGAATGTCGGAAATTAAGTATACTGACGTCTCTTGCTCAATATGAATTTTCCATCTTCTAAATTTAGCGGAGCGAGCGAATCGCATGAGAAAACAAAATACGTACTGTATCTATTGAGCATTTAAATATAGTTTTATTAGAAAAAAAATATTCAGGAGAAGATGTGACAATATGAGAATTACCTAAATACTACTTTAAAATATGAGGCAGGTTACCCGAACATTGTTATTTTCATAGTTCATAGGGGTTGTAGCCCCTAGACTCCGCCTTGTACCCATACACAGTAAAAAAAAGTAATGAACTTAAAAAAAATTTAATATTCTGATTACATATTGAAGTCGGTGATGTATGAGTTGAGGGGGAGTAGTAGATCAAAGGAGACACTCTGTCTCTCCGATGCCGGATTACGGATGTAAGCTCTGATCACTGTACTAGCAAACCGAACAGCAATCCGAGACTCGACATGGAACCGGACTATCTCTGGAGACACAGGCGTCTAAATGAGGAAAGATAAACGTGGTATAAGTTAAAGCTCAACATATCTAACATGCATTTGAATAATTCAAGCCACGTAAGATTCAGTTGTGATAACTTTCTAAATAAACATATATGAATAATGAACTATCACAATAAGTATAGGCCTAGAAATACTGTACAGGTTAATTAAGATGTTATATAATGATATTGAACTGTGAACTAATTTATGTTCTGTGTGTAAAAGTAAGAAGTAGTAGAAGACGAAGAAGAAGAAAGAGGAGAAGAAGGAGGAGAAAAAGAAGAAGAAAAACATATAGGAACTTAAACGTAAATTTACATGATACACGTATATGATGTATCATATTTTGTTTTTATACTTACCACATCACTTGACTGTCTCTTGAATCGGTTTATCAGGTCTTGCTGTAAACAGAATATATAACATGAAATAGTAACTATATTTCTTCTAATAACTGGTTCCTTTAAAACAATACAACATACTTTAAGGAATACGTTAGTTTTCCATAAATTATTCAAAGAACTTACATGTATGTATTCTCGATCTATTCGTCAACCGGTTATATTTACATTATAAAATAAATGTCTGGATCCTTCATGTAAAATACAAAGAGGTTTGTTAAAGGAGCCCTTTTAAAGACTCGATTGTTATTGGGTTTCCATAAATTATTATTGGATCTCTGAGTAAATGATTTTGTGATCTTAATTGGAGCGTTTATAAAGGTTTTGAGAATATACAAAATCATATTTTTAATGGATAAAACCGTAGAGCCTACGATTACATCAATAGTGTGGTTAGTCTTGAAAAGGTATAGGCCTATAGAAATTGCAAATACGTTTGGTTCCGCAGTTTTGAAGTTTTTTTAACTACTATTAAACCAACATTTTACACAGTAATGAAATACAGTATGAACGTTGCTGAGCTTGTCTCTAAATCCCTTGAAAACAAAGTGTCGACTTTATCGAGAAAAACAAACCATGGCATACGTTTCTTTCGAGGAACTGCACTTTTCGGTTTTGCATTCACTTTGGAGGTTTAAGAACGTTTTGAAATTTTTGATATTAGACTATTTGATAAAACCTGAGGGTAAGCTTAAACTTTGTGCGAAATAACGGGTCGGATTTAACATTATGGAAAAAGTCTTTCATTGCGGTATAAACTGGTGAATCAAGGAAATGATGGAAAATGTGATTTGCATTCGTTAAAGGGACGATACGGGTTCTTACTTCATTCATTCAAAATACAGTTTTAAATATGACGTCGTTAAGGGAGGCTACTATACAACAATAATTAAGAGGTAATGATAATTATCACCTCGACGGTATCTTGAATTTCCACACCTGATAAATATTTCAACATTTTAAATAATTTATTGCCATTGTTACAACAACTTTCCCATACTTGTTAATACATCAAAAACTTGGAAAGGATTAATGAAATTGATCCAGTGTTGTTGTAACACTTGTTTTTTTGCAATTGACCATCCATTATAAATTAAATGCGGTAATAGTTTTTTTTTTTAACTGATTATTTCTAGATTGGTGATTGGATGCCGTTGCTAAACATCACCCTAATGAATATAATTTATATAAAGTTAATTATAGTTATTACAGCTATCTCTTCAAATATTGGATGTTTGAAGGTGAGAGGGGTGCACCCCCGCTTTATGTACCCCTTAACGTTCTGATCTCCAGGGCAACCGAAGATCTCCGCCCGTCGCTCCGGTGACAGATTGTCTCGAAGTCATACACCTTCCCACGCCCCCTTGTCTGCCGGCTTTGTTCTCACCTACCTTGTCTGAGCTCGCCGAGGTTTGTATTCGCCAACAGTCATTGGGATGGTGGCAAGAATAATAATCTTATTCAATACAATCTCCCACCCTCTATTCCACTTTGGGACCTTTTTTCATTCTGACACGTACAACGCAGAGTCAGAGCATGTATATTTGGAGGGGCATGGTAAATTATTTAGGGCTATCACTTATGCGTGATGTTTAGTAAGGATGGAAAGGTCCGTATAAATATCATTCAATCATTTGATTGACCATTTTTTTTTAAATCACAGTTTAAAAGATATTGACAATATATGATTATAGGATGCAAAACGAGGTAAATTACATTAGGCAATATACTGGCTCAATATTCAATCATTTTTTATGATCTACTGTATTTCTTCGCATTTTGATATCAACATTGTTAGTTATGGATTGCGACTCGTGGATATGATAGTAAGAGGAATTTTAGCAAAATTAATTGTATTTTCCATAAAATCTATATCTAAAGTATGCACATTTATTATTTTTGTAAATGCAGTGTGTTCTTACGGAATTTTGAAAAAACAACAACAAATGTGCAGGCTTGGGGTATAGGTTTTATGAAAAACTTCTATGACATCATCAACGTGAACACAGAAACAATCAAGGAAATATCACCCACGCTTATCTATGAATGTTTATCCCATTATAAAAACCAAACATTCTGAATGGCTACAGGGATTACCATAGGAAACCATATAGTCTTTCCCCTGATCATTCTTAGTATTTTGAAAATGAAGTAAACTTAAGTTAGTTGCTAGGATGGAAACCTTTCTCCAAACTTCTAACGTTTACAAATTGTCTATATACATATCAACATTTCAAATAACAAAATGTTCTAAAATCCATGAAAATTAGTGTTTTCATTTTAGTTTGTTAGTTTTTTTCTTCGGGGGGGGGGGTGGGTGTTGTTCCTTTGATGTAAACGGATATTTGTTTAATAATTCGCGGACCACGCTAATCACGATGATGCAGAATCAGAGACTTGAGGTCGTTTTACGAAAAGAACCGCAATATCGCAAAATTAGGTTTGTTTTGGAAGATAAAGAATTGGCTATTTCGTACTTTAAAAGTGCTGCAATGGAAGCAGATACTTGAGCCTCCTATATACTGTATATGGGCCTCCTTGAAACACCGAAAATAAGAATCCTTCATTGTGAGAGACCTTGAAAATCATACTATACAAGGAGGTGTGTTCAACAACTTTTTTTGATTGGTTTTGGTGTTGAATAGAGGATTGTTTGCCTAGAAATACAGGTAACTTCATTTTTATGCACAATAGAGGAAGTCATTGTGAAACCCTGTAACCTATCGTATAAAGAGCAAACACCTGTTGTTTTGATTATAGACTCTTGAAAATATGTTTTCAAATTTGAATAAAAAAGAAATTGCACGAGGAACACTTACAAGAATCTGTTGAAAACGAATAAATTCTCGTCATAATTTTTAAAAGATGTTTTTTTGATAGTTTGAATCTACGATATCGTGACTTAAATTCTAATAAAATTGTCGAGTTTTGGGTTAAAAACCTATTGAATAACTGTTCTATTTTTGAAAATAAATTGGCTTTCAAGCTGGTGGAGTTTTTTATGTCACATATGTATGTCTCTTTAATCTGTTTTCACTATTTTGTTTTGCTTTTGAAAAAAGAGGAAAATGCTTTATTGATGTGATGTAAAATTAAGAATTCCAAAACAGGGAACTTGCTTGAAAAAGTTTGACTAATACAAGTTGAACTCACCGCCGTAATCGGCTGCCGTTTCTGGTGCGGTGCGATGGCAACCCATCTATCATGACCTTTCGGTGATGCCTCGCATGGGTAAGAAGACAGCTGAAATATAGCAACCAATATCAAGACGAATCGAAGACATGTTCCTCTCAAGGTTCCTCTCAAGGAGTACTCCATCCTCCTTTCTTTTCCCCAACTCATCCTCTTGGAAGTATTGTATGGAAGTTACGTATCTACACGTCTACACGCTCAACTCCTCCCGGAGGTCTACTTCAGTATATACCCAGCAACAAATCCAGAACGTTCTACCCACGACACCCAACGATCAAGTGTTATACATTTTTGTTCTCACTCCTTCAGATATCGTGTTATGATCACAAAAGTGAAGAAGTTGAATTTCTCCTTTTGTCATCTTGCGATTGATTTGTGAATGGGTAATTGTTGTGGTTTGTAAGTTTGGCGGAAGAGTCAAGGATTCGGTGTATTGCATGATGGGTGCAATTTGTGACACCCCTCAAGGGCACCACAACATATGAATAAAGTCTGCAAGGAAATAATACAAATGTAGAACTAAATAACATCCAATATCGAAAGGAAAATAAATCAGTATATACAGCGTTACCAGGGTGAATTTTTAACAAGATGTAAAAAAAGAATTTCTGTGAAGAATATTTTCGAATTTTGCTACATGTTTCAGAAAGTAGTATGACACATCTAATATTGTTATTATAGTATTCTTGTAATCAAAAAAGCTGCACCGAAGTTAGATTGAGAGAAAAAAATACTGTCATTAATGAGAAAGACAAAGCTTGACACTTGATGTATTGTAGAGTAACGTTTAAAAAGGTGTGAGGAATCTTCACGCCTAAAGTTAAGGAATTTTTGAAAGGACATACATGTTTTATAAAGCGACGATTTACACACAGTGTAGTTCCTGAAGGAAAGTGCATTTAATTTGTATTATAAAAGGAATTTGTAGTACCCCATCTACGAGAGAAAATCCTATTTCTATATGAACTTTCACAAATGATGGGTTTCAATAATATCATGTGGTAGTTGTTGTTGTTATTATTATTGTTATTATTATCATCATTATTATTGATATCATCATTACTACTATCATCATTATTATTAGTAGTAGTAGTAGCAGTATAATCATTATTATCATACAATTTATTATTTGGTGTCAATCTGGGAGGCGAAAAGTAAATTGTAAACGAAAAGTAAATCTTCTCCAGGCATCACTGATTAAGATGTGCAGATGAACCACTATACTGGGGTTTCCCCTCCATTCAACGTCCTATCCGAGTGACGGAAGGTTTTCACCGTTTGTGTGAAAAGGCTGTTTACGAAATATTTCTTCAAAGAACTTGTTTATATTGGTCGTTTTTTGCCATGGAATTCAAGGGGAAAAGAAAGAAAAAAAGATAACGATTAATGATAATCAAAATGAAATAATTTGTTTCTTTTTCTTCTTTAATTAAAGACTTAAAGTGATGAATACAGAAGGCTATTTTTAATACTTAACAATTTGATAACACATTACTTTAGATCACGTTTGCCGCCGAAGAAAACAAATGACTCGAGTTCTAAATCGACTATAGACTGAGCGCCGGGTTTTAGAATACGGACCCATTGGGGGGGGGGGGGGCGTTTGCCAGGACGCAGATCGAACACCATGAAGCCAAACAAATAGAATTATGTAGGACGAGTTGATTTTATTAGGTAGAATAAGAACAGAACAGAAAAATGATACTGCATCACAATATCTTAATAGCCTGTAACTTCAAACATGGTTTCTCAATACATAATACTGAAAAAAACCGCGTGTCTCTTCGTAGATGAGACCAAAATATTCACAGCAACCTTCGATGAGTCAAACGAGAGTACCAACCGCGCAATACAGGAAGCAGGATATGGGTTCATTTTACAGTATAATCTGCCCTGGTGATAAAATTGTCAATGAATGGAGGCCCGAGAAAACAGGAAAACATAAGGGTGAACAGATCTTTTATAATTCAGAATCCTGCAGACGAGCTTCCGCTAAGTCGATAAGAGATTGTGAAATATACACTAAGACATTGTAGGCCATGCTACTAATTAGTACGGCGTATAAACTAAAGATATCATTTTATTATTTCAAGAAACTTGTATTTTGTCGTCATGGTGATGTCAAACAAGAAAACAATCCAGTTGCATTCATATGCTACCCCATTTTTAATTTTTTTTTTTATAGAGATACAGCATAGAATCTCTAGTTTAATTTTTTTCGAGGGTTGAATAAGAATTCATGTATTATATGATAATTATTTTGATTTTGGATTCAGGTGTCGTAATAACGATAATAATTGAAAAAAAATATCCGTTAAGTATTTCGATAATTCTGAATAAATCCTGTTTAATAAAAACCTTAATCGCACTTTTGCATTGATATAACACTGATAAATGGGGTCGTGATCGATCCGTCTTGAATCAGAGCTTGAAATATCATCATAATTATATATATCATTTGATGAACATTTGACACTAGGTTTAAGTATAAGGGAAACAATTCTCTTGCAAAACATCTATTCGCATTCTGAAAATCTGAATAGGGTGAAAATAGCTCTGAGAATCATCGTACACGTACCTAGTTTGATGTACGTACATCCTTTAGAATGATCTTATCGATGATTGAGTTCCTATTATTCCGAACAATATGACCACTAGCACCTGACTAATATGGGTGTCGGCATTACCAATCACAGTTCAAGACAACGTATATAGAGGGGGAATAGAGAAAAGTTGATCGTACATAAACTGAAGTTTTTCACAAAGGGCACATACTTTGGATTGATCAGTTTGCATATACAGATACTTTGACTAGATTTTAAAAAGGGAGAAGAAGTGAGCATTTGCAACATTTTGTTGTGAATAATAGAGGACGCATCAGTTTAATTTTGACTCAGACATCACATGAGCGAACGTTCAACAAAGGGAAAATAATGTAAGTTATATTTGTAATTAATTGCTTTTAGAATCGTGGAGGTCAACGAAATCAAATTTGTGTGGTATCATGTGTCATGAATGTTGCCCATAAAGTTGGCATAAATTTCTCTTACCTCTTTTCATGATTTGATTATGAGGATCATTATTATTTATTCGTGACAGGGATTTTTTAAAATTAGATCTCAGAATGTTATTGATTATTCTAAAGAGTCATATAAATTGGTGAATAAAGATCTGAGAGGATCAACTTTGTCTATCAATAATAAATCATATATTATTACAATCATCTCATGAAGACAAAAAATGTTTCAACAAATGATTGCAAGTTTATGGGCAAAGTTTATTTTCTTTCAGAAAAGGTGACATTCAGATTAAACAATTACTGTTCTAACCTGTTTGATATTTCTATGATTCCTCCTGTAAAGTTCTGTATTGTTTTTGCATATCACTATAATTTTAAGCCCTCTTTCAACCGTTTCTTTTCTCGTGTTTATAAGGGACACAAATCGGATGAGTAAGGTAAAAGTTTTATTTCAAAATAAAAATCTGGAAATATGAGGCACTCAGCTGATTTACCAGAGAGAGAGAGAGAGAGAGAGAGGGAGAAAGAAAGAAAGGGAGAGAGAGAGAGAGAGAGAAAGAAAGGGAGAGAGAGAGAGAGAGAGAGAAAGAGAGAGAGAGAGAGAAAGAAAGGGAGAGAGAGAGAGAGAGAGAGAAAGAGAGAGAGAGAGAGAGACAGGGGGGGGGGGTAATGGTATATGGAGGAGTCAGAGACATAGAGAGACACAAATATCACGGTCGAAAAAACACTTTGCCTGTATTATTGTTTCCTTTTTACTTTTATCAGACAATTGAATTTTGTAAGAAGAAATACAAATATTGTCGTCAATGTAAATAAACAAATACATAATAGAAAATCTAGAATAGAATAAACGTTTTCTTGGTAGTGTAGTGGCATAGCTCTGTGAAAGGATGTCAAAGTAAATATTCTTTTATTATAAACAAATACAAAATTATATAAGTGAAATGGAGGGCACAGCTAGGCGAAAATATTTGTTTAACAATGACCCTCTAACCCTTTCTCTCAATTTAGATCTCAATATGTTGATCATTTGATATAACTATGACATGTCTGTAAACTATATTGGTTGGTGTCACTTCCACCGTTTGCTTCCTGTCCTTTCATCCACGCATTGCATTCATTCTCAAAACAATGACTCAATCACTATGTGCAGAACGAAGATGTCTCATATCTAAACTAAAATGAGGTCCATTGTAAAGGCAATCAAAACAAATATGACTGATTTCCTTATTCATTATCTGTTGTTTGTACCAGGAAAGTGTTGCACGTTGCCATCGCACTTTCATTTGGAGCATAAGATTAAGGTTAAACGGGTGTAGCTTCAGGATTATAATCATTCTAGATAAATACTTCGACAGTCATACAGTACTTTTACCAACACGATCGATTGAATTATTTTACGTCTTCATTTCGCAGTGCAGTATAGTTTAGACCATCGCATCGGCTATAAAAGCGATGTAAATATCTTCATGAGTTGCATTAAAAAAAAGGATATTTCATAGTGGAATAAGCACGGCGTAAGACCACCAGAACGTCATCGAACAAAACATTACCATCATTTTTCTTTGAGGTTGTAAAACAGGGGTACACCTGTTAAGTGAGCAACGAGACTACTCTTGAAGTTAATTTTACTTTATCTTTCGTAGCATCATCATGATGGCAACGTCTCGGAACCTGCTCTGGTTGGTTGTCATGGCAACATGCCTGGTAGTAATTTGTGCTGACGATATGGACGAGGACAAGCTTGAGAACTTTCATGACTACGGTGAGTAGATACCCCCTTTTTCATTTAAAGAGGTAATATAACTATTCTGCCATTTTGTAGAACAGGATCGATCTTGCGTGTTGCATAATAGGGCCGGTCAATTATTACACTATTACAATGCTTAAGAAATTGTAATACATGTCATATCATTTCTGGTCTTTGCGAAAAAATGACCTGCATTTTGGTTTCATCATTCGGTGGTTAGTTCATGGTTCAATGAATCTACTCGGTTTGGAAAGTTATATCAACAAAATGTATATGCTGATTATAAAGATTGAATTTACAGTCGAAGAGTAAAGATTGGTATCAATTTTTTTCAACAAAATTGTCCATTCATTCTCTTGTAGGAATGAACAATCCCGCAGTGAAATGTCCTAAGAAGTGTTGGTCAGCCCCTCCTCCTAAGAAAACCATCTGCTCCACCAACGGAAGAACATACATCTCATGGTGTTACCTACGTATGAGCGCATGCGCCCAACGTCCTATTGCTGATTGGCAGGTTGCCTATCTGGGACCATGTGTACACTCGTATGGATCTGTTAGCTTTACCTCCAGCGTACGCGAGGTGGGACCATCCTTCGAAGAGCCGATTCCGATGGGAAACCTGAAGAGAAAACAGCAACAACAACAGCCACAACGACAAAGGATCAATTTTGGAGAAGAGGAGGAGGAGGAGGAGGAAGATGAAGAAGAAGAAGAGGAAGAAGAAGAAGAGGAAGAGTCTTCACCAGGTATGAAATGAACATAATGGTGCTCTAATAAGACATAATTTATCATTTTCCTCATCAAATTTTAATTTCAATCGATCATTTATCAAACATTTAAATCATCACGATTAAGAACACTCACCCATCTTAGGCTAGTGGCCCTGTCCTACATCCAAGCGACTGCCATATTCGAGAAGTGCGCCCCCAAGCTGCTGTAATGGATCAACCCTTCGACAATACCATTGACAAGCGCGAAGCCTGTATAAAGGCAATGCAATCGTCGGGACATATTATGGGCACCAACGGCCTAAACTATGGCTACCTGAGTTACGATGGTACCAATGGTAACCTAAGACTGTCAAACTCAGCCTATGCAACCAAATCACAATTTGGGCAACAAATAGAGTAAACTGAAGACAATTTTAAAATAATATTTGGGACAAGTTTTCCAGGAAAGGGGACGGCATTTCCGAAACCTCTCTTTCTGAACAAAGCTTTAGGTGACTGAAAAGACACGGCAACTCGCAACTATACAGGCTGCACTCTGGCGATAATATGGCAGCAACAAGCTAGTCGCCTAAAAGGTCGGTTGAATTGTACACGGCCATGAAAGAAAATTAATCGTGTTATAGGAATCGTAACATTATTAAATGATGGTAGACACAATGATAACATAATACCATTTTCCTTCTATCGATGTTATGAGTTAATTTGTCTTGCAATAAAATCACTAGTGAAGACATGTCATTCATTTATTTTAATAAATCATAATAAAACTTAAATGAATCTCAACTATCGGTTATCTCTGATCTTTCCCTTTGTATCTTCAGTTGCAATTGGAGGTGGCGAATCATCAGATGGGAATGAAGCATATTCATATTCTCGATTTCAACCAGCTAGTCAAAGAGGTAAACACTAGTCACCAAGTATATCTAAATTTCACTTAAAACTGACGAGTTATTTGTTGCATTTATCAACGATTCATAGAATGAGAATAAGGAAATTGTCGAGAATGACAGACTTGGCTATAACAAACAGAACATTTTAATGACATGCCGTTAGTTCCATGCTAAACGGTAAGCATCAGTATCCTTTCCAAATAATTCCTAAACTTCTTCCATACAAATGTTAGTAATAAGTTCACCATAATAATTTATAGAAGTAATAATGATCACATGAATACAATTTATGCAACTCATCCTTTTCCGGAGTATCGTTTAAGTCTGATGATAATCTATTCGTTTCGTCATCCGATTTGAACACACCTGGTGGCCTTCGACGAAGGTATAACGAACTTTCTTTTTGGTTTGTCAGCGTTTTCAGAGTCAGTAGAGCCTGAAGAATCAGAAGGAGCAGAATCATCGCCAGTAGAACAAGCAGATAAACTACTGTTTTCCTTTATGACGTCAACAGGGACTTTTAGATTGCACGTCGACATAGTGGACTGCTACGTGTGATATCCTTTTAAGGCACAGCGACGTGCCTTAAAAGGACGTCTTACATGTACGTAGCAGTCCACGTCGACGTGCATGTCGACGTGCAAATCGGAAAGTCCCTAATGTCGTGTTGTTCTCTGGTTCCCAACTTGTCGTTGAACAAAGGGACTTGAGTTACACGTATTTGAAAATACTTAGTATCGCTTGCTTGAGAGAGAGCGATCAAAAAATTGAACAGATATTATAGAATCTACTCACATTAGTTACAACTATTCACAAAGCACCTTAATCATTCGAACCCGATGATTTTAGAGCGCCAAGAAAGAGCTAAATTGGCTCTTGTTCAACAAGCATATTAGTTACTCTTGCTCGTAAACATAAACAGTGGCGCTTTTTCCCTCTTTCAAAATGTGAATGTCATTGATGTCGTCCTTTAATGCAGTTAAAATGATTTGTATTGAGCAATGATTAAACCATTGGTGCTTTTTTTGTTGCAGCTTCTGAATCTGTGGAACCAGAAGAATCTGAAGAACCAGAAGAATCTGAGGAACCAGAAGGTTCAGAAGCAGCAGAATCCTCGCCAGCCGAACAAGCAGGTAAAATACGTAAATATCATAAACGGTGGCGCTTTTTCGCTCTTCCAAAATGTGACTGTCATTGATGTTGTCTTTTAATATGCAGTTAGAATGATTTGTATAGAGCAATTGGGGGTGTGGCTAACTCTTGGGAGGAGAGTCAATCAGACTCTTGGTTTACAATAAACTTCTCTGTTAATTATCTACTTTTTATTCATTATTGTTAATTTATATATTGTACATTATAATAATTGATGTTTTAAAACAAATTATCATTCTTCATAGTTACCCATGCCAATTATGTTTTCCTTTGTTTTGATTTGATTTGTTTATTTTGCATATGTTTATGTTTTGTTACTGGTTTTTGTTTGTTATATAATTTGTATATTTTTTATTCAGTTAACACGGACTTTCTGGGAAAAAAAGTCGTGTAGGCTGAGAGAGTTACCGTGTTTAAATAAATAAATGAAATGAAATAAAATGATTCAACCATTATTGCTTTTCTGTTGCAGCTTCTGAATCTGTGGAACCGGAAGGATCTGAAGAACCAGAGGAATCTGAGGAACCAGAAGGTTCAGAAGCAGCAGAATCCTCGCCAGCCGAACAAGCAGGTAAACTTCGTAAATAACATAAACGGTGGCACTTTGTCGCTCTTTCAAAATGTGTACTGATGTCGTCCTTTAATGCAGTTAAAATGATTTGAATTGAGCAATGATTAAACCATTGGTGCTTTTTGTGTTGCAGCTTCTGAGTCTGTGGAACCAGAAGAATCTGAAGAACCAGAAGAATCTGAGGAACCAGAAGGTTCAGAAGCAGCAGAATCCTCGCCAGCCGAACAAGCAGGTAAACTTCGTAAATAACATAAACGGTGGCACTTTGTCGCTCTTTCAAAATGTGTATTGATGTCGTTCTTTAATGCAGTTAAAATGATATGTATTGAGCAATGATTAAACCATTGGTGCTTTTTTTGTTGCAGCTTCTGAGTCTGTGGAACCCGAAGAATCTGAAGAACCAGAAGAATCTGAGGAACCAGAAGGCTCAGAAGCAGCTGAATCCTCGCCAGCCGAACAAGCAGGTAAACTATCTCTGAGGATCATGTATCATATCATGTTACCGTTATAGAAAATATGTCGAAAAGATGTCAGTATGATTTATTAATGTTATTTGTATGGAGAATAAAAACATGTAAGGTTCAGAGCGATTTTGAAATTAAATTCTAAGCTTAATATTTATGTGATGGACATTTTGCAGCGTCTGAGTCAGAAGAGCCAGAGGAATCAGAGGAGCCCGAAAGTTCAGAACCAGCCGAATCCTCGCCAGCAGAACAAGCAGGTATGTCATATCCATACAATGCGTTTGTTTGTGGTTTCCATGTCTTAAAAAATCGCAGACGTTTAATTTCCTATTATTATTTTTCTTATGTCAAAGTAATATAGTATAGTCTCATCGCACGTCTTTAGTGATAAATGTTCAACCTCGAAAACAAAATTCATGATAATTGTTAAGAATTCACTCCATCAGATTTGTACAAATCGCCTAAATTCTTTAAAGGTTGGACATGTCTGATTCTTTATTATTTTCATTTCATATACCATCAAGTTAAGGCATTAGAACCCAGATATCTGAAATTATAATTATGGATAGCGAAGTGGCTGTGGACAACAATGCTTGTTACATCCTTGGAATATTTCTTGTTTTACGGTAACCCTAGAAAAGCTGAACATAGAAGCAAAATAAATGCATTGATTGATTTCTTCATCTCAAAATGGCTGCTGTATTGAAAAAAATTGTGATTCATTTTATAACTGAACAGCATCCGAGTCTGAAGAGCCGGAGGAGTCGGAAGAGCCTGAGGAATCCGAAGGTTCAGAAGGAGCAGAATCATCACCAGCAGAACAAGCAGGTATACATTTTGAGTTCACTTGTAGCTCTCTTGATGAGCAGATATTAGTAATCCTACGATAAGCATCCGTCACCTTTGTACAGATTATATGCATTTGCAGAACAAGACTGATCAATAAAAATCAAAGATAACACTCTATGAAGCTATAGATAAATATCTTTTTCACAACCGAATACCGTTTCCTCCAGACTGCCCCCAAGTCGGAGGATGTTAAATACTCTGAAGAGCCCTGAACTGTTCAGACACATCTCCAATAGAACAAACATCCTATAAGATATTGTTCCATATGTTTGTACATCCAGAATGTTAAAAAAAACACGATAAAAACAGTAACAACTCATTCATATTAATTGTTTTATGGGCCAGAAATATAGTCCCCATGAATTAGTTAACTGACTTTCTTTAAAATGATACATATAATAGTATATGACGCTTTTTCATTTCTGCCTTACAGCTTCTGAGTCAGAAGAACCAGAGGAATCTGAAGAACCGGAAAGTTCAGAACCAGCCGAATCCTCACCAGTGGAACAAGCAGGTATGTCATATCCATACCTGGCATTTTGTTTGTAGATTCCATGTTCTGAAGAGATAAAAAGAATACACACTTTTTAAACAACATTTTCGTTGGTCATAACTTCCGACTATTACGGATGTGAGAAACAATTACGAAACCCAAATCCGTTAAGTTCGTAGAACCAGCCGAATCTTCTCCTGTAGAACAAGCAGGTATGTCTTCGTTTGTGCCTTCTATATTTTGAGGGAAAAAAGGAGATTACCTTACAAAAAGTTGCTCGGTGGAACGTTAAACGAAATTGAAGTTAAGTAATATTTAAACAGTTTTTATATCCTCATTTCTCCTATATTTAAACAAATGCTAAATGTTCTCCTCGTATACTATCTCAAACAGCATCTGAGTCGGAGGAACCAGAGGAATCCGAAGAGCCTGAAGGTTCAGAAGGAGCTGAGTCTTCCCCGGCAGAACAAGCAGGTATTTCTTTGATGCTTTCCATGTTCTGAAGACGTAATAAACAACAAATTGCCTCTAAGTTCAGTTGCTTTCAGCATGCAAAGCGCACAATTACAACATTGGAATTACAACGAGTTAAATAATGAAGTAGTAGTAGTATAATGGTTTTATTAGAACAACTGCAAAATGGTAGCCCGAGAGCTAAATTACATTGCAAGTTTTACAAGCTCAGTTTTAAAAAGCATTTCAACAAAACTTAGATATAGACAAGTACAAATAATACACAGTAAAATAGATCATAACTTATTATATATTCCATACTTGCACACAAATTGATGATACAATTAGAATAGAATCGACATTATAATCATTTTTGTAATCATTGTGAAGTGAGGAATATTCACTTGAATCCTTTAACTTATAAAGATGAAGTTTCCGTTTATATTTCTTATTCAGCATCTGAGTCAGAGGAGCCCGAGGAATCTGAAGAGCCTGAGAGTTCAGAACCAGCCGAATCCTCACCAGTAGAACAAGCAGGTATGTCATATTCAAACCTGGCGTTTTGTTTACTAGATTCCATGTTCTGAAGAGATACAAAGAATTTTCTAAACAATATTTTCGTTGTCACAAAAACCTAAATCCGTTAAGTTCGTAGAACTTGTATTTTTCATATATTTTCTATATATTTTTTCATTCGACTGCAGCATCAGAGTCAGAAGAACCCGAAGAATCAGAAGAGCCTGAAAGTTCAGAACCAGCCGAATCCTCACCAGCAGAACAAGCAGGTATGTCATAGTATCGGTTTATCTTACTTCTTTAATGACAAATGTTAATCCTTGGAGAAAAAAATCCATGGTAGTCAAAGGATTTTATTCCATCAAATATATTTAAATCGTTCTGAATGTTCAGAATCAGCCAAATCTTCACCGGTCAATCCGGATTACATCGTCACTCTGTACGTAAGCGTACATGAAAATCATACCATAAATATAATTATTACTCCCAACATATGCCATTTCTAAAAATCATTATTGTTTAAAGTATCAAACCATTTTCTCATATCATGTCTATAATACAAATAATTTCCTGTACAGTATTCTCACTTTCAATCCTCTCTTAACCTCTCTTCCATCCTATTCTTTCCGCCTCTCTCTCTTTCTTCCACATCCCTCATCTCTCTCTCTCTCTCTTTCTCTGTATCCATCTCTTTCTCTCTCTCTTTCTCTCTCTGTATCTCTCTCTCCTTCTTTCTCGTATCCCTCTCTCCTTCTCTCTTTTCTTCTGAACTTTGATTTGTGTATATTGATCTGGTAAATGTATTTTTTAAATGTAAATTACTCAATGATTATAATAAACATGTGAATAATAATGTTTGTATCGTATCAAGAAAATATGCTACGATTAATTTTTTAAGGTCAATCATTTTATTGCAGTACATTATTTTGACCATGTTATTGTACGATTTGTATATAACTTTCTTCAGAGTCATCTCCTGAAGAATCGGAAGGTGCTGAATCTGAATCTCCACAAACATCGGAATCGGCAGGTAAGCCGTTATCACTGACCAACACCTGTTAAGGGAGTACAATGGAATTCATTTAATGATGAGAACTAACATTAATTTTTTATTAAAAATGCAAAGGAAAACAAAATAGATACAAAAGGCAACAATCTGACTAATCTATAAACGTCTAGCTGTGATTAACACTTTAACCATTAACATAAATCATACATTAGGCCTAAAATTAAATCTTGTTGTATTGCCCTTTAGGTGCCAAAACATGGGTCGGTCGGTCGGAAAAGATTTTTTTTTAAAACTATTTTGTTGTCGCCCTCTTTGGGCCGATATTTTTCAGTTTTGAATGTTTTTTTCCCGCCCTCATTTGGCTGATATTTCTCAGTTTTTAATGCTTTAATATATGTGTTTCAGAGTCAGCATTCCATTCATATATTTTTCACCTCATAATAATCCATGGTTTGCAATGTTGTGTTGAGACAGCATTCTGTGCTTTCCTGCTGACGAAGTTGGTTTTCAACTACCTGTAAAACTTGCTAGCAATGTGAAGATTGTTTGGAATAATTTGATTGTATGCATTTATATCCTAAGTCAAACAAAATACATATTTTTTTATTCACTAATACAAAAAATTCTAAAAAATGGTTTAAAAAAAAATTATAATGCCGACCGTAGATTTTCAGATTGTTGGGTCGGTCGCAAAGGGCAATACAACAAGTTTTTATTTTAGGCCTTAAGAAGAGCCGTGACTCCCAGCTTTCCCATGTATCTGAACATAATAAGAGATGATTTCAAGATTTGCAGACATTAGTTTTGGAGGCAATATTTCAAATCTAAGGAATTGTTGCCACAGTAATCGATAACGATCGCATGTATAGTGAAAGAATGAATATGTTCTTTTCATCAGGCTCGGCAACGAGATTTAAACACAAATATTATTACACGTCAGAAAGACATTTAGCCCCCCCCCCCCCCCCCTTGATTCGTGATATTCCCCTCTGGAAAGCCTCAAATGACCATCATCCCATTTCCGAATCCTTCTTCCTCCTCCAAGGAAAAAGTGATCACGTGATGCATTACGGAAGTGCCTTTGCCACGAACGGAAATGTGCATTGGTTAGCCATGTCCTTCTTACGTAATATTGGTTGACATTATTACGAAAGCCAAATGAAACACTTATAATGAATATATGTTTGGGTGTCTTAATTAGCAATGTCATTGCGTGAAGTTTGTAAATTAACAAGATCCAACATGGTGTGCGATAGAATATAAAGTATATCACCCCGATCTATTACAGGTTTTTACTATATTCCATGACATGATAACACAAACGAAAGAGAAGTGACCGAACATACGCATAACAAATAATTTAAGACACACATGTTTTCAAATCTTTACATCTGTTACCACTTTAGAGCCTTCCGAATCAGAGGAGGAGGACGACGATGATGACGACGATGATGAGGAAGATGAAGAAGAGACGGAGTCATCACATACCCAAAGCATAGGTCCGCATACTAAAAAACCAGGTAGAGGTTATCGGTCATTTCGTGCTGAGCTTGGGCAAAAATTAGAAAGAACTAAACTTCACACACCCTTGGTCTATTTTGCATATCATTAAAGTTGTAGATTGGTAAAGTAACGCAGTGAAGATTAATTTTTATATCTGAGGAATACGTAGGATTGTTACTTTCATTAATACCCAAGATTGATTTTGAGACAAAAGATTATTGCGCTTACATAATGTGATTTCTCAAAGAAATTCAAATAAGCAATTAATGACATAAATGTGAAATTATCTTTCCTACAAACAATGAACAAAATTTGTCCTTGGGGAAACAAATTGATATTTCTAAAAATCTACTAGGTATCTCAAGCCAGCATATAGTTTTCAAAAATCATGAACGAATTGGCTATCGGTTTATTCACAACATTTGTTTAAAGTACTTGGTTTCTTAGAGTGTATTTAATTTCGTTAAAATCCTAAATGGATATAAAATGGATTATTTCTGATTATGTGTACTACATAATATCGGTGATTATGATACATTCTAAAGATGTTCCCATGCCCTGATCACTAAGATGAGTTATTCGATTTTTTGGTTATTTTACTTCACAGTTCCCCAAAATCGCACACCATCCACTGCCCCAACAACTACCACTACCACTGCCACAGTCCAACCCACCACACGTCGTCTGGTTGCTACCACCCAAGAGGGTTGTCAGGTCTTCTGCCCACTCGCTAGCCAGAAGGTATGTACTACAGTAGGTACCTTCGACAGCGAGTGCCTCTTTAACTTCTTCAAGTGTCTTGGTAAAGTCGGCCAGGATGAAATAATTCTTTACGATGGCGAATGCCCAGCTACCCCTGCTCCTCCACGGATCAAGACAGCTGCCGTGACTCGACAGATGGTTACAAAGCCCCTAGTACTACCAACAACGGTATGATATCTCTTGGTGAATTATTTCTTATATTTGTTCCAACATTATCACTTATGTTCAATGACAATAGTCAAACGATCTATAAAAGAAAGGAGATGACTGTGGGATTACTGCGAGTAAGAAAGTTTTCATTTGCGGTCAATGTCAACGCATATTTTGTTTGTTTATGAGATCATGAATCAGTGAAGCGAAGTTCACAAACCATGATTTTGTTACCCAATCTATTCGATTTTTAAATAGAAATCTCTTAAAGAAAACCGTGATGACAGTAAAGTAAACAGTATCATGGGTCCTGAGATCAAGACCAGCGAAACACTTTGAGATGCATCAAGTTTACAATAGATCTTTGAGTACAGAATAAGACCGATATAGGACTCAAGTTCCTAACGTTCTTGTAGTTTTTAGATTTATGCCCAGGGCATATGAGGGACTATTTCGATTGATTTAGTATCTGAGCCATTAAAGTCGATTGAGCCTCCACCCAGTAGTTCAAGACACTGTCTTTAAAGTTTATTTTTGATTCTTTTTGTACGGTGTTACTTGTCGTGTCAAAGACCGTGCCATTCGGTGGTGCAACTTCCTACGTCATAAAAATGACGCCCCGTAGCCTACACAGATTTTGGCGCTCCCCAAAGGACAATAACTTAGCTACTAGCGGCTCTATTATCAAAACTCAAAATATGTAAAGAACTTGGAAACGGCAGAAACTGTTCTCAGTTCTCACTTTCAGCATTCATTCTCTCTGATTAACTCCTTTTCGTTTAACACCCTTCCTTCTTTCCTCCCTCAGACAAAGAGTCGCTGCCCGGCATCATGTCCCATAGAGAACAAACCAGTCTGCGCTACGTATACGGCTCTCAATACTTTCTTCTCCACTCCGAACCCCATTCCTAACTTTGTCACATACACCAATGAGTGTGTGTTCCTTCTGCTGCAGTGTCAAGGCAAGATCAGTCAAGATGACATCATCCTCTTCCAAGGGTTGTGTCCAACGTCGCCCCCTACGTTACCCGGTATTGAAACCGCTTATCGGGGCACTGCTGGGCCTTGAAGACCGCCCAGCCAAATCGTGTTTGGATTATCTAGAGGAGAGACAATGAAAGATATGAAGAAAGAAAGAAAGAAGGTGGGAAGAAAGAGAAAAAGAAACATGGACCCCAAGGGAGATATTCGAAGAATGACTCACACAATCTAAGAACCAATCTAAAGCGTTAAAAGTTTTCATTGTGTTTTGTATTTATATTTGTCATTTTGGTAGATGAATATGATCTAAAAGATTTATTATTATAATTATTAATTACCAAGACGTATTACATTCAACTATTCCCTTTACGGTCTTCTGATTATAGTAATTTGGGTATATAGATTTTACCAAAAGAAACCAAGTTCTTTTCACATTTCTAGCTGAATAATTCATCAAGGACCATTTTAATTGGTGTGATCCCGGTAAGGGTTGATTATAATCGTATTGTGTTAAAATGATGGATTTCCGTATATCGGATTCAAATTATCGTTCTTGGAGGATACTAGTTATTTTCTCAGTTTTATGATTATCAATAAATAACATGTATTTTAGAAAGTCGCAAATTTCAGAAGACAGGCTTCTCTTCAAAATAAGGAGCCTTCAAAACCTTGCTATGACATTGATCGAATGAACCCAGTGGGGCTGGTCCCCGCAGTCACAATTGTCTGTAAATCAGAGATAAACAAAAAAAATTACATAACACACAGCCATACTTTGCATTAGATGGGTTTGAATCCATTTGTCAAAGATATTTTAATTCCATGTGCACTATATGTTTTAGACGTAGTGCTCATTGACTGTAGGTAATTTAGAGAGAAAATCTAGCATGCATAATATAATATGTTTAAGAATATATATATATATATATATATATATATATACATATATATATATATACATTTGAAATTGTAAAGTTATTTATTCATTGAAGCCCTTTCCTAAAATACGTATTATTATACAGTATCATTTGATGCATGTTACGCTTTAGCGATTAATACATGAATAATAAATGTGATTAAACAGCTCAAAAAAAATCTATACACGAATTTAGTTTTCTTCACTGTTCTGTTCTTACTACTGGTAATTTGTATTATGATAGAAACATGTAAGAAACTAAATTATCGAAATAACAGACATAATTTGGCAACCGATTATTTAAAAAAATCTTCCTCACAAATTGATTTCTTTATTAAAATTGACGATAATATCACAAGACCGACAGTTTAATGTATCAAACTTACATACATAAAAATGAACATATTGCAAATACATGATGCGAACAATGAGGGCGACTGACAGAAGAAGAAGATTAAGAAGAAGTCGAGAGAGAGAGACACACATAGAGAGAGAGAGAGAGAGAGAGAGAGAGACACACACACACACACGCACACACACACACAAAGAGAGAGAGACAGAGACAGAGAGACAGACAGAGAAGGAGAGAGAGAGACACACACACAAAGAGAGAGAGAGAGAGAGGAAAGAAAGATTGTAGGATCAGGGAGAAGGTGGACGTCTTGCTTGCTCAGAGAAACATGTTTTTGGCAAAAATTTGCCCAATGACCGAAATATTGATACAAAAATAGAATATGATATTTGAAATCTTCACTCCTCTTAACGCCTGAGGAAGGTTTTTTTCTCGATCCGGCCTTGAGTGACCTTTAATGCCAAGCAAGCCCCTCCCAACCAAAACAATGAGTAGAAAAGAAAAAAAACTACCTCTGGTACCCCTCCATTTCAAAGTGTGATTCAATAAGGATGTCATTTCAAGGCAGTCTAATAATATTATTGAAACGAACACTGGCATGAATCTGACTTCATTATGGGAAAGGGCATGGGGGGGGGGGGAGTCTAAAGTTAGTAGAATACGCTGCATTTTGATAAACGATTATAAAACTGTAATTTAATGCCCCATCCCCAGAATTAACGCACCTGAAAACCAAAAAAACTCAACTTTTTTTATGCGGGGAACTATTTCCCTGTTATAAGTGAGACATCAACAAATCATAAACAATAGAACGTCATACATCCATGAGGCTCATAATTATAAAGCACCCCTCCCCCATTGCACAGAAGACATTTTCATTCAGTCCATCGTTAATTTCCGATATCCTTTTCTTTGGACACCATAAAGCTTCGCCTCTATACAATTGATGTATAACTTACATGTACGCCCCCCCCCCCCAAAAAAAAAAAAAAAAAACAACAACAACAACAACAACAACAACAACAACAAAAAAACAAACAAAAAACACACACACACATACACACAAAACAGACTGACTGACCCTATAGGGGCATCAGAACATAAATCATTAGGATGTCGGAACAGAAATCCGTCACCCAGGCAACAACTTACGAGGCAAATTTCATTGTTTAATTTGTTATGGTGTGTAACTTTTAGTAAGGATGGAAGTTTAAACGGAACCAGCTGGAAGGCACACACAAAATATGAAGCTTTAAACAAATGGTGACCTGTTTTTTTTCTCTTCTTTTTCATGAATGTTTACTTGTTAAATATTGTCCCGACGTGTGTCCTCGGCCAGATAATCCTGGATCCGCCACTGAAGGAAGTTTATCAAGAGAGGAGAAAGTAGAAATTAAAAATATCTATCACCAACAATACACTTTAAGGAACCAAACAATGGAATACAGCCACGATAATCCTACAGCTCTAGACAAATATGTACAGATTTCCGACCGAATACGTCTAGAATTAATCCTTATATGACTTGTCGCAGATTACTTTTCGATTACGGCGATAATCAAGGTTAGATTATGAACTACCGATGTAATTCTTTTCTCTCTCCCTCTCTCGTTCAGGGGCGTCGATAAGGGGTGAACCCGCTCCCCTCGAAACTCAAACTTCCAAAGAGAAAAAGTGAATAAATAAACCTTAAGTCATAATGATATCGGTAAATTCGAGAGAAAAAAAAAAACATGAACCAAACTACAGACGATAATCTCGATATATCATTTTTGCCGATGGAAGGGATGGATAAAAAGATTGTAGCCAAGGGATTGGAACTGTTTATGGAAGCGACCCCAAAGAAAAATGGGCTGGCTTCGCCCCTTATCATGTATAAAAGTTTGTTAACTGTTTAAAAGATCGACATCTAATAGTCATTGTAATTTTTTGTGTTTATGTTTATATGTTGAAACAAAGCAACATACTTTGATGTATGTCTATGAGGCAGCTGATCCTTTACATTTTAAAACATTTGAATAGAAAAATATCTTAGTAATCTTTGTAATTAAATTTACGTTTTAAAATATATAGATTACACATGAACAGCAATGTATAGCGTTTAAATATATTTGACGAATTGATAACAATAGCAATACAATCTACAGGTATTATCATGATAATATTGAAAAAAGGGCCAACTCAAGGCAAAGTGACACACAATGAGTTTGTGCCAAAATAATACACTTGAACTAAAGTGTGTGTGATATGGGAGGAGGTGGTTATAAACTAGACGACGTAATGTTCATTAGAAAAATCGCTTTTAAACTAAACAAGACAAACATTATGAAGTTGGAAATGTGAATTCATGTACGGATATTTAACCTAATTTCCAGTCAGACCTCAGAGGATATTCTGTCAATCACCAATGGCCATATACACATGGTATTCAGAATCATAATATCGAGGGGATGGGAGGGGTCAAGTGTGGTACATTGGAATGGTTCCCATATGTTAGGATAAGAAGGAGCTGGCAAACAGCCTACGTCAAACTTTCCTTGACATCACTTCTTTTCCGTCAATAACAGGACGCATGTTTTACAATCTCAGGTAATATATGAATGAGGCCAGTGACGTATTAACAAAAAATGATAAAGGGGTGCAACATCTTTTAGATTGGAGGGGTATGGGGCGTAACATTCTTCTGCGTAACCCCGCGTGATGTTGTAATAAAATCTGCACTCACGAGGGGAGGGGATACACAGGGTTCACCCTACATGCTATATGGGCTGGAAACGCCACTGATCGATCTGACACATCTTATAAGACCGATGTTGTTTATATTTCGAAAATATATCAAATGATATCATAAATCCAAACTAACTTTCTGATTTGTATGTTTAACTGTTCCAGACATCGCGTACCCTTTGGGATAAAAGGAAAGAAAAATCTAATCCTGTTATATGACCCAAGCAGACGAGGAAATTAAATGCCCTGCGTTCTACGTATAAAAAATAGAGTGAGGGGTGGGGAGTGAGTAACCGAGAAAGAGAGAGAGAGAGGGGGGGGGGGCTGGGAGAACGGGGAACAGGATAATATGAGTGGGGAGGGAGGGAGTGAAAGAGAGCAAGAGAGAGATTACTGACACGAAATATCAAAATCAAAATAGTCTGCCTTGAACCATATCCAAAATGATAGATGTGCCAAATATTGTGATTTGTTGTATCTGCCTATAATTCATCAAGTAAACGCGATTATGTGACGTATGATGCTGTTGTAATCTGACTGAAAACATTTATTAAGTACTTATTTGCAAACAGTTGTCGACAGAAGGAGTTTAGGGCGCAGAGTTTCAGAAATTACCCATTTCTCTAGTGCAGTCAAAATTTGAATTTAACGTTTTCATGAGGGTTTTATTTGTGACTCTACTTTGGCTGCTGTGCACGTTTAATCCAAAATGGGTATGTATATCAATTTCTTCGCTGCCATTTTGATTTAGAAGAATATTTCACTATACTTCATCTGAAAACATATCTCCGGCGTAGAAACTCATTAAAATAAGATTCTTCCCAAGATACGGTTATTGTTAACACATGCTCTAAGCATCGATGCCAACGGCATATTAATAAAAACATTTTTTCTTAGTTCAAAGGTGATAGCTACTTAATGTTAGATTTCCTGTTTTTTTCCTCATTCAAACGATTCATTTCCTAATGACCGAACAAGTTAAATTAATTGCCTTCCTGTGTATATCAGGACATTAAAGAAGTTCTTACATTCCTATATTGATTTGATCCAATGATGTGGTTTTGAATAGAATGGAGGTCGACTCCGCATTTTCACTTTGTGTCATGGGTCCTATTCAGAGAAAAGGGGAAAGAGGGACGCTGCTGATGAACTCTAAGTTTGAATCATACTTCAAAAATTGTCACCCAACACACTCAACGACGTATGTCAATGAAGGAAGGCTCGAGACTGGAAGGGAATTAATTGTGGTTAAGTTTTAGAAACTGATGAATCTTTGTCATGGCCATTGAGTAATTGTCTAAATTTAGAATGCCGGAAAATTATTTTTAGGAATACAAGTTAAAAATATGCAGACGTCATTGATAGAAAAGTTGTATTTCCTTTTGTTTTAAAGCTTATCTGCCATAGTTTACAGGAGGGATTAAACTGCCCTGCAAGGTCACTGGACAGGTGGTTATCTCATCAACACAGCTCTCAGTTAACATAAGAAAAAGAGGATCATGGGGGACCAATGGTCACCGATTAGGCATTGTTTGTTATATAGAGGGCGCAAGTAGCTACAAGTAGTGCAGTGGGCCTTTAAGCCAAGCTACGTAGTCAGAACTTAGGAAGGAGGAGGGTGGGGGTGGCGATCTATCTTTAATCAATCTCTGGCGTCCCCCCGTGTTCTCCTTTTAAACGTTTCTCTCTTAAAGTTATTTTGGGGGTGGTGGGTGCCCCGTCGTCCTTCATTACGCCGCGCCAGTGATATGACGATATTCATCAAGAGTTCGTAAAGATGAATTGAATAAACGAAACATGTGACAACATTATCTTCTAGGCGTTTTAATATTTATAGCTCTTTGCTAGTTTGCTACATTATGTACATTCTAATCATGAAGTTAAAAATAATTAAACTAAACATAATCACCTTAAAACATTCTGAATTTTCTTTTAATTCCATTTCTATTGCGGTTAAATGAATTACATATACATATCAATAAAGGATCAAAAATATGTAAAGGAATGTAGACCACTATTATTGAAAAGCATGATAAGGGGAAGGAGAGAGAAAGAGAGAGAGAGAGAGAGAGAGAGAGAGAGAGAGAGAGAGAGGTGTAAATGGTAACATGCAAGTATTACTCATAATTTAGAAATTAGGGTGAACGTCAAACAGCTGTCGTGTGTTCAGACTAGGACGGAATGAGTTAACACGTCATAATATAGCACCTATACAACACTAACGAGTGTCGACAAACGAGTGTGACTAAAAATTGTCTCGTATGTGTTTTCTCACCACAAACCGGGTCCTTTGTGGACAAAGAGGAATCCTTCTGGTTTCACAAGGTCGATATAAGTAGAGGCTCGGAGAGGTTTCTAGAGGGATGCTGTGAAGTTTGTGAGCTCCACGAATCATCCGCAAAGTCAGGATTACTATTAGCTGAAAGGAACCCAGGAATCCAAACAAACTTCTGTATTGTTTAATTGATTTTAGTTTCATCGTCTGCAATCGTTATTTGAATCTACTGATCGGTGAGCATCAATATTGTGCTTTTATATTATCATAAAGTTTATATGTTACTTATTAAAAAATAGTTAATATTGTTTGGTAGTTTGACATTTCTTAATTGAATAATGACCCAACTTTGTGGCTGTGCATGTTCTGTTTACTATTTTAATTTGAAGCTTAATATTGCGATGAGTTCAAGTTGTTTAATCAAAGTCCAGAAGTATGCACGATGTGCACGTTTTATCAGCAAATATCGAGCTTTGTTTTTGCCTTTGAAGGTCTGTTAATATTCATTATATATCAAAATAGTATTCAGCCAAAACTGTGGTTGACGTCTGAGTTTTGATCATTAAAAATTGCACGGTTGTATATTAACTATATCAAACTAACTTTCGACCCTATACGTAATTTTGGGTTGTATTTCCCCAGTTCGTTGCTAAGCACCACTCCATACCTATTTATAAAGAATGGAATGGGTAACACACCTTTTTCCTATTCTTTAGGATCATATCTCTCGCACAAGTTTGAGATATTATATGTCGTTGCACCTTGCACACAGGGGGGTTTGGCAAGACATCACAAAGTAATTAGACTTGGCAAACTGTATACATGTTAAAACAAAAAATAGCATGCGTTCATTGGCAACATTATAGAGGCAGGTCTTTGTAGGAAATAATTTTGTATAGGAAAAACAAGCAGCGTGCATATAACTCAATTTATTTATATGTATGTAGGCCAATAACTGTCAAGACTGGATTCATATTTCGGCCTATCTGAACTTTTCATCGTTGCCACGCGGATGTATTTCAGGAGAGGGTCGGGATACGGGGTGGATTTGAGGGGCATAGAATTGACTTTAGTTTCATGCAAAGATCAAATTGCAATGACTTCCTCTTTCAAACGGTCAACATGTACGTGATTATATGAATGGCAGTTAAAGATTATTGCATTACTTATGTTTAATGATGACATACCTTGATACAACGATAGCAAATATTGTGCTAAAGCGATTGGTTTGATCAAGGGGGCGAGGGGGGGGGGGGGGGGGGGCTTGCGTGGTTTGTAGCTGTAGTAGGTAAATACCTCTTATATATCGCCCTGCATCATTAGGGTGTGTTTTAGGTTGTTTTGTTATTATTCATCGGGATAAAAAGAAACCGAATGTCGGCCATCGAGCTGCAGTCATAAAACAACCCCTTCAACAATAGGAATCACAAATTTAGCCCATATTACATGGACAATGGTTTGTTATCTTTCATCATTCAAAGTGGTCCTTGAAATCGAGCTGATTAATTTCATGGAGAAATGCAGTACATCATAAATATTTTGTTATATAATTAAAGTAGATCACATTATTTTGGGACAATGCAACTCAAAAAGTTCAAATGAGGAAGGTATGAATATCATGCATGAGCAAAATATCTCAACCCGTTTGCAAATATTCTTTCATGGTTAGATGGCGGTTGCTAACCGAAATATCAGAATCCTTCATTGAGGGATTTATATAAATCCCCACATGTTCAAAACACTACAGAAAAAGAAGAGACATGCGGAGTAGGAGATTGGTTAAAATATCCATTTAAAGCAAATCGATTTTAGGTCGCCTTTAAAGTCTCAAGATAGACTTATAATCTAGAGCTACCGTAAAGGATACGTTTAGGACGCGGGCATGAACTGATATGTTACACCAGGGAGATGTGAGTTTACACACGTATCATGTTTGGTTCTATAGGAAAGTGTAATCATTCATTCCCCTGTGTTTTGTTGAAGGAACTATAGTTCAAACCGGATTTGCAAATAATGCATAAATTTAGAGGTTTGATTCGTAGAAAAAAATACATTGAAAGCCAAAAGAACGCGTTTGTTCGCAAAAATAGTTGAGTTGGCTTCATGCAGCGATTAGTGAACGAGAAGGAAGAGAGAGAGAGAGAAAGAGAGAGTGAGGGGGGGGGGGGGGAGGGGAGAGGGAGGTATGGAAGAAAAAGAGATAGGGGTAAAATAATGACCAAAGCATCGGAAGTGTGTGTTAAAATGATTTTTTTTTTTTTAATATAATTTTTTTCGAAAACGATATTGGCTACCTATTCAAACGCACAGCAATCATAGTGCTGTCAATAACAGGAATTCTAGTTTACACTATAAAAAGATGACGAGTGTACAGTATATTTAGTAGAGTTCTTGATTTCCTAATGTATAATTTGTTTTTATATGGAGCCAATTAATGCATCATGATTATAGGATCGCATTACTGTCAGCTAGTTTTCTTCTTTTTTTGCATTTTCATTTCATTTCGATGTTTCTATTTTCAGAAATCGATACGTCATTCCATTCCCGTCTAGGCCTGGGCCTATTTCATTAATCTTTATATTTCATTAATCTTTAATATTAAAAAAAAATATCGTAGACAAAGCAAAAAACAGTCTTATTTTTAGTTTCGTACTTTTCCTTCATGTTTAGTCGACATAATGGAGTATCACTTTGTTTAATTTTATTACTCATTTTGCCCTCGATGACGCGTGTGGATGCGGATGACATTTATTTAATGCGTGACGTAAGCCAAAATCCGGCACTAATTTCAGTTGAAATTGATTACAGAGGCGGATGAATCAGAACGATGAAGGGATTTGAGGTGGGCTTATGCATGTCAGGCTAACTCGATATGTTGATGAACCTTTCTTTGCAAGCTACCGATGAGCTTTTCTGACATCACTATGCATTTTGGGGGTGATGAAAACAAGTACGAGTATCAGATTTAGATTTAGATGTATAACAGTGAATAACATAAGAACATGGCAACATTAATTCTGATAAGAATGATGTTTTACATAAATTTCAGTAGGCAATAGTTAAACATTAACAATTACAATATATGATTCACTTGTTATGACCTTTTATGATAATTGTTTTTTTTCTTCTCAATACGTATATAGTAGGGCATATCAAAAAGCTATGCTTGTATGTATATTACCCCTATATTGTGTATTTTGACTATTATGACTTGCAAAAACTTACTAAAACAGGGACTGTCCCTGCTAAAAGTAATCGACGATTGGGTCATTAAAAGAAAACTATTGTATAAAGCATCAAAGTGAACAATTGAAATGTTGACACGAAATCAAAAGTGGGATAAGTTATTTTTATAGCTCACATAGAACGCTGATTTTTACTACTGTAAACAGAAAAGATTATATGCTAAATAGAGTGTTATCTAGAAAATAATTTCTCATAAACTGTATATATTATATATAAACATACGATGTGTATGCGTGCGTATATCAACGATTTGTAAGAAATTACGCCCAACCAAACAGTAGCTACTTTTGTCTGACTACTACTAAATATCTCTTTATGTTACAAAAATCAAAAGATACAAATATGAGCTCAACAGGTGAGGGAGAGAGAAGCACCAACCAATCTTGCTAAAACGAAGAGTCTCTATTCATTTTGTTTACTCTCCAATTGATTTGATTTGATTTGATTTGATTTCTTCTGCATTCCATATAAATGTTTTTAAAAGTCGATATCATAATAAATACAAAATATTAAAGGTACTATGTCCCATTTGCAGGCCAAAAAATGAAAAAGTTAAATTCCAACTGCATTTGAAAGATAATACTAATTTAGAACTTCCCTAAAAAAAGGTGGGGATTGAAAATGTCTTCAAGTGGGAAAATAACGACTATTAGTTGTCAAATCGACTTTAGGGCTATATAGAGCCCAAAAGTAATAGTCTTGATTTTCAGACAATTGTACCAAATGGTCATACGTTTTATGCTGCGCAAAGATTCAGTCAGTTTAATCTTGGCCATCACAAGAAGTGGGTTATTGATGTAGACAAATGCTCATGTACCCTTTACAACTCTTTCCTATATGTTATTACCAAAGAAGAAAAAAAGCCAGTCAGTCACTCAATAGTGTCTGACAGTGAAGTCTAGCAAGTAAAGGGGTTTCCTTGCATAATTTGAATATGAGGACACTGCTAACGTTTAAATTTCACAGATAGGACATACATGACATATTCATAATTCCTGCAAAGATCTACAGAATTTGAGGTTGGCTGCAAAAGGGACATAGTACCTTTAAAAGGTACATTGTGACAATGAATAATATATAAGCAAATAAACATAACAATTATTATAGAAAAAAAAGAAAATTTGAATTGTCAAAGCATCATATTTCATCATAATTTATACAACTATTGAGGAAGAAGGACTACCACTGTAAGCCCAAAACAAATATTATGCAATAGATGAACAAATGTATTAAGAAGAATTGACAACTAATTGAAAGCACATGTCAAATATAAGGATAATGATGATGATGTTGATGATGATAAAGTTGAGGATGACGATGACACTGATAAGAATATTTCACTGAAAGATATATAATATACAGGGATGAAAAACTATTATGAAAAACACTGCAAAGTTGACGCCGAAATTTTACCCAAAGAATGAATGACATGACTTTAATATTCCATAGCCTTATATGATTCTGCTTTCATAGTTTGACACCTTCATTAAAAAAAAAAAAAATCGGAGTCTTTTCTACAATCAGATGATAAAAGGCATGCCTGTTTAACTGTTATTACGGTCTTTCACTGTAAGATAAAAGCGGGAAATTCCTGGTTTATCCCATGATGCAAAGTAATGATCCTTTTACATTTTTTTCATCAAAAGGTATATAATGTAAATCTGCTGTTCTTGTGTCATGTTCAACTTCTGCCCATTCGTTTTTTACTTGTACACTACATCCATTATGTAAAAGGTAATACAGCAGGAAAAAATTGTGCTGGTGCGGATTAAATACTTTTCTTTTAATAATCTTCATAATCATCCAAGCTCAAAGAGCGATGCACACAAATCGAATACGCCATTTACACAGAAAGTAACAGGAAAGAAACAGTTCCCCAAAGGGCCTTTCATCGGCTAGTCAGAAGAGTACTTGAAAACTTTCCTCACAACAACAATCTGAAAGTGAATGAATGTTTCAACCCTCTTGTGCCATGTGTACAGTATTCCGTCTGTGTTTATCGTGACTAGACCGGTGTGAATCGGTGAATCATCGCGAAATTCATGTCCGCTATTTCTAAGATGTGTTAAATCTTTCAAAATGAGGGGCGTTTTGAACGCTCAAGAGTTCCTTAGTCATGTATTATCGAAACTTAGTCATATAAGATGTTGAGCTTAGTGGGTACTTTCATATCGGGATTTTATATCCTTTGTGTCAACAGGTCTGATATTCTTGGCTCGAGAAGGCTCTGTTACAGTTTCACTTATTACTGTTTGTGCTTCTTTTCATTTCCTTACAATCTATATATAACTTGTTAAAGTTCGGATTTGTTCAAAGATTGTTTTGGTAGTTAATCGAGACCTTAGATTATGATGAAACAGCTTATCATCATGACTCACATTATTGTACTTCAAAAATAGACCAGTATCTGCATTACTTCCACATAGTGTTCCTTACAAACGAACTATAAATTAGTGGAGTTTTATTTTTTCAATACCTCAATCATTTTTCTTTTCTGAACTGAACGTGGTATAATTATCTTTACTTGACTCTCAATCCAAAGGTTAAGGGTTCGAATCCCTTCACTGCACTGAAGTCCTTTTGCAATAAATTAATCTATATTTACCACTCTCCACCCAGGTGTAAATGGGTATTTATCATTATTGCTGCGGTAGTCATATTTACAGGGTCCTCAGGAAGATCAGTAATGATGATGATGAGGCTTTCCCGGGTAAACAACATTATCATTGTAATAATTGTATCATATTTTTCTGTCATGCAGGCGTCGTCATAAACTGTCAATATATTAAGATATGATCATGATAATAAAGCACTGGGACTGGTTATAATGATCTGATTGCTTTTACCCCCCCCCCCCCCACCCACAGACCTTTGTTCTAGGAGGGTATTAGAGAGATGAAGGGATCATCTTTGTACGTTTTCATCCTCCTGGCATGCATCATTCTCCATGGTAACGCCGATGATAGCTCGGAGGGACAGGGGACTGATGAGAGCTCGGAGGAACAAGTTCCAGGTAAGAATAGTAATATAGGATATTTATTCAGCGCGCATATCCACCATGCAAGGTGCTCAAGGCGCTCCGAATGTTACCCGGCTCTGCATCTAGGACGCCGATTTCGGTGCTCACAGCATTCAAGGAATTCCTTCCTACCGGTACCCATTTAACGCCTGGATGAAAAGTGGCAAATGTAGATTTAATTTCTTGCCCAAAGACATTAGTGCCGCGGCAGGACTCGAACCGCGGACCCTGTGATCCACAGTCCGACGACTTATCCACTAGACCACAACATGTGGGGGTACGCAATTGTACAAAATAACAAAGGGCTTCTTTTACTCCGACACAAACTTCAAATGCATTGACTTTTGGGAGACTATTTTGAACACTTTTCAGGGGCGGATCTAGCTTTTTGCTCAGGGGGGGGTTGACCAATAATGACGATGCGGAGCATCGTCTACGAGCCGCGAAGCGGCGAGCCGATTTTTTTGGGGTGTTTATTTGAACCCGTAAGTGATGTTTTCCTGGCATCTATTAACACAATGGAGACCATAAAAAGCAGTGCATGATAACGTCTTTTTAAATCAAGTAACAGTTAAATACACAGTTATATCCAGAGTTATCATGTGTTTGGTTAAGTTACCAGATGAGTTAAATATCTTCTCACAATATTTGCACTTGAAAGGGTTTCTCTCCAGCGTGCTTTCTTTTTTCTTTCTTTTTTTCTTTTTTTTTTCTTCTTTTTTTTTTCCTTTTTTTTTTTTTTTTTTTTTTAATGTGGGGATTTTGGGGATGAGAAACGGCAACGCTGGCCTAGCTTGTCACTTCGGCGGTGGCCCGTGTCCTCAAAAAAGCTGATGGGGGGGGGGGGCAAGGGACTCTGTGACATTTGTTCGCCCAACCCCCCCCCCCCCCCTCCCCCAAAAAGAAATAATAATAATAATAATAATAATAATAATAATAGTAATAATAATAATAATAATAATAAATGAAATAAACACATAGAAATAGAATAAAATAAAATTACAAGTTTAAAAAAAAAGATAAGATTTAAAAAAATGGTCCCCGGATTTTTTTTTGGGGGGGGGTTGCAACCCCCCCAACCCCCCCTCTAGATCCGCTTCTGCTTTTCGGAAACGTCTTTCCGTTGTGTGGATATTATTATAATTATAGACCTATTTTTACAGCAACACACTAGATTATTTTTTTTTTGCTTGATTACTTGCGATTGGTATCTATACATCGCTTAATAATTCCAATAATTCCAAAGCATCTATCATACACTGAGACATAATGTTCGATGTGTTACCCTTACAATGTTTCAATAACGGTAACAGGTATAGTATTATATTAACTATCATATTTTGGGGTTAATCTTGACTGAATTGTTGTGCTTATCAAATCATTTATTTAAAACAGTTCGTGATGAGTATTAAGTAATCATTTTGCACATAAAACAAATAACAAGTATTTACCATTTTTCCTTTGCAGTGCAAGACAGGAATTGTCCAAGATATTGTCAACAGAACCCTTCTCGGAGTTTAACTGTATGTGGGAGCAATGATCAAACTTATAGATCGGCATGTTTCTTTCGGCAACACGCCTGCGCAGTAGGAGCTACTGGTTACTGGTACATAGCATATGTAGGAGCCTGTATGAGACGGCAGCCGGTAACACCGAAAAGTATGTACATGTAGTATCATAATTTGTTATCGGAAATATAAATTTGAACATTTACTAAGAGCTAGAGAGACAGATATAGATGACAGAAATAAAGATTCTATGAGACAATTCTCGGTGACAATTGCTCCATCACTTATAACGCCAACCAAGTCCCTAACAAAAAGTATGGACCTAAAACTAAACCCTACCCTTGTGCTAATCCATAATCGAGCAGAAAAATTCAAAGAACAGAAAAACCCAAGTGCAGCCCTTGATCTGTATATCTGACAAATTAAACAAGGAGCAAAATTCGATAGCGTACGTTTGTTAAATAGATAATCATTATGGACAACGATAATCTCCGATCCTGATTAGATTAATTTAAACCAAAATAATTGATGTGATGGATTTGTCTCCGTTTCAATATGAGCGTGATAAGCAAGTACAAAATACATATACATTCAATAATTGACATAAAACAATGTAATAAGATAAGATAGATGTAATAAGTATATAAGACAAAATAGAAATATTGTAGAATTGAAAATGATATAATTGAACATTGTTGACCTAAAAGTATACATTGAAACGGATGGGCACGCTAAAGAAGTAATGATTGTATTAAAGGCAACTCTTAAGATGTATACGCGTTGATAACATTTAATTACTTTATTTCAGGAGTCCCCACTACAAGGAGACGACCCATCACTGCCGGGGTTACTCAAGCTCCTATCACGACTAGGAAGACGACGACGAGGAGAACGACTACGACAACGACCACCACGGCAGCTCCCGTGGTGACGACACCCATCCCATGTCCACCGACGTGTGAGCTGGTCCTGGAACCTGTCTGTACTACAGTGGGAACCTATCAAAACGAATGCACCTTTAACTGGGTACGATGTCAAGGTATCATATCACCGACTGAAAGCATTCTCTACAGGGGCTATTGTTTAGATACATCGACGGCGGGCCCATGATCACGGAAGTACTAATTAACAGCGATGGTCGAAGTCCGACGGGACTCTAAAAAAACTGTCCTTCCAGCTACAATAGATCATTTGGGCTCTTTCCAAATCGCCTGATTCAAGGAACACCGGGGTTCGGAGGTTACAATGGAAAAGAGGAATGACTGCATGGGTGTGTTTATGAGGGCACGGTGTGGATTTGGGAGGGTGTATGTCTGGGGTGGGGGAGAGGGGTGCTATCTTGTGAAGTTGGCAGATTAGCTTGACAAAAATGATTAGGGCATCCCATCTTATTAAGAGTTGGGGTGGATTCAAGTGTTTTTTTTAAATAATGGCTGCCTATTTAGTCTTTCAGGGTCTTGAAGAAGAAAAAAAAAATTGAAATTGATATTAACTCTTTTTCATATAGGACCTAACGCAAATCTCACTTGCAATAAAACACTTGAACATTCGATTAAGGTACGAGGAATGATTGGAAGGGAATATAATAAATTGAATGCCATGAATGGAATGATTGAAGAACAAAATACAAAACGTAGGCGAACACATAAAATAATTTTCCTTTGATTATAATGGCTTGATGGCTATTACAATTATTTTGTATCAGAGGTGATTACGTTTGTACATCTTTTTTTTATGAGGATGAAGTCCTGCAAAATAAATTTGAGTGCGATGTGGATTTCTCCAAATCATTCAAAATTGTAATAATATGTCTACAGGAACAACCCTACTTTGTATGTTCACATGGTACATTATTGACAATTGAGGAGCATAAGGCATATTTCCGATCATAATTTTGGTGGTTTGAACAAAACCATAATTTTATATTATGCTAGGAATGTACTGTATGTTATTGAATATAATGTATATAGATATATTTTTTAAATGTATATATATATATCTTGATGAAGTCGAATAAGCCTAAGCAATGTAAGATGATCGATATGTCTTTCAACAGAACACACTTAAAAAAAACATTCTGATGAATATCACGACACTGGGTTCATAACGTCACACTAACAGCTTCGTAAACTGATAAAACCTCCGTTGCAGTGTTTGATGTTATAAACACAATTTAGTTCATTCGCCAATTTCAATTAATGGTACAAGCACATTCGCCCACCATATTTTCTTTCTAAAAAATAATCAGGCAGGGATATGCGTTTGTTTGTTTTATGGTGATGGTTTTAGCTGATATGTATAATCACAAGACCAAAAACCAAAACCATTCTTACTGTTTATCAAGTTCATGGCCGGACGGACGCATAATTCCTCTATCAACAAATAGGAATTAAGAGCACCACAATATCATGAATGACGATGTCGTGAATGTGAACATAGAAGGTAAACGGTGTGAACTCATCTTTTTAGTTCACAATGGTGTGTTCAAAATCGACACTGTGTCAAATGAGGAGCTTGAACTTCGTGGTTCTCTTTTTGGTTGACTCGTGTCACGCTTTGTGTACAGTATTTTTACATTATCAGAAATATGAAAGTGCTTTAATTCGCTAATCGTATACTGCGAAGTTTGAACTGTGTTTACAATATAGGGCTTTACACTGTGTTGTTGTATGGGTACACTAGTGCCCTTTGGTAAGGCATTAATCCTCATCG